CTCCATCTGTCTCTGAAGACAGACTGGCTGTACTGAAAGAAAGAAGTCTCGGTACACATATAGCAATACTTTTCCTAATTGAGGTTGAGAATTTGTTTCTTCTCCATTTTCCATCGAAAAAGGGATCTCTACATCCTCAATCAAATCCACTTTATTTGTACATCATCAATTCATAACAAATGTGATCCCAAGACACAAAAAGAGCATCCTGCAATGTTCATCAACATGTCCAATGCATGGAGCTATTTTATGCTGTAATTTTTAGATTAATCCTGCTACCTCCATATTCTGCTTTATCAGCCCAGTTTGAGATGATGAAATAGTATGTTGTACTCTTTGACAAAAAAAAATCCCTTTTTCACATTTAAATGCCAGTGAAAATAAGAAAAAGCTCTTTCTCTTTTATTCAAAGGACCTGACACTGGTGACATTTAATGTGGCTGAAAGATTAACTCATCTCCAGTGTGGCTGGAAATTTCTGAACACGAGGTCACAGTGGCCATCACTTATCTGTAGAAATGAGAGAAATTAATAATCATACACAAAAGAAAGAGGATGCAACCATTGCTTTTACTTATTGCAAAATACTCAAACTGCTTTAATGCAATTGTGGCAAAAAAAAATAAAATGGTTCAGGAGATTATAAAGTGACCTCTAATCATGAAACCAAATTCTTGAATTGCACCACCAACTCACTTTTAAATGAATCACAATAACGGTGGGAATATGCTCACATGTACACTCATGATATTGACTCCCACAACTAGCATCGTGCACTGAAAGTAACCCATTTAACCTGGTTAACATGTAATTGCCAATCATCATGATGGAGCAGAGAATCAGCTTTGTCCTTCATGACCAATTATTGCCTTCTTCTTGCTTCATCTTTTGGCATCCCAAAAGCAGCCTCTCTCCCAATATAACAGGGTATGATTTGTAGATATCTGCCAGCCCTGAGAGAATCTAATAAGAATCAAATAGAGAAATCATCTTTCTCTGTTCCTCATGATTCTGTTCCTGCATTTGTGTTGTTCTGTTTCACTGATTTATGCAGCAGGTGCTGCATCCTCATGGCTCCTGTGTTGCTGCCACACCATACCTTGGATGACATTATTACCGTTAGTAGTTGTCCTTGACATGTTTGACACATGACAGTTTACCACTGATGAGACTAATGTCAAATCACAGCACTTCCACAGGCAATGGTACATGTACAGAGCACTAAATGACTACAAACAAATCATGACTTTTTATGGTGTTAACAGTTATTTTATCACCTTCAAGGGGCTAAAATCAAAATGTTTGATCAAAGCTGCTGTCCAAGTGTCCACTCAGTTATTAGCTGAAAAGCTCACATCAATTTGTTTTATTTTACTTCTACTTCCTTCATTACATTGTTTTATCTCCTATACAGTAGTCCATGTAAACACTTGAGGTGACCATCAACAGGGCTCCAAATGGAAGAATGTATTAATCAGTAACTGTGGCAAATGGCAAAAAAAACATCTGCTTACTCTCTCAGGAGTCTTCAGACTGAACATGAGATTTAATAAATATATGTGTTGTGAATATTTTTGGTCTGTGCAACAAATGTTGTCACATGTAATCCATTAATAGGTGTAATTACACACTTGAATAACACCAGACTACACTGATTCTGCAATTTTAACATTTTGTGAGACTTTCTGCATTTAAAGATTCTCTTGGTAATGCCAGAAATTAGCAAGCTGCTATGTGAGCAACAAGAGTGGATAACAGGCTCTACATAAACAAGACCCAACACAGTGATTTTGCCAGTCTTCACATCTGACAAGACTCAGCCAAGCAATTGGAATGTAATGAAGATCATTTTAAAGCCAAAATAGCACTGGAGTTTATCTTTTGTTGCCACCCACTCAAATACTCCTAACCTCTCACTGCCCTATGTCCTCAAGACTTATGATGAATAATGATGGTGTCTCTCAAACAGACCCTCATGCTGCTTGGATCAAAGGAAAAGAAAAGGAACTATTTAGGCACTGATGTCAAGAGCAGTCAAGCTGGTTTGCAAGTCCCTCTGGAGCCTGCTAACATTACTTTATACTGTATGTGGGTTTAAGGAAAAATGCAGAGGACACTGGGATTGAGGTACAAAGTCACTGAGCCACAACTGAATGACTCTGCTGCTCAAAGAAGACCCTCATTCAACAGGAGTGTATGTGTTTCATTTTCTTACCTCTGATTAGATGGTTCATTTGAAGCTCCAAGTCCAGCCTGGCAGGCTATATCTTGCATGCATGGCCTGTTTTTTTTATTTCTCATACCATTCTTCAGTCACATCAGTTTTGTGCTTTCATCTGTACTCAACAGCTGGTAACAACAGTCTAAAAGTACTGACACACCTATGTTGTAAGCCTGCTGTATTGCTCCTTTCTTTTTCAGAATGACCTTTTTGCAGCCCCTAATTCATTCATGGTGTCTTTATATGTGATGTTCCACCTTATCACCACCCAGTGTTCACAGTTCCATGAGCTTCGTCAGCTTCATTATTTCATCAGCCTAAGCCAAAGTCACCAACCACCCCCTTTACCACCAGTGCTTTAACACCTTGGTGGAATATATCCAGATGCTATTCAGGGTATAGATGCCTTAGGTTTAAAAAAATAAGTAATTGCCATTAAATCCCTGTCAAGACTAAATTGACAGTATAACATCATCTGCTTTAACAAATAACAACCCCTTCTTTGCATCCTTGTTTCTCCATAATTTAATGTTCTAATTGGTGCAATTAAACATTGTAAGTATTTTTGTGAGCTGGTTATACCTTGTACAATTTCTGCCTACGCTGATGGGATGGCTCAGTCGGTCTACCACTTTGGTTAAGATTTAAATAAAATTAAAATAACATTATCAATAAATGTAAAACATTCTTGGTTCCCAGTGGATGATTTCTACAGACTTTGTGATCCTTGGGGAATTTTTGCTATTATCTTCTCTTTCCTTTCCTCTTTGTTAGTTTGACACCTGTGTTCTTTTTAAAAACAGTTCTTTGTTATCCAGTGGATTGCATAAAAAATAAATCCTTCAGACATATGAGTCCTGTTCAGGATTAACTGTATTAACATTGGGGTTACCCAATCTTTGTTGTTTTTCTGTGCCTTCGACAGGTCAGAATCTACATATTGTATGCTGTTGCTAATGACTTAAAATCTGTAAAACAGAAGACAACATTCCCATCAGCCTCTGCCCAATTCTCTGGTATGTTTACAATTACAGCATAACAATTTCCAGCACATTAGTTTCCTAAATCTGTAATAGGATAATTAAACGTATGCAAATGCCAATGTTAGAAAATAGTGTGTGCTTTTTTGTTGTTGTTGGTTTTGTCACATAATGACTAATAAGTAGAATCACGAAAATTGAAGCGTATGTGTGTGAGAAAGATGAGAGAGACTGTGAATGTAAGCTGAAGTGAGACGGAAAGAGACGCAGAGTACAATCCATTATGACATTATTTGATGGTGCAAAATTGTGCCCAGAGGGTCATTTAAACTCATCTCAAAAATCACAACTACAGTCCCTTCTGTGGAGCTGTAACTTCTTTATTTCCTTCGCAGCATGTATGTGAATCTTGAATCCTGGTGAATCATCTGTTGACGTCTTTCCATAGACTCACTTTGATCAAGCTTTCTGCATGCACCAAGGACCAAGGACACTGAGAAAGCTGCTGATGAACTGGAATACTGCATGCATTTAAAATATTAGAATAACGTTTTAGTAGAGATGTTTTTTATAAACACAAAAGCACATTCCCTTTTTTCCAGTGCGCTGCAAATGTAACATGCTGCAAACTGCCAAGATTCTTCTTACAAAAGCGTCTTTATTATTTTATTATGTCAGGATATATAAGCTCAACTTCATTCTTCAAAGTGTATTTGTATCTATGTGTGTAGATATATGCCTGCATGTGCTGTGTAGTAAATGCACACAGTGGCTGGGGGATTGAACGCATGTGAGAAACAACATCAGAGGCTCAAGCTGGAAGCATTTCAAAGGTGTGTTCTGCTCCCTGTGGGGTAGGAGGAGACAGCTAATTACAAGTGAGATTTCCCGTTCTCCGTCCCTTATTAGCCATTTCCTCATTACAAGCAGGTGTAAGGCAAGCAGCCACTGAGAATACAACTCATCTATCCACTGTCTTTTCCTGGTTTTTCTTATAGTGCCCCTGGCTAGGCTTTGAGCTGCAGCAATGTTAGGGAAGCCCAGTTGTGTTTAAAGGCATTAAAGGTAATCTGATAACATGGAGTGAACGGGCTGATTTCACTAAAAACAACAGTTGGTCCCTGGGTGAAAGCCTGTTCTTGATTGTATTGCCAGTGAATGTTAAGCGGTGGTGAGCATTCTTTAATTGTGGCAATAAATCAGACGGACAAGCACAAAAAGGGTTAGAGGACAGAGAGAGAGAGAGAGTGCGCTGACCTGAGGCTCACAGCCCCACCGGACATTTATCGGCCATGGGAAGGGGGAGTAGCAATCACCATCAAAGCCTCCTCTTTTTCATAATAATGTGCGTATGGCCTCCTCCCAGAGCCCCCTCAGCACATCCTGCATCTTTGTCCCTGAATCTGACAAAAAAATGAAGGTCTGCGTCTCCCCACAAGTAGGTGTCACCATGGAAACAACCGTTATTCAGTGCTCTCAACAATAGCTGCTAAATGAAAGGAGCTGTCTGATGGAATTAAAGAGTAGGTTCAGTCCCTCTTTCCATGCAATAAGTACCCACAGGATCTGCAGCCAAAGACACACAGGGCAAATCTGCACACGATAGCATAGCCTACATTTCATCAGGCTGTTTCTATTCAATATTCTTACAAGCAGAGTGCGGAGGGAAATTGTTTAGTAAGATGATCACTGACATGAGTAAGAAGGATTGGAGGTAACTGTTTGGCAAAAGCAGACGGATGTAATATTTCACTTTTGGCAAATTATTTTTTAGTTATGGTCACAAATCACAGAGACAGTTTCAGTTAAATGATGAGATTTATTTGCCTCACTGCAAGACAGAAAGCATCAACTACAAGAACATAGGTTTGTGCAAATGCAGGCTTGCATATTAGCATTTCATAAGACCCAAAGGAATAACTGCACAGCACAGCTTAGCAATAAAAGTAAGCATGCAATGAATCCCTTTCTTCCTTTCGAAGAAATAAACTATATACTAATAATGCATTGGTTGCTTCTTACCCCCATGGCCTGAAGTTACACCAGTTGCATATTAAGGTTACGGGCTGTAAACTTTGTTCTGATTAAAAGTGGATGGGAGTAAAAGAGAGACAGTGTGTGAGGGAAATGTTAAATAAATCAGTGTGGTAAGTCAATAATGCAACAATAGATAATATGATTTAAACAGCATAGAGAATTCTTCACACCTTTCTTTATATGGCCACATGATCTCTGGTCTAATTGTCTCCATTTTTCAGCTAATTTTGGTTTGCACAACTGTTACAGAATGAACCATATTCATTTAGGACATGAGTGTACTTTTTTGAAAGCTGTTTAAAGTGATGACAAATGGCCTAATGGCTGTGCTCTTGGGTTCAGCCTGCTCTTGCACACAAGCACACGATGACATTCTCTGAATACTTAAACATTTCACACATGATTGGCTGTAATGAAACATGTCACTTCATAAAAAAAAAAAAAGAGAAAGAATATGAGATGGTTTTCAAAAGACAAGTTATTTGCTAGAGGCAAGTCTGGTGAGGCTTTAAAAACCCATGCATCACAGTTGAACATGTATTACCGTAAGACTTCTAATACATTTTGTAATTCAGGTAACCCCAAAAGGGCATCAAACATTTATAGCCTCAGTGTATTGATGTTTGAACTAAGAACACGTTTATCACTTCCGTTTAAATGAGAATAAGGACAGAAAAAAAATACATTTCATACTGTCTAATTGTATCACATCTCATTATTTAAATGTACAGAGAGTGGGCTAATGAACCATTTGGGCTTCAGACGCTCATAACCTGAGGCCAAGTAGCAATAAAGTGATGCAGGTAATAGGGGACAAAGAGTAAATTGCTATATTAAGCACTTATCACAGCAGTGTTGATACCTTTAAGATATTGTTGTATAAGCTGGTTTGCCCTCAAGGAAAAAATAGTTGATTGGTCTATGCCTCCTGTTTATTTATTATATGTAGAGCAAGAAGCAACTGAAGCAAAAAGGAAAGCACAACGCTTATTTCACAGATCAGTTTTCAAAGATCCTTTGCTTTTTTATGATAGTAATTATCATTTGAGAAATGTCTGGCCACACTTCTGAGCTGTAAAACGTCCTCTACCTTTCGTAAAAAATCATGCTGCACTGTTTCGGGGGAAAAAATGTAAGAAGAAAAAAACGTTATTGAGCCTTAAGTTAATCATTAAAACAACTATCAAATGTGCTTTATTCCAGTACACCCTGACGTAAACTAGTCACATGGACCTCCGCTTCAATTGTGAGACAAAAGTCCCTCCAGAATTATTTACATGAGAAACACTTGAAACGAGTATGGCTGCAAATCCAGGCCGGCTGAATCAATATGCCTCATCCTGTGATCTACAGCGACTGAAGGATCCTCAATACTTGTGCTCTTCAAAGAGGTTCAGGGAGCAGCCAACAGCGGAGCTTGCTGTGTTAAGGTGCATTCATTGAGGAGTCAATAGTCTGTATCTTGGGAGAGCTGCTAAAGCTCTCGGGGACAAATCAAACTGGGATTAATAATTGCTGCTTGGGGGTGGATATATGTATGTTACAGGAGCTGTAAAGACTACATTTTCTTCCTGTGTGTTTAATGGCAGAGGCAACTTGGTGTTTAGCCAAGTGAATGTGTCACCATTACCGTGTCTGTCAGATAGAAAATACTCCATGGAAAATATATGCAAAGACACTTAGCAGATAAAATGGTCAAGAGTCATTATTGAAACAGCCTGTAAATAATGAGCAATCAGGCCAAACCAAAAAATATAAGCGCTGATATCGGGGTTGAAATTTAGTAAACAGTAAGGTTCTAAAACAGGTGTCTTTCTTTAACACTGCTGGCGTGGGCAACATTTGCTGGGCTTCATTCTTACCATTCTTAATTTACTTTGATTGATTAGCAAAGCAAACCAATAATAAAGAATGTTTTCACCTTTTAGTTGGACTGTGTGGGATTTATAGGAAATTCAAAAACTATAAATGCCAGCACATGTATAGGTTGTGCATTATGTTCATATTCAAAATATTAATGAGTGATCTAGGAAACATTTTGTTATGTTGGCCGGTGGTTTGTATTTAATGTATGAAAATGTTTAAATGCCAATGGGAAGTGTTAACATTTTTACTTTATTCAAATCTTTCACTGCTCTAAATCTTTGAAAATGTGATTAATTATACATGACTCTGGCCCCTTGTTGTTGGTGTATTCATTTAAAAATCACATCTCAAACGTCAACTTGTGTTAAATGCTTCATGGTCAACTTCACATAATGAGACCACAATCTGTGAATTTCCCAACAAAGGTATGTGATAGTGAAAGCTTAACCATTCTGGACATTGTTGAGCTCAATAAAAGGGCAGAAGGATCAAATAAAGATTTTCATGTGATCAGTTATTGTTCAGACAGGAGTCACTTAAAATGTAAGGAATTAGTTCACAGATCAAAATTATTATTGTACTGATTTAATGGTATATAAATTATTTAAGAGTAACCAAGCACATTTAGTAATAATTGCAATGTGTTTAGAATTGTAATTCTGTGATGTAAAATGTGCGGATACTACAGAGTTAGAGCACTGGTTTTATGAACAGCTGTGCTTTGTGCTTTAGTTTGTTCTGAACCATGTGCTCGCCACACGGCTGGTTCGTCACTACTTAAATTCTTCATGAAAGATCAAGAAGAATTGTGTTCCTTCAACAAAAAAATATAGCAGCAGAGGAGAAAAAATAATGAGACATACAGCGTAAGGTTGCTACCTGTCTGACAGCTGGCTAAGAGATGACAACGATAACAAAAAAATTCAAAGGGAAAAGGTTCACCTGACACGCAGCATGATATCACAGCTTGTACCGCAATCATCTTAAAAAAGACAGAAAATGAGGGTACGATCATTCAGAACTGTTGGAGACATTTTTTTTTTTCTAACTTTTATGAAACGCTTACCTCTGAAAAGGTGGAACTACTTCAACCTGCTAGCTGGTGACCTGGCTGTATTCGGCTGTCTTGTTAGTTCTGTGTCATAACTGAAAATAACTATAGCAAATGTAGTTATGGCTCCTGCAGTTTCCCAAATGTGAACGGTAAACAGGACTGGATTGGATGAGATCAAAACAAGGATTTGTCATTTGCTTCATACATGTTGGGTAGGGGTTGGTGTCATTTGTAGGAAATGCAGTGACAAACAGGCTTTTCGGTGTGATGGGGATGGCTGGTGCACTGTGGAACAGAGCATTTTGCGAAACTTAATAAATAGCTCATTTGTATTTAACTACAAATACTTGTTTTAGGAATTGTGATTTGTTTCTGTCTGAAAATATATCTTCTGTAGTCCAAGATGTGGCCACTCCTGCAGCTATACAGAATTACATTATAGCACAAAAGGAAAGGTTAAATGTAACACCAGGCCTATAGCAGCATGTTTTCTTCCAACTTTCTGTGAATCATCTGTAACATCTGGATTAGATCTTGTTAGTAGGGTCAAGTTGAGAAATCTAATTTTAACATAGCATTCCCTTTGTACATGTTAAACATTTTCCAAACATTTGACATAAGGTAAAGAGTAATATAATAGACAATTTGAGGTGCTTAAATTCATGGTCTGTTAGGAATAATAATCCAGCACCCAATCAATAGATCAGTATGAAGGGATGGCCTGCATGCATACAATTTTAGGGGGGGGGGGAGTTAGGGGGGAAATCCTTTAAGTCACATGATGCTGAAACACCTGGTTGCTCGTTTTTCACAGCTAAATAAAAGCGCTGGATCAAAACTGAGCAGGAAAAAAAACACACAGTCCCTTTTCCCACTGTCTGCACGTAAACACTTTGTCAGCAGTGAAAAATGAAATAAATGAGTAACAACCCACATGTAAGGTATTCTTTCTGTTCCATGTCCATTATCGCAAAGCATGCGTCCTTTCTCCATCTCAGTTATCCAGACTGGTGCTGCGGTCAAAGCTTGGTCCCAGGAACAGGATGGGTGGTTATTCTGTCGGGGTGGTGGCGAGTGGGGTGAGGATGGGGGGTATGTAAATCCCTCTGAGGACACATAGGGGAGATGGCCTTATGGCTGTAGTACTCCACTACTTGCTTTGGCACCTCGGCAAGAACACATTTGGCCAAGGCTGCAGGTGAAGCCTGCAACAGAGACACAGAAAAGCTGAAAACTGAAAAATGTTGTTTAAATCTGAGGTTTTACCGTGCACGCTAGTAGGAGTGTTTTTGTTGTTTCACACTAATTCAAAGAGATGTGTCAGTATCAGATAGAAGAACTGTTCCACTAGTGACACTGGAAAAAGTCTCTCCTACCATGAAAATGAATAATATGTTTTGCAGTTTCTGGGGTTGACTTTTCAGTCTTTAACTAAGAAATATAGGATATAAAAACCAGAATTGTTTAATAGTTTTTGTGTAGCACAAAATTCCTCAAATAAAGACTTTATTTTATGTGCAAGCTTGCAAAATAAATGCATCATGATTTCATACAAATTTATGGGCTACATCTGGACACATCAATTTTTAGGATAATATTAATATTATTTTCATAAACTGTCTCTAAGTGTTTCAGTAAGATGTAGGGTTGGCATGTAGCTTTTAGAACACCTGCATGCTCAATCTGTGCAAATGCACTGGACAAACAGCATTGTTCTAAAAAAAACAATCCTTGTGTTTGATAAAGCTTCAGATAAAAATCTTGTGCCTAACCAGTTTGGTAATATGAAGCCTGTAGCTTATGAGTCACATATTTTTCATGCTCTTCTCCTCTTAAGTCTCCTCACCTCGTTCTCTTTATGTAAGCCTTTGTTAGGTTTCAACACTCGGATACTCACTCTTCTTTTTCTCGGCTACTTCTCTGTGTGGACAATATATACTTTAAGATGTAGCTGCAATTAGAATATGTTCTTGTTGAAAGAGATGTCTGGATCTCCTCCAGTCCTTGATGCCAATCAGCAGCACAAGCAAAGCCAACATAAAGCTCCTGTGTGCTCTTATAAACAACATGGAAGGGGGACATTATAGAAATATGTTGGGGAGGCTCCATCAGCTTCACAAGCACAGCAATCAAGATAGAGTTAGCAAAGTCAGCAAATGAGCATGGACTGAGAAAACAAACTGACCGTTTTGAAGTCTCTGAAGGGCACAAACTGCACAATGTCCCTGAGGACTGGTTCGCCCTTCGGTGAACGTAGGACTCCATCATCTCCATCCAAAATCTGCATGTCTGTGAAGTCTGCATTGCCCACACCAACAATTATTATGGAAAGAGGCTGGTAGGAGGCTCGAACAATGGCTTCACGCGTGTCTGCCATGTCTGTCACAACACCATCGGTCAGGATGAGCAGGATGTGGTACCGCTGGGAAAAAGTTAAGAGCTCTCAGTGTGATTTAATCCATATGAACATTAACCCATTTAAACAGCATTGTGTGGTTTGGAGCAAGGACATCTCTCAGTGTGTGCTGTGGTCTGAAGTAAGCTTTCATGCCTGTCTTGGTTAATTTTGCAACCTCTGCTCAGTAGATCAGAATAAATGTGTGTGGCACTTTGTTAAAGTGTTACACAGGAAACAAGTGGATCCAAATAGTGGAAAACAAAACAGAGATACTACAGCTCAAACTTCAGCAGAGACATAATCATGCATGCATTATGTGTGAAATTAATTTCATGTGTCCACTGAACAGTTTAATATGAGTAGAACAGTAGAAGAATATTAAAAGACACAATATACTGTGATCATTCTGATAGTAGAGAAGTGGCAACGCTGTCGGTTCACTGACTGTTTTTTTACTGCATGTCCTCAGTGAGTGAATATCTAATGTGTGCCCTGAAAGCCTACTTGTTCACTGCGGCTCATTTACTGATCAAAAAAAGCAATAACATCGAGGAGTAGACAATTAGATGAAGGTCAGCTCAGTAACGGGAGTCTAATAGTTTAGATTACATTGGCCGCATAGCCGTAGGTAATTTAAGATAGAAAATAGCTAAAACATCCCAAAGGGATATTAAGGGAAGATACAATGCGCAGTAAGTAAGTATTAGACACTTTTATGAAATCACAATTTAAGTACAGTTCATGCAGAAGTTTCTAAAACTAAAAAGGGCCGATAAACTGGAAATATGTCCCAAAAAGAAAAACACCACTAATATAGGACGCTATGACTTGAATCCATAGTTCAGGAAATATTAATTTGTTTTGTACTAGTTCCTTTCTTCTTTTGTGCTGTAGGGCATCATCAGTGAGGTGAACCAGAGGCTGCTCACTCTGGGACTCAGTGGGAGGCTAAACAACAAAGGCCTATATTACAGCCATATATATTTTTTATAGAGTATAAAGGGACACTCACAGACGCATCTTTAATGTTACCGTCACCTGCTGACAGCTTAGCTATCCTGGTAATGATGGGAGAAACATTTGTTGGGCCGTACAGCTGGATCTTAGGGAGGCAGTTCTGGTATGCCTCAACCACTCCTTGGATCTCTGATCAAAGAGGGCACAGAAAGAAATGAAGAAAATATTGAGACAGTTATCAACACTTGTCATTAAAGAAGCTGATTAAACGAAAAGATAACAGTCATAGGAATTATTCACTGCATACTGCAAAGAATAATAGTAGCCTTAATGGGTTTTTGTCTTACACAAGTTAGAGAAGTGAATTCATCCTGAAGAAGCTATAGACTAAGGCTAATTTATTTGATCAAAAACTATTCAATAATGACATATTTTACGGCAGGGCAGCTAAAAATTACTTTGACTGACAGTGTTTGACTTATTTTTACAGTGTTGTCTGATTAAAGATGTTAATTTGAGTATCATCTGCATAGAGTTGCACTTTTTAGGGTATAACTGGTTAAGAAGGACCTTCCTTACCTTCACATTCATCATCTTCTGGGTTGAAATTAATGGCAAAGTCATGAGACACCTGTTGAAGGAAGATTAAATAAATGATTTAAGTTCTTAAAAACAAAGTCATTTTCATCCTAATGCATAATTGAACAACGTGATGTGATGCTGTATAAGTTGCACAAGGGCATTTTGTGTCATGTCTTCACTTTTAAGCATTTTGCATTGTTGTTTATAGGTATTTCATGTTATATGCGCAAGGGGTTGAGAAAAGTTGGCCTTTTGTCCTCCATAAAAAACACATTTTTATTCACTGTCTGAGTTTGTCATGGCTCATAAATCCACATCGAACTCCTCTCTGTACAGACTTAAATGCTGTCTGTATAATTCACATCTTTTTTATATATGACATTCATTCAAGGGATGGTCATCACACACTGCAGGCCTATATAACATAAAATGGGTCAAAACATGCCATTTAGTAAGACCAGGTCAAATTCTATCAATCAAGAACCCAGCAAAACCTTGGGAACCAAAAGTGATCCAAATTGAAACTGATCATTTAGGTCTTCTCATTTGTAAATCGGACATTACAAGCAAATAAATAAAATTACTTAGACCAATGTTCAGCATTTTTTCTGTTGTGTATAAATGATTCACAACAAGTTATACATCTACATTATAAAGTAAGAAGGGATGTACTTATATCAAGCTGATACAATTGTTCTGATGCTGTTTAGTTTATTTTAGCTTTCAAACGAATAACAATTTTTTTTTACCAGTATTGACAGTAATATAATGCTAATTGAGTCAAAATTTAGATAGATTTTTAATAAAAAAAACTTCCAACAAATTAATAAAAGTAAATCCCTTTTATATTGAGCTAGTCATGTAATTTACTGATATGTACTGGCCCTTTTATTATCCAATATGCAGAGTCAATTGCTAAATCAGAAAATCTATATGTCATGCACTATTTACTCAATAGCTGCTTTCCATAAAAGATTAAAACCGTCGACACTTCTCTTTTATTTTCTGCACTTAAACATTGTTTATTTCAGGGCGTTCAAACTGGCATGACTGAAGAGGAAAACATATTTTTCTATAAGCACCAACTGTCAGCCAGATCAATGGCTACTTTTATGAAGTCATATTTGACTTAAACTTGATTAACAGCCTGATTTGAATCACTTAAAAGATAGATATGATAAGAAATTAATCTTACAAACCACTGATTAGGACAAGGACAATTTACAAGGGGCCCCTGGGAAAGACAAGGTCTTGTTTTGTAACTTGTTTGACAGGCTTGTTTCATGGTAGGTCTTTTGATAAGATATATCAGGAAACATTGGTGTGACTAATAACATTAATTGTGGCTGTCCTCCATTCAGGTGTAAGGTCTGGATATTATGCAGGCTGGGTATTACTTGCATGGCTGAGAGAGGCACTGATGCATCGTTAAGCATCTGTGATGCTATTAGTCACACCTGTGGTTTATCTGCTACTGGACAAATGTGTGTCCTTCATATATCATAATGTTATAATGAAGCTTTCTCTGTTTGCCCTGGTGCATTAAATGATCTGTTATATGGGGGCAGTATAAAAACAAGCTCCTTCAACGTGAGCTTTAAAAGCCAATAAAAACAGTTCCTTATTACTTAAAGCAAACACAACTTTTTATCTACCAAAGTTTGAAGTCAGTTTTGGCTCAATTCAAAATGAGACATTGATCATGATGGTCATGGTCCTGTTACATTTTAATGATTTGTGTTTTCTGGTCAACCCGTGCTCACATGGGAAAAACTGTTTTGGAGCATTTTTAGAATTTTCCAGCTGATCAACCACATCTTAATGAAAAATGAAGGGGATAGACACAAAAAGTATTGAATTAAGAAATGTATTAAGTAATTAAATGTTAATCCAGTAACCTGTAACAGGACTTAGGTCTTTATTGATATTATAATACCCTTTAGTTTGTTAGTATGCTTTGAGACTACAAACTAACCTCACCAGAGACCAAACAAACCAGAGACCAGAGCTTTGTAGTAAACATTAAAGGGTTGGTCATTTTCAAAAACTATCACGATTATTGTAAGTGGCATTCCCTCAGGGCTCCATCTACACCCTCCCCTGTGTGCTCCCTCAAAAGCCACTTTGTAGAAACTACATCGTCTCATGTCTCATTCAGCGGTAAGTACATGTAAACTCATAGTATAAACTCTGTCATCAGTGACACACTTTGAGTGTGGGCTAGTGTATGCAAGGGGTAGTTCACCAAATTGGTACCACGTGGCAGACATTGGTCGAATGTTTTTATAGGCTTGCAACTGCTACATATAACAGATTTTCTTCATTCCTTATTCAGAGCACAGGAGTTATTCATTTCTGTCAGGACCTAAAGACAATTTCTTAAAATCTTAAAAAGTGTATCTGGAGAAAATTACCAACCCTGCCTTTAAAACAAGTTTCAAACAAGAAATCTAAAAAAGCTGAACTAAATAACTTTGGTTTTACCGAACGACATTTAAAAGCGTCCTTAAATTCTAAATGACATCTCGGGATGTTTTTGGTTGTCAGGGTAGAGCTCTGCAATACTCTGACTAGTTGGCAGTAACATTTCTATGAAAATTATTTTGCCAGTTTCTGGTTCCTCCATTTTTTTGTAATACTTAACATAACTTGAAATCAAATTTATATAATAAAAACTTCAAGGCTTAAAGTTAATTTCTGATGCCTCCTTGGCTGGTTAATTATTATAGACAAAACAAGGTGTCGGGTACGCACATCCAAAGAAGTGCTGGATTGAAAATGCCTGAAGAAGATCTGTGAGATAAAAACGTTGTTGATAGGATTTGCTGGGTGCTTTTAATACAGTGTGTGGGTCCTTTTTCTGATTCTTGCCTTCTTGTTAATTATTAACCATGACTCAGATTAATTATTGTCTGCCTCACAATAATTTGGAAATTAATAGTTAGTCAGCAACAGATGTTTTACATGACTGAAATAATAATTAATTAGTGTTTCGTTTTTGCACAATACAAAGTGCAATCTAACATCAAACACAGACCGTTCGTGTTTGATAAATGTGTGTGTGTGTGTGTTTGTGTGTGTGTGTGTGTGTGTGTGTGTGTGTGTGTGTGTGTGTGTGTGTGTGTGTGTGTGTGTGTGTGTGTGTGTGTGTGTGTGTGTGCACTCATTCTTCACATGTCAGACTTCCCCCCAGGGCTCTATTCAGAATCACTTAAGGTTTTTGGTTCTCTGGGTCCAATTTGCTTAAACAAATGCTGTAAAACTCTTGAATTCTTATGCAAATTCAGCCTCAACACTTCAGGCCTTTTATGTCATGCGAACATGTTATTTTCTCAAGACAAGTTGATATTTCGAGATGTGGGGGGTATGAATAAAAATAAAGTCAGTAATTACTTTTAAATGTGAAATATTGATGGAATGACAAATTGTGTCATATAACAGGTAATGGAAAGCAGCTCGCTCAGCGTAAAATCCCAGGGTGCTCGGAAATACCAGGATTTGATAAGAGCACATGATTATACATCATGCATAATAATGTTCATGGAGTTCAGACACAAAAAAAATGGAAAAAGGAGATATGAACAGAGATACTCACTTCATAATTTGGAGGGATTCTGGCACCAAATCCCAAAGCGGAAAATCTTTTGTCACTGAAACAAAATGAAGCAGATGAATCAGTCATACATTAACAGGAACTGTAATTTAATCTGAGATAGCATTTGACAGTGATCTGAAAAACATTGATGGCTTATCCATCTGTTCATGATTCCAAGGGCAAACCCACTGCTTGTTTGCATTTCATAAATGTTAAAATCTTGAATTACAATTTGAAATCTGTCTCACAGTCCCTGCAGCCAGTGTTTGCACCTGTTCAAAGAGCTTCTAACAGTTATCCTCCTCTCCATTTTTCATCCTGCCATTTATATTAGCAGATATTTCTCTGAGAGGCTCTGTAATGCTGGATTGTGCTCTCCTTGTGAAACGCCAGGGTGCTCGGTTTTGTTTTAAAGGCAAGACAAAGGCTGCGTTGGAAAGTACAGAAATCTAGGCATGAAATGTATCCAATTTGTGTAGTGTCTCAAAACTGTCCTCAGTGGGAAGAAAAAAGGAATGTCCATGGCATGGATACAACATGACATGAACCAAGAAACTCGAAGTGAAACGAAGTGGAAAAAAGGGAAAAACAAGGCAAGCTAGACTATAGATTGTGCAATAATTTTCTTCCAAGGAGAAGGTGTGGACTGTTTTCAGAGAAAATAAACCTGAATTTCTTAAAGCCCAACTCAAACACGGCTTGTGATGAAATGATTAAAAGTGGTCGTGGAGGATAGCAACAGCGGAAGAAAAGATAATTGTTTGACAATAATAGTTGACAAATGTTGTTATTAAACTGAAGAATGAAAGAAACAGCTAACCAGAGAAGCAGGGAAAGAGAGGAGGAGAGAAAGAGAGTTATCACATACATGGGTAATAAAGATAACAAAAGACACAAACTAGTCTTTTAGTTGGAAAGTCCCGTCTTTGTTTGACCCAATTATCCATCCATCTCTTCCTGCTACGTGCAGCTTTAAGGTAAACATGGGTAGTTCCATCATGGTGGTGTATGATAAAGGTTTATTATCAGAAGATACAGAAGAGGCCTTCAATTTTAAATCAACGCTCCTGATAACAAGAATAGTAATAACCACCATTTGATAGGCTGACATCTGAATTACTTGAAAAATTCATGGAGTACAAGTTCAATTCCATAAAGTTCAAGGACAAAACTTTTTACTAAGTAAACATTATACAGATAAAACTTTGTGTTTACTGTAACACAGTGGACTTTGTGGCGTTAAGGATGAAAGCTGCCACATTTGATTTTTAGTCAGATCAGTGATTGTTTGCCAACTCTAATGGCTGCTTCCCTTATCAGAACATTATGCCTTTATCACTGACAAATACATTCTGCAGCCCAGATCATCACAAATAACATCCTAAGCTCAACAGAATATCAGAATACACTTTTAAAATGTTGCGTTCAAGTGCGTTTTGCTGTGGACATGGGTTGGCTGCATCGAAGGTTACCCAGCATGGTTTGCAGCACTATGAGTGTTGATTTATTTGGTGTGTTGACAAGTGGTGACTGGGGAATTGTTCATCCACCAGTGAAGCTAACATGGCTTTAAGCTTTTCGAAGCCATCAGAAGTGTTTAATGAACTCTGATGGGTGTGGACTTATACAAATGTTGGCAGTGTGATGATTTTAACCCTTCCTGAGTATAAAGTACAACTCTAACTCTGAAAGAAGCAATTTCCCTTTGAAAAGATTTTTGTTGTTCTACTATAATAATTACAAATGCTGTAGCAGCACAGGCAAGATGCAAACATCAAAACAGATGGGCCATTCTTTTTTAATTGTTAATATTATTTCCCTCCTCCTCCAGGATTGTCAAGGAGAGAAATGATTATGTGTATCTGTTCCCATAACCTTGAAGTATTATATTTACAGTGGCTGCAAATGGCAGTAGAAACAGCCTGTAGGCTCTGGAGAATTTCCGCTCATATTTGGTTACCATCGTTATCCTCTGTTCCAAGAAAAAAAAAAAGAGATAAACATGTGAATGAGTCCAACTCTTATTCTCCATAATGCATCTCTCCACATGTCCTGGATAATGTGCTGCTCTGTGTCCATATATATATAAAAAAAAAAACATTCCAGTAACAATATTTCAAACAGATCAAAGCATTCAGATAGCAAAGTGCTTCTGCAGCTGAACTAACTGCATCAAAAGATGTCCATGCCTTCAACATTTGGATGTTTTCAACTCATTTTGCAGAGAAAATTCTTGTCAAAAATAACAGCCATCTGCTGAATGCAGGCCGTGTGACCTTTCTGACACACTGAAGTATGTTGTGTGGAGGAAAAATTAATGGGAAAATGTATTGTGTCTTGGTATTATTTGTGGTTTACCAAATGTATTATTACTTGGAAACATTTTGAGGAAATGGATTTGAAAGGACATATTATTGCTCTGCCAAATTAGATATGTAATATATTCTTGTAGCTGTTATCAACGTGAATATGCAGCACTCCGACTCCGTACCAATAGATTCCTTCCATACTGTATCAATTCTTCCTCGGAGCTTGAATGAAAATAATTCTATATGCACAATTCAAAAATATCTTAAGAGATCGACAATCTCCTGGGTTGTAAAGACATATTAAAGCACCTTCAGCTGAGACAAAAGGACAGAGAAGACAAATGGCAAGCCATTTTCCTCATTCAATTTTGCCATTAAGTGTATAGTAGTCCTTGTTTTCCTCTGTCTGCACATGTGAGGAGCCACGGGGAAATGTGCCCGCTGTAATAGCCCTCTCAGCAGAGCAAACGAGCCTCTGCCCACACAGACAAAAGCTTGTCACTCCAGCTCCGTAATGCACTCCTCTGCAAGGACTCTAAAATCCCACATCACCTATATTCACTAAAGGCTAAAAGGTTCGCTTGCCCACATGTTACACCTCACTAATAACTCAAACTTAAGAGGGAAGGGGCTGCCCACACTCAGAGGCATGTTTCCATGTATGACGCTCCTGCGTATCTATGTAAACATGAAAATGTCAGAGCTATGAGAATGAGATGCTCATTTTCAGGCAGGTTTTTTTGTGACTCCAGTACGATCTGCAAGATGCTATAATTAGCCAGACAGTGCTCCCCTGATATTCAATAGGAATATATCACAAGTGTTAATCCTCATCTGGCTTAGTTTTGACAGATGAGGGGGGTCTTTCTCTGAAATATATCGTATTATAAATAGTTTCACTTGAATTAGCAAGCAGATCTGCTTGCAGTATTGAGAAGCATTTTGCAGTGTGTCATGGTTTTATATTCGTTCTCAATCAGTTAATCAGAATCTAAAAAAAGGGAGTCTAAAACAAGTTTCTGATATCGGATCTCCACGAGTATTTACATTGAGACCATCAAGAATCCTGAAGAGCTTCTGTGTCTACAGTGATTCCTCAAACAGGCTTTACTCTGCATCTCTTCGATTTTAACATCTGATTTCAAACCAGGCTATTATTTCTGCTGCCACAGTGCCTCCCACTTCTTATTGAAGTGCCTGCTATACGGTGTCAGCCCCGATCTCTGCATGTGTTCCTCTTTAGTTCAGGGTAATGAGCCTGTGCGAGCTAAGAAGAAGGACCTGTAGCGGTAGCAGATGCTGGGAGGAAACTGAACTGTTGAGATATCCATGAGAGAAAGCGCAAGCAGTCACCACTGTGAACAGAAAGGCTGTGAACATGCAAGACTGTTAGCACTGAGCAAACAGGCACAGGCTTATGCTGAAGTGTGTGGGTGTGTTTTAGTGTGTGTGTGTGTGTGTGACTTCCCTCTTCCTCTCTGAATGCATTCTACATGATTATATCATTACTGGCAATAATGATATACATTAAACATTTGAGCATATACTGTATATATTAGATACTGTATGAACCTATTTTCTTATTTTCACTTTTTTGGAGGGTGATGGAAGCCACATGAAACAAAAACATGAGTATGAGAAGGAAAATTATAACATGCAACAAAAGGCTGAAAATGGAACCAGGGGTGCTACTGTGTTTTGATCTATATCTTAATAACACCACTGGGTTGGTCGGCATCAACTATGTTTTAAAAAAGTACTAATGTTAGTTCTAGTGAGACAAAGTTAACAAATTCCAAGCCACACAAGATCTTTAAAGATCAAGATCAACATTTATATCTACATCCTATATCACACATCAATTAAAGTCGCTTTAGAGCTTCCCATGATTGTAACTCAGTCAAGATTCCCACCAAACACAAACTGCTCTTTAGACATTGTTTTCCTTTAATGAAAAAATATTCCATCATCTGTAGTTTTATGGCATTAAAAAAAATGAAATCTGAAGCAATTCTAACCTTTTTTGAATGCCTCACACACATTGATAACAGATATATTCTAATGTGTTTTTATTTTTCTCTCCAAGACCACTGATAGTTTTTAAGGGACAGAAAGGCCCCTTGCTCAATCTTTTCTCTCAATCTGTTCCATCTGTTGAGATAAACAGAATCCGTCACTTTATTTAAACTGTGGTCTTGAAATGCCATAAAACTGTCAGCAACAAATGTGATGTCTGCACAGGATTCAAATGCCTGTGGCAGATATAAAGGTCAGCATGTCCTCTCTCTGATGGACTGATGGAAGCTGGAAGTTAATGGATACTTTGAACCATAAAGGAATTTGGTCAAGAACATTCTACCAGTGTCCTTGACTGCTGCTTCCTCAAGCCACCAGCTTCAGTCCCAGATTAGCGCCATGCATTAGTAATGCCAACAGAGGCCTAATTTGTTTGCTCTACTTTTTGCAGGTACAAATAGTTTCTCAGCTTAAAGCAAAATTAAATTGACTTGCAAATGTGAACATGTGGGCGTAAAACAAGATTGTTTATGTGCAGCAGTCTGACTGGCAGCTTTTGTTGACAAAGGAAGGCTTGTAGATCAACCAAGAGAATGAATTTAAAATGCAAAATGTTTTTCAGACACGAATCGGAGAGAGAGAGAGCAAAGATGATGGTCACAATTCAGTCCTCTTAAATCCATTTCAAACGGGCAGCAGAAATGTAATAACCTGCTGGATTGTGCTGCAATCCTGTCCCAGTGCTTCATGATTTCCATTACAATCCATTCTGTTGCGCTTAAAATGGAGAGGCTAGTTTAGAGTGTGAGTTCCTACAGAAACAGCAAGTAAGGAGCACTCTGCAGCTCTATTTCACCATGGGGGACATGGACAATCCCCTCAGACACCAAAGAGCCTTTACTGAGAAACAAAAGATAGACAAACCTATCATAGTCCTGACAGATCTCTCCTACTGCTATCAGAGCCTTCAGGTACTCGTTGGGCTGGTAAGGGTTGATGTAGTGCAAAGAGCAGCTGTTCCTGGGGTCTCCATTGGATGCCGTGAAGTCAATAGCAACCTGGGAGAAAGGATTGAAAAATTTGCAACAACATGAACAACATGACAAGAATCGATTTTTAGGCGTCTTAACTTTTTGCTTACTTTTTTTTTTTGCTGGTTATTATATCATACTGTGTGAGCGAGCCCAAAATATGCCAAATGGAAGCATAAATTATCTTATCAGTGGTAAGAATTTGCGCTTTTTACACCCACACACGGTAGATTGAAGCTGCTACAGCTCCCATATACTGTAGATCCAAGCAGCCAGTTATTTCAACAAGGGAGCAACTGCCTCTACCACAGCGGTCCTTGTGATTAATATTCACTGCTTCAGTAATAATCCAGCCACAGAGTGAGAGGGTGCAGAGAGCGCAGACCAAAGGGCAAGAGTAAAAAGAGGTTAGAATTTATTCTATAAAAGATGCCAAGAAAACTGACTGTGAACACTGTGGATGTTTCAGGGGGACAGAGATGATTGAAAACTAACAGTGGTTAGGGAAGTATTGAGATCATTTACCTGTGCAAATGTATTAATACTAAACTGTAGTCATAGTTGTTTATGTGTAAAAGTACTGATTGAAAAGGAACCTTGTTAAAAAAATATGTACAAAGGGACCCCTGCAAAGGGACTCAAATTATCAAATAGGTATACAGGAGTTAAAAGTATCATATTTTCGTATGAAATGTTTAAAGTTAAAAATTTGCATTAGACGTAAATGATAAAGAAAAATTAAAGTTCATAAAATTCATCGTTAAGCATAAAACTTGTTTGGATATCAAATTCTGCAAGCTGTTTTTTTTTTCAGTTAGGAAATTTGAAGACAAATTCTTTACAAATGACTAAGGCGACCATATTTTCAAACCTCAAAATCAGGACACTTTAATTTGACCACAAACCCACATGTATCGATCCACAGATTGGTGACCTGCACTAATCCTCCTGAGCAGCCCGTTTGGTTGTCAGTTTGCATCACTGAAGTAAATCACAACATTGCTACTTCCAGCCTGCACTGACCGTTTGTGTTCGCTTGTTTTAATACGGCTTTGTACGTCAGCAGTGACTGAAAATGGACACCTGCAGTGTGTGCAAAACGCAGCACATTCAGTGCCTGGTGCTTTTTAAATGAAGCTGTAGGAGCTTTTTGAAAAAATGCGGACTTCCTTTTCAGTATGACAGCTAGCCTACCTGTTGTTACACAGCAGGTTCTGTTTATATGATTAGCTGGGCCAGCTAAGCGACACACCACAATCTTGAGATTGTCTGACACATAAACAGACAAATCAGTATTGAACTTTGACTCATGATGGATTTAGTGATGATGTTCTATTGGTTAAAACAGCAACAGCCTTGGCAACAACATTGATTAACATGCAGTATATTCAGAAAAATCAGTGTTGTAAGCATGGTGTACTGCTTTGGTATTTCAATGGGTTAAAACCGGGACACAGTTGAAAACTGGGACATATTAGTGTTTTATAGATATTTGTGGGGACTCACCCTACCAATGAACCACCAAATATGTTTTACAAAAGGTCTTATTCACTATAACCAATAATAACTAATAGAAAATGCAGATGCATTTCAGTTTTAGTATTGATCATAGTATGATGTAAATAATTCTATAACAGGGAAGCATTATTAATCACAGATGGCTCAATTTACCGTAAAGTGGATCTGGCATCCTCCCATGATGTAATCCAAAAAGGAGTAAACTCTGTGGAGCTGCAAGGAAAAAAAGAACGTATCTCTAAAAGGCAAACCTCAGAGAGGATGCTTGGATGGAAGAGTGAATATATTTAGCGATGTTTATGGAAGCATCTGGTCATTAAAACTGTATTAACTCAACAAATCTGTTTCCTGTAAAGGTATTAAATGTGTTTTATATATATATATACATATATATATATATATATATAATTATCCTCGGTGTAAACAGCTTAGAAATGTTTCCATTTGGGTGTACAGTGAGAGAATAAATATATATTTATCTGTATATATGTATATATATACAGTATATACATATATACACACAGAATTTCTGCAGCAGATTCCTACCTTCAGGTCACTGAGGATGACAACTCCTGAATTTTTATAGTTTCTCTTCTTCTGTTTGTACTTTGGATTCACACAATCCCACGTCACCTGAAGAGAGAAGGTTAAAGATGAAGATAGAAAATCCACTTATAGCCAGATATCCTAAGCATTTTCTTTCTCTGTGATTCTATGTTCACTGACCTTATTCCCACTGGAGATTTTCTGCATTTCCCTGAACGTGGCATAGAACTCGCCGATGAAGTCATGCTTCCCCCTGGAGTCGTAATCCCACACTAGGCACTGTTGCACACACAGACAACACTGTTTACAACCTTTACTGAGCAGGTCTGGCAGCACACAAGGTATCACACAATATGTGATGATACATTTATTAAACTATATTCCTACTTATTTAAAGTCCATGCATATAAAATGTATGTTCATTATGGCCCTGATTTCTGATTCCAGTGGAAGCATGCTGTCTGTCCAGTTTGTGAGTCACTAATCATCGTTGCTTTTACTGCTGTGATTAAAGGTCCCATACCTTGAGCTTGCGGTCCTCATCACAGCTGCACAGGGATATGAGCGACACTTTGAAAGGCTCCCACACAGGATTGAGGTTGTTTTTAATCACCTGTTTGAGTAGGATACCATTTCATATAAGGCAAAGTGGTAGACACAGCTGTGGTTGAAAGAGTAGAAGCAAATATGATCATGTTTACCTCAGTTCTGTGCACAAGCTGTTCAGTTTCATCGTCATTGATTCGGTAAATTTCCAAAAAAGGGTCCGACTTACTGAAGAGATCCTGCAGAATAGAAAAGAGTATCAAAACTACTGGCCAACTGACTGCTGATTATAGTGTGGGAAAAAAAGATAAGTCAAAATATAGTGAGTGGGTGTAATGGTCACTTTTTCTTTCTAAAACAAATATGTAAATCAAATTAGGGAAAGCATACTCAAACAGTAAGCTATAGTTTTGTTTTTAATATTCTTATAAAAGCTGTCCAATGAAATTGAGATCTATTTAAAAATTAAAGAAATAACAATCTATGTTACATTTGTGACGGTCACTGCCTTAGTGTAGAAACAGGCTTTTACTAATTGGTTCTGTCTCCCTGTTTCTAGAGGATTTGGCTGGTCCACTCTAGAGCACCACTCTAGGGCCGGTTGCTCTCAGGGCATAAAAGCCCGACCCCAGGGTGGATCTCTCTCTCTCTCTCTCTCTCTCTCTCTCTCTCTCTCTCTCTCTCTCTCTCTCTCTCTCATGCCACATGGGATGATTGGTGTGCACACTTCAGACTTTGTTACATTTTGCTTCACAACACCCCACACTTCATTTATGCCACACATCCACTGTACACTACTGACCTTACTGACGGACACACTCCATGTTTGCTGTTCTAAGATTAGATTACTTGAAATAAATCGTGTCATAGCCCTTGAGCCAGGTTATGACACATTTGACACTGATTTAAGGTGTGTTTCTTAAAATTAATGAGTCAGGTAAGGTCTTCTGATATTTCTGAGACATTATGTTGAATGTAACAGACAAAATACTTTTCTGAATACAGTGTTCATTTATCATGTGTTGTTCAGAAATACTGTATATTATGAAAGGAAAGTAAAACATTTTCAAATGGCCATTCACTCTGATTAATAGCTGATTGAAGAGGCAGAGGAAATTGTCTCTGTGATTTTTGGCCAGAAAGAAGCAGGAACAACATTTATAGCACAGCATGGCGGCTCTTTTGGATGGGACATCATCAATGTGGCGAAAAAGGATTGATTCAGAAGAATCAGAGGATAGGTCAGAGGATATTGTTGTTAATTGCTTTGTTTGTATGTAAAGCACTTTGTACTAAATTATTATTGTATGAAAAGTGGCGTACAAAGTTAGATTGATTGATTGATTACTTTTTTCTCAAAACCTTATTTACAGTCCATAAATGTCTTTATTAGTTTCAGAGCTAGCAATAAATGTACACTTTCTTTTTGCACTTCATTACTTCCCATGTGCTGAAGGTTATCTAAAATAGCCCAGTAATGGGTTGTCATCATTGCCATCATGCATTCTAATCAACTAAATGGCAGCTGTGTCCATGCCTATCATCGGTGCATAAAAATCCCCACTAACCTGGAATAACACACATGATTTTGAATCTTTAAAGGCTTAATATGCGATTTTTCACACTACAATGTAATAGAAATCAAGTATATCCTCTGAAAATAACTCTGTGAGTCATGACTGTCGACAATGGATGTAACACCCGAGTCCCACTGTCTGTGATGCTTTCAGAGTTTTCAGAGTCCTATCTTCAGTTTGTTTACATCGCCGGGACGGCCGGCTGGCTCATCACCTTGTGTATAAAAGTTTTTTAATTGAGGGACTAGAGAAAAGGAGAATAACATACTGTACTCACTGCTTAATTTAATGCCACGTTTTTAGATCACGGTCATTTCAGGTAAATTTACATGCAGTGTGAAGATACGAACATAATAAAGATCACTAGCATTAGCATGCTAACACAACAATGCAGCGAGAGTTGTTTTGGTTTCATGCTGGTGCTCAAGGGCGACATCTGCTGGATCAAAAAGAAAATAAAGCAAATAAAGCCTTTAACTGTTATTTGCTGTAGCCTTAAATTATCCTCTGTTTCTACATGCGTCTGAGAGATGAGCAACACTGATTATTTACGTCAATCGATTCTTCAGGGAGGAAAACAAATAATTACTTTGTGTGTGTGTGTTTGTCTGCGAATGTGAATGAGCTTGAGTGTTTAGTGGCTAAGGGGTGGAGAAGGTTAGGGGGGGTTTGTGTACACCACATGAGACACTTAATTCTGCATTTCCCGCCACATTAGCCAGAAACATCTCCTGAGGGACGGGAGCAAAGAGAGCTGTAGCTTTCTCTCTTTGTCGTTATGGTAACAGCTGGCCAGGGGCATGGGTAGCATGAACTGATCCGAGACACATGTCAAAATGTATTCCCAGGCTAACAATAACTCACATGTTAATCATTTTCAATTAGCACAATTAATGGTATATCATCATTAATCCTCCTGTTCATTAGCGTCCATACTGGGATCCTTCAATATTTACTGCAGGCTGAGAGGTGATACAGCACACAGGAAGCTAATTACATACAGTTTGTTTCTTCACTCATCATCGCTATGTGTGTGTGTGTGTGTGTGTGTGTGTGTGTGTGTGTGTGTGTGTGTGTCAGATAAACGGTTGCACCCAAGAGATTCATAGCATCTAATTAGCATTGTGAAGAAACTGTACGAGTGAGTGATACACACGACTGCAGAATCTAATTATGAGAGGAAGGTAAATAATTATATGAAACAAGTTTAAAGTAAGACAGAAGCTAAAAGGTTTGCTTCATTTCGCCTCCTGAGAGTCATAACTTTGGCTTATGTAAATTACTTTTTCACATTAGTCAACCATTCAAAGGAAGAATGTGCGACTTTTCCAGTAGATGTCGCTCTTGAGCACCAGCATTTTAACCAAAACAAACTGTTGTTTGGCGATACCTCCGCTATTCTGAAGCCGCCGCTCTCCTCCAGCGGCACACTTCCAAACCCTCTCCACTTGAGTTCGCACAAACGAGTTATGAATTTGAATGCACCATAATAAAGCACCATTAAGCGCAAGTGGCGAAAAAAGTTGTCCTTTGCCTGTTGTCTTCATTGTTGTGTTAGCAGGCTAATATTTAGCATACTCTGGTTAACTCTTAACAGTCATGCCTCAGAGAGACATTTACACAGGATATACTTGATTTGTGCTGTATTCATGTGTAAAATGTTGCACATGAAAGTATTTTTTTTTAAAGAAAAATTATGAATACATATATCAAGAAGGGACAGTTGTTCACACATTAATTGGCTGTTGGTTTTGATTTACAGCTATCAATTTGAATTTTTAGCGGACAAGTAAGCCACTAGCCTTATGAAACAGTGTGTAGCAGCTAAAAAGCTAAATGTCATAGTTGGAGGAGCAAAGTGGTTTGAAACATGATTCTATTTTTTTGAGAGATAGGACAGTGGATAGAGTTGGAAATCAGGGAGAGAGAGGGGAATGACATGCGGGAAAGGAGCCACAGGCAGGATTTGAACCTGGGCTGCCCGCTCAGAAGTCTACAGCTTCCATACATGGGGTGCACGCACTAACCACTGCGCCACCAGCGCCCCTGAAACATGATTCTAATTGAATACTTCAATGTTAGTCTACTGCGTGTGTAAATAGGAAACTACTATGTAACCAGTTATCGTCAAGTTACTTAAAATGTGAACGTCACTAATTGCTCTCATAAAAGTTATGATTAGCATTACTCAGCCAGGCTCTGTGCGTATTAAACAATAGAAAGGACATCCTTAATGTCAAGTTTGGTTGAACACAAAGAAAAAAAGAATGTGGACCTTTTAACTGAGTTGTACAGCTAATAGATTGTTTGAGCCTCCTTGCCTTCATGAGGTCCTCCATTTCTTTGAGTGGATACGTAAGGTTCACACATCCCTCCAACCCCATCCGTCTCCCTCAAAATCCGCTTTTGTAATGATTTTTGTTCGTAGTAAAAAAATGCTCACTCTTGTGTCCCAGTTCACCAAAATGAAACACTGTTGCTCCACAGCTGTGGAGGGAAAAATGTGGAGGGAAAAAAAGCAGTAAATGAGATTCACCAGGACTTCTGTTTAAACTCTACTTCTATAGCAGACTGGAATTATGCAGGGGCCATGACGCACATAAAACCAAGCTGTTTTTCCCCCCGTTGCCTTTGTGTAAGAATCAGGTTCCACTTCCAACAGAGCAGGTGTAGGCACGAACTGCCAAAATAAAAATAAGTGATGTAGAAAATTCAAATTGAACACCACCGGGGATCAAGGTTGACCTGTGACTATTGAATCCTAAGGCTTGCTCCTACGAACATGGGTGAGTTCAGATCATCAGAGCTGTGATTGGATGAAAGCTCCCGCTGTCTTTTTGATTGAAATGTGCCTTCAGCAAACTTTGACAGTGTGAGAGCAGGAGCAGCTAAGGTCAGTGATATCCAGCCTTAAAGAGACAGCATGAAATCAACTATTGAAAACTCACATAATGTGAGATATTATTCACCGTCAAGTGCATTTGAAACAAGTATATTCACAAATCAATCAACGTACTTTAACACTTGAGAACATATGTTATCACCATGTAAATTTGGTATCAAGCATTTCATTTCTTTGCTGTTGCTTTAACATAAACGCATTCATTATTTGTGCATGACTGAAATATAATATTTCAAGTGGGCCTGACTTCAAGGCACCTGATGCATTGTGGGGTTAATTTGAGGTTGCACTGCAGTACCATGACAATGATATTTCTTCTTCTACTATCCCTGTCTAGTGCTATTAAAATACATGTTATGACAAATCATGCACACAGTTTCTATTTCCATCAGAACCATGTCCTTTCCTCACCTTATCATCGAGCTTCTTGGCACAGAAGGAGAGCTCCAAATATCCGTTGTTGCCAGAGATTTCCTCGGCATGGACCTGAAATTATATAAGATTTAAAATGTCATTTTTTTTAAATGTGATATTTAATGGCATTTAAAAAGATATACATATTTTGTGTGGTAATTTGAGAAACTCCTGTACTTACAATTCATCTGCACTTGTACTTAAATTTCAATATTATTCAGGGAGTAGACATTATGTCAGCTGCCACCGTGATACACTCACTTCTAAAACATAACCTTCATCTGCCATGTTTTTTTTTATTCAGACTGAAATTTAACAAAGGTCTTTTATACAAGTTTTATTGTAAGTTTGTATACACCATTTTTATTTCTATTAGAAAAAAGCTTCTTTTTGATATAGCAGTGGCACTGTGGTGAGCAGATAACAAAGGGAAGCGCTTTTTACTTAACACAGAATTGTTACCATTAAAATTGGTCCCAGTGTTTACAAAAAGAAGAAAGTTCAGATTTGCCATTTTTAAAACTCTGCACACATTCTGCTGCTTAACGAGGGGCTGTCTGGCCCTCTAACAGAACACAGAGGTTCGCTCTCCTTCTCCATTTGAAACTGACAGAAACGTATACATCAAACTTTCAGCTGTAGAGCTTGCACAGCCAGGCCTTGACAAGACTTGACAGTAATGACTGGCAAAGTAGGAAACTTGTACTTTTTTACCAGTCAGTGTTCTCTGAAAGGTATAAAGTGAGAAGAAAACGTCTTTATAAAAGGTCTAGGCTGAAGGTGTCTGAGAATTTCTCCTTGGCCTCTGTATGCTGTTCTATTTCCATCACTTGTTTTTATCAAATCATTATTGAGCCATGTCAGTCCCGTTGAGATAACAACATCTCTTTCATACGGAGCTGTGTGTGAGCTGAGCCTCAGACGTTTTCATTCCATAATATTTACATATCGTTCATTAACAGATGCCTTTTGTTGTACTTAACCTGAAAAATAGTAAGTAAATACACTTGGAGCTGGCTACATTTGCTCAAAACTTCACAAAGACATTTAACTCTCTTCACCTACAGTTGGCAGTTCATGTTCTGTGTTTAGCTGGTGTATCTAGATTATCTTGTTATAAAAAAAGTAAGACCCGACAAACACCACCTTGTTTTGATGATCACAATACATTAAAGCCAGTCGACCTGCAGCCTCGCTAACCCTCTCCCCCAGATCAACAACAGCATTGAATGCCATTTACTTATTCAATTGTTTTCTGATTTTTCATTGTCTCTGGAACTGACAAATATATAAACTCTCTATAAGGGCGCAGCAAGCAGAAAAGAAGCAAATGGTAGAATTTTATAAATGCAGAAAACAAACAAAGACAGAATGTGTGGGTAGCAGCTACATGTTTGGATGAGGGTTTAACATCATGAAGCTCTAAATTCTCTATATTTGCAAAAAGAGATGGTCAAAAAATCCCCTCGAGTAAATTCTCATTATTATCTTCCAGACCTTATAAAAGGTCTTTGCTGTAGGCTGTGGTTGGAATAAATTCCAATTCTGGCAAGAGATGAAGTGATGATGATTTTTAATGGATGAGTTGTTCTAACTTTTCCTCACAGCACAAAGGTCCTGGGTTCAAATCTCAGGCCAGGTCATTACTGTATTCAGAGTTGAGGATGAAAAGCTTCCTCCCACTTGTGGCGTGCATTGTAGTGTACACATCCTGTATGTGCTATATATGGTTGACGAGAGTAATGTCATTACTTTGCAGACCAGAGTGGAACACTGACCTGATCTGTTTGTATTGTGCTTTATATGGCACCAATCCCTAGTTAGCTTTAAAGAGCCCATATTATGCCCTTTTTGGGGTTCGTATATTTAATCTATGTACCTACTAAAGTATGTTCACAATAGCTCCGAAAAAAGTGTCTGTTTTCATGTACTGCTCCTCCTTACTCCCTCTACGCTCTGAGTCTGTCAGCTACGCTCTGCTGAGCCCACACTGTTAGACCCCACGTGGGCCTGCTCTGTCGTTATTGGTCAGTTGCTCAGCACGCGTCTCGGAAATTTCAACATGAGCTGCAGGGCTTACCACAACGAGCCAATGGGCTTAGATCAGTGATCTCACACTGACAATGACGCCGTACTGACAAATCTTTATCGAGGGGGGCTAGAACCGAGTGTTACATGCAGCTAATGCTACAGCTAACAGGAGGACGTAGGAGAAGCCGCGTTTCCGCGGACTTTGAATTTTTGCACATAGATGTGCCTAAACATGCACAGGACACTTGGAAAACACACTAAAGAGCATATAAAACCAGAAAAAGTATAATATGGGACCTTTAAGACAGTGGTTAATGGACCAACATGATTTATTTTCCTCATGTAATGGCTAATGCATGCATCATTTTGAATTGGATTTGCTTGCTACCCTGGGTTGATTTGCATGATTTGCAAAGAAAAGCAAAAAAAAAAAACTCATCTCATGGAGGAAGTGTACTTTTAACAACTGTAAAAACAACAAACTATGTATATCTATCTATATATCTATATAGATATATATAGATATATATATATATATATATATATATATATATATATATATATATATATGACAGATAGACAACAGAACAGATGAAGAGATAAGCACTTTAAGACAGACAGAATAAAAGCTCATAATGATGCCTTAGCAGATGCACAGATGTAGACAGATATCTTTCTGCTAATACCATCAATTTTCCATTCATTACTTCACTTGGCTTTGCTGGCCATTAGTCACTTCCATTCCATTTCCCTTACATCCAGCAATTCAGATAAATCCATCCACCAGAGCAGTAAGGTAGTGAGCACGATGTAAGAAGCCTACCGTGATGGTGGATTTGCCCGCATATTTTCCATACTTCAGCAGCAAAGGCTTCATCATCTTCTTTTGGGCCACAATCTTCAAAAGAGAAACATAAATGTTGGTGTTAGGACTTAAACACTAAGAGCAGAGAACAGGGATCTAAGTCATCAGTTGTAACTATCCATTACGTTGCATTCCTACATAGCAAATATAAAGTATCAGGTATGTTTACTTCCTACCTCACAGACAAAGGAGGAAGCTTCTGCATGATTTAGGTTAGGCAAGTAAAAGTTCTTACAGCACAAAAGTGACAAACATGAAGTGTCTTTTAGGAAACACAACACACAAGTCCCAAATAGGGACTTAAGTATGACAATATTCATTAATTTATTTTAAAAAAGGAACAGTGCACACTAATGAACATAAACTTGTCAATATGCCAGATTTAAGCCATAAGCTACTTTCCATCTGCTGTCCTTTGGCAGCTTGGTCGTACATACTTATACACATTTACATAAAAACCACAAGGAATTATAGACAACAACATAAACTGTACTTTAGTTGACAGAGACACATATATACAAGCATAAAAAGTGGCTGTGCAATGTTGTTCAAAACAAACCAGGATAAAGTGACCTTCAGAGTTAAAGTGCTTAAAGTGCCTGCTACTGGATGTAAAATTGCACATTTTTCCCCGAGCCTGTAACTTTAAAGTGATGTTGTGATTGCACATACTGCACCCAGTTTGCATATACAGACATGTGTATGTGTGTAGCCTACTATTGCACAGGGTTAGCAAACATAGATGTTTGTATGTATGCATAATTAAAAATAGATGGTTAGACATGGTCACAGTTCTGGTTTGTTCTGAGCTACAGCTTTAGATGACCCTTGAAAGTGTAGAAGCATACACACACACACACCAGGGCTCAACATTATAACTGGCCCGCTGACCCGGATGAATGATTGATAGTCCAGTTAAAATACTGCCTGAAAAAAAAACTGTAACACGTTCTCAATTTCACAGCGCTTTCCTGTCATAGCGGTGTTTTGTCAGTAATTATTATAACAATGTTGTGCTAAAAACTGCTACAGCATCAACGTATCATAAGCCCTCGTGCGAGCGCTTGTGTGTCACAGTTGAAAGGCAGCCGACGTCACTGCTGTCACTCCCACGAGCGCGCTCACTAAACTCGAATTGTACACTCGCACACAGATTTTAGCACAGGTTTTCTCTGATAAAAAACAGGTTTGGTAAAACGGTTTTAAAAGCCAAGCTTTTGAGTCAAGAGGTACAGCAAGGCGTGACGAAAACAGAACGGAGAAAAGTTTCAGTCACAGCTAAATTTCCCCTTAAAGTTAAAGACTAGATCCTGGTAAAGATAAAAGTTATTCACAAAGCATCTTAGCCCTTAACAGAGCTCCTAAAGTAAAGATCTAAGGATGAAGAGTTTCTCACAGAGAAGAAAAAATGAGAGAAAGGTGATCATAACAATTCCAGATCTATCACAGCCTCATATTAATATCAATCAGATTAAGGAGACTCTTACAGTTACCAGCATGGTGAATAAACATGAACTCATAAATATAAGAAAAATACACAATATTTGATATAACTAGAGCTCAATTAATTAAATAAAAGTTGTAATTTAATCTTGCATCAGAATGGTTCAAGAGTAAATTGGTGACTGTTATTTTTTTTTTAATCAAAAGTAATGTTCCTGGGCCAGCGGCTACAATGGTTGGGCCAGTGATCTCTGAAATCAGAGGGCCACTGGCAAATTTACCTTAATGTCAACCCCTGCACACATTTTATCTACGTACCTGGCCCAGGGTGCACTCCACCCCACCCAGAAAGTCGTCATCACGGGTCCCGATGCTGTGGGTGCCGTGGATGTCATAGACTTCAAATCGCAGCTTCTGGACCTCCTCAAAGTAGTAGTCCAATGAGAAAACCTTGGCAAAGACCGGGTGCAAGTTGCTCTTGATCACTTCTGTCCTGTCGAGCTGAGAGTGAACACAATTTATAAGATTTGAATATTTCACACACTTACATGTAGTATATTTAAACTTTGTAGTTTTTTGAATACACTGTGTGATTAAAGCAGTAGCACACCTTATGGATAGTCAATCTCTCTCTGACAAAGCAATAGCATTTCTGCAGACTGTATCCAGTATCATTGTACAGCAAGATCACTCAGAAATAGGACTGAAAAAAATGTTTAACAGATTTGTCTCATTTGAAGGAGCACTTGGGCAGAAAGAAGGGCAAATATTATGAAGTTCAGTCAAGAGGATGATATGAGAGAAGATTGGAAGGCCTGAACATTTAATCTCAGCGTTCATGCTTGTCTTTCAGTGGCTGACAGTGAGAAGTTGAGCTCTTTGAGGCCCCCAATAGCTCTTAATGTAGGATTTAGCTCCCAAACAGATCCGTGGACATGCATGCACTGTCCAATTTGTTGCAAGACCAAATTATTATCTAAAAATAATTTCAAGTCTGCGGAGATGATTTTTTTTTAACATAAAAAAATGAAATATTCACATAAAATTCTCATGTACTGTGTATATGTTTATTTTTTAAGCATGTTTGGGACTTAAACCTCAATCTATTTAAATCATGTAAAACAGAACAGAACAGACTCATTACAGTCTGCAGTTGATCAATTGGTTATACATAGAAAAGTGAATGTAGAGCTTTACTTGTCATCTGAAATTGTTTGTTAAGAGTTTATCCTAAACATAGATATATATCCTTGGGTACAGTTTTGTATGTCACAGTCCAAAGTCACTTTACAATGTTTCCCTCCCCTGATAAAACGACAGTATGTTTATGCCTTTAGATATGAAATAAATACAATAAAAAAAAGAAGAAAGAAATAAAACCAATAGAAATGTACATTTTTGGTTAATGAATGCATTCATATTTTATTCCTTGTAAAGATTTATTGAGGCCACTATTAATAACATTTATCTGATTGAGAGTGGGATAGCTTTCAGTTTATAAGGATTCAGGAGGATATTGGATAGGAAAGCAATATTGGCACGGCTTAAACAGGGGAAACCATTTTTTTCACCTTTAGCCCCTCCCAGCAAAATCCCTTGATTTTGATGATCAAAGGCATTTGCGACCCACCCTTAACGTTCCTCATCGTTGGAACTGGAAGTGCTTCATCGACAATTTCTGCAATTTTCCATTCGATATCAATCAATATTTCAAGCTGTGTTTAAATCCCTTAAAGCTGCCTATTCTGTCTCTTTTTTAATGAAAATGTGCTCCAGTATCTCCACTATTACATCTCACATTATTTTCATGACATCCTGCCTTTTACTCTGCCTGCAATTGTTCTTCTGACTACGTTTTAAAAACTACTTGACCCCGACCTTTACTTGTTTCACTATGTGCCACATGAGCAGCCTCCAAGTTTCTTGGCATCGGCATACAAGTTTCTGAACTCTCATGAAAGGTTCAACTTCATTCTTCTAAACGTTATTCCCTTATTTGGTGTGTTTGTGAATGCTCATCATCCAACAGGCTGCTCTAAAACCTGCCATAGGTAACTGTGAAAGCTATGAAAAACAAAACAATTAACAACATTTCATCAAACCATTCAGTGACCCCTTGTTCCCTTTGAGCAGGGGCATCTTTCATCATCCTGAAAGAGAGCACTCCTGTCAGAAAAGAGATGTTTCATCAGAGGATTAAAGTGACGGCTCAGACTCTATTGATCTGCAAAGACCGTTGCATCTAATGGGACAAGTTTACTAAAACTGAGGCAAGAAACCCCCTCTACCTGTATGCAAGCATCTTCATCATCTTCTACTTACACTTACTCAAGTTTTTGCTTTCTTGGTAACCCCGCCTGTGGGACCATTTCCTTGTTTGTTGTAATTCTGTGTTGTTTATCCTTGCTTCACATTGTTGCCTGTATGCATGCTGAGGATGGACCGCTGCCCAAAACATTCATGCATGAATAAACATTTTAATTGGACTTCTGTCCTGCTCCTGTTGTTTTCAATTTAGCTTTTAAGCATTCAGCACAACAGGGTTGGAAGTGTTGAGTCGTTACATACAATTTTTTGGGGGCTTTTTTATCAATATGCAATTCAATTTGTTGTTCAGTCAATTCTGAAACAGTTCACATTTCAAGATGCTTGAACTACAACATAAACAGAACATGGTCAAAAATAATTAGATTTTGGTCCTCATCAAGGTTCTAGATGTATAACTAAAATATGTCGAAGCAAGTAGAATTAAAAAAAAACAATAATACTACTAATAATGATTTTTTTTTTTTTTATGATGACAAACATCCCTCCCTTACCTTCAATCATTCCCATCTCTCATTATTATCTTTGCCTGTCTTCTCCTTCTCTATTCGTGCCATCTGGATGGACAGCTTTGGGATGAGTCTGATGAGTCTGTTTGTTGTTGAAAGCTTATCAGAGCTATGGAGGATAGGTTGTGCTGAAGCTTGAGATGCCTGTTTGTTGCTGGTGTGGGGCCAGTTTCCTGACATGGAAAATTAAAGCTTTCTCTGATCAGTCCTGACAGGTATGTAGAGCTTTATCTGCCATAGTGAGCCCCTGTAGTTCAGGTTATATCAACAAATAGATCTGAATAAACTCATTATCATGGGAGTCCAGTTTACTCAAACACGGAGTCCAGTTTACTCAAAAAAAGAGAAACCTACTGTCAGAGAAAATAACACTGTTTATCTCCACCTTCTTTATATCATGTTTTATATTGTGCTTGAAGAGATCAGGTGGTGAATTAAGGCTATAAAGACAAAGCACTTCAGCAAACAGCAGTAAGTCAAGGGGGGCATATCAGAGCGGAGAAAGAGGGTGGTGGTGATATGAGTGGGCTCAGCCTCTTACTCAGTTGTTGACGTAAGTAAACAATTTGCACAAGCAACGGTGCTAAGGGATTTGACAGCGGAGGATTGTGAAGTGGTGTGCACTGTCAGTACTGTGAATTCTCAGAGAGATACAGAGGTAGAGGTGGACGAAATAGACATATTTTATTTTTTCAAATTCTGATTCGATCAATAGGTAGTAATAATAGACTATTAGAACCTTCTAGAGCAGGGGTCTCCAACAGGTAGCTCGGGAGCTACTGGTAGCCCCGCGGGCAGGTTTTCAGTAGCTCGCCTATAGGTTGACTGACTGTGTTAAAAATAAAAATAAAGATCTGACGACAGTAAATGCACCTCTTCCCACTATTCATATATTTGGTCCATAAAAACAAGTATGAAGTACTAATGTTTTCTTGGACATTGATGTGAATTTAATATTATTGACAAGCATTGGCTTATTGCAATTTCACACATGTACAAACAGTATCTTAATTCAGCTGAGCTATGTAAATAAATGCAAGCGATTTGATGCAAGCAGCCCTTGGCCACTTTCATTTTTTGAAAGTAGCTCTCAGATGAAAAAAGGTTGGAGACCCCTGTTCTAGAGCGTTTTAAAGTCCTGAATTGTATCTTTTTAAGCCTCTAGAATTCTGGTTTAATGTACAAAATACAGCTTATGTTAGAAATGGGAGTATAAATAACCATCCACATAATCTGAGAGAGAATAAATATATACAACAATTAGAAAAACCTAATGGAAGGCTGATGATTGAAAACAGCTCAATTTGCTGTTTGAACCCTATTTCAAGACTGTATGGGCGTGGCCGACCAAATAGATTGACATCTCTCCACACATAACAATGCTGCATGTGACAATTGGTTTAGTGGAGCTCTAGACAGTATGTTTCAATCGTGTCAGTCAGAATCAGAGGAGAAAAAGCCCTGCCATCTGAATTAATTTTAATATAACAAAATCTTTTCTATCCATATTATTGATAGCACTTAGCATGAACATGAAATGTTGCATCCTATTAGTTCTAATGCTATAAACGCAATGCCAATATAAAGCTCTGCAACCCCTCTGCAGAAAGGTAACCACACCACATTTTAAACCAAGTGGCACCAAAGTTCACAAGAAACTTAATTGTAAATATTTCTGTTTTGGATGAAAATATAGTTGGAAGGTTATTGTGTAGCTTGATATCAAGGGGTTATATGTAAGGGCATTGGTTCCCAAAGTGGGGGTCGGGACCCCTTGCGAGGTCAGCTATACAAAACATTGTCAATTAAAAATAAAAACAAAATTAGTTAAATGAAAATGATATTAATGTGTAAAATTCTGAAAATGTAAGTTTGCACATGACAGCAACAATTTAGGTGTCTGCTGTTTTTTTATACATAAAGATGAACACACCTGTATGTCTATTCATTAAGTTGTGTATGTCCACTCAGTGCTAAAGTCGATACATTGAAATTACTATTCTGCTTCTAGCCTTTGTTACAATAAAAGATTGTTATTTTATGGTTTTTAGGCTGTTGTATTCTTTTGTGATATTCTTTTGTGTTACCAGTGTTTGATAGTCCTGTTTGGTGCGCTACGTTTAATTGTAAAAATACTTACAACATGTCCCCTGTTGCTGTTTTGCAGTGTTTCCCTGCATGAAATTCGCCAGTTAAGGTAGCAGAAAGGTGGTAGGTGGTAACTACAGGGGGAGGTGCATTAGTTTAGGAGCTGTATCTTCAGTTTTTGGACTAAAAACAGCACTCTGTAACAGAGTATGTTTGTCCAAGTTTGCCGCTACAGACTACAGCCGGCTGTTACGTCACTAACAATAAAATTCTGACTGTCCTCAGCTGATACCTTCATGTTTAATAGAGGCTCTGTGAGATGAAACAGTGAAAAGACTCGTCAGAAAAAATGTAATCATACACAATGAAATATCAACACTTAACAACACGTTTCTGTGTGTGTCCAAAGCTGTTGGATCTCACATATAGACGCAGGAGAATTTGAATCCCTTTTAGTTAGTTAGTTAAGGTGCGTGTTGTTAAGGCAGGTGCCTTAACTATATAGCACTGCGGGAAAGACTGGTTTGGTGTTGTATAACTGGACTAAAATTATTAAAATTAAAACTACTAAAGGAGCCTATTTATATCTCAGGATTGCACTTGGTTACAACAGACAGACAGACAGACAGATAGATAGATAGATAAATAGATAGACAGATAGATATATAGCACATCTGAGATCATTATATGTATTGCCTTCAGTAACTGTAGCTTAAAATAGACACTCATATATGCTACATTGAACCCAGGTCAGTCCTCGCATGTAACAACCTACTTACAACCAAGAAAAATCCATAACTGCTGTGTGCTCCACACTGTCAGCTGAGTGCTTTTATCATCACATGCCACAAAATATTGTATCCATGTTCCACATTCATACAGCCCAAACATTACTGTGAGCTTCTTCAACAAATGGCCCCCATGTAACAGGAATCAAGCAGAATTACCTTCCATTTCAATAAAAGGGAGGTTTTTGTTGGATGAAGGGTTGTGGGACAATAAATCTATATAATTACATATTTTTTGTCACTGGCAAAACACTGGCACATGTTGGCACTCCTTCATGAATTAAAGAGCTCAATTCATAGGGAAGTGAGAGACCTGCTGCCTGGCTTCAAATCAGCTCGGGAACCATCCAAGAAAGTAAACATTTACAGCTGGAATACCAATCGACACACTTCATATAAGCAGTGTGGTTTTTGTCCACACATGGAGACCAGCAGACTTTATAAACTGTCTTACAATGTGAATCCTACAGAGGAGACAAACAGCTGTTGTGTGAGCCTTGGTCTCTTCCAAATGCATGAAAGAACTGCTGAAAGTTTACCAAACCAATAGCAGATTGAACTGGTGGGGACCAGTGTATAGTATTTCCCGCATAAACACTGATTTATCATAAAATATTACCTTTTCCAGATTTGTGATAATATACTATGGGAGGAGGATTGGCCAAGTGTGTAATCCCCAAAGCCTTGCTGTGTAACTATTAAGAAAACAAGTGCACAGATCACATCAACATGCTGTAATTTGAAATCCTACATATGTATGATTCGAGGTACAATTCTTTACACATTAAATAGTGTGGTTAATGACTTAGAAAGGGAGGTAAATAAAATATGGTGGATTCATTTTTACAAGCCTAATGCTACTGCCTACAGAATTGGTCCCATAAGGTCCAACTAGCATTTGTCGGAATAGAAAAAAACAAAAGAGGGGGCTCACCTCTGTCCACTGCCCGTTGGTCTGTACCATGAGTATGACACAGGGGTCTGACTTGTTCAGCGTGTCTCGGTCCAGCAGAGCTTTGCAAGACACCCGCAGCTCCACTTTGGAGACGCAGGTAGCCGGGCCGCTGAGGCTGGTGGCAGGGGAGGTGGCCTCCTGAACGTCATTCATCTTGGCTCAGGGCAAAAGGAACTGCGAACCAGTGGAGCGGTGTGAGTGGTGTGAGGATGTTGGTTGTGGCTCCGAGGGGACGGGTAAATATAGTGGTGGGTAGCTCAGTAAAGACAAGACACGCTCCCTGGAGACAGGCTCTTTTGACTTGATGACACACAAAAAGAAGAGAGACTTCTGTTAAGTCCCAGAGGAGCAAAGAAAAGTCAAGCTGTTATCACTGGCTGTCTGAGATATCCCCGTGTGAGGAGGATCCTCTCACCTCCGTGATGATGAGAGACAGGACGAGAAGCTGGGACTTTAGAAGTCTCAATCAGACTGAAACAATTTAATAAAGGTGTCTACATCTAGTGCTTCTCCTTTTGAAATGCTCTTAACTCCAGTATGATAAAGAAGCAAGGATTCCTCCGCATTACAACACAATCCACAGGAACAAAAACAGAGACTTTGACTGTCATTTTCCGAATAATGCTGTTCAAACCCTGTTTCCAGTCCTAAACATAGTGGGGGGTTAACTATTCTTGAAGTGACAAAAAGCTAAACAGTGGGTGTACAAACAAAAGTGGCTGATAAATTCAGGAATCCGACAGACACATGGCTGAGTGTCGTTTTCCCCTAGATGACAACATAACACTGAGAAAAGGACTTAGAAAATCCCTGCTGAAGTGTCCTTAAGCAAAAGGGTTTCAGAACCCCGCCCCCCCCTTAAGAGGAGGTAAGTATGAGCGCTGTATAGTGGAGGGTGGGATGGGGATGATGAATTTCTCTATCTTATTTAGCCTACTCAATGCTTTACTTTAAGTGTCGCATTCTAAGGTGGCAAATGAACAAGAGCGCTGTGTGTTCGTGTGTGTGTGTGTGTGTGTGTGTGTGTGTGTGTGTGTGTGTGTGTGTGTGTGTGTGTGTGTGTGTGTTTGTTTGGCTTACAGCACCACGGACAGCGCCCGCGGTTTGTTCACCAGCTGTGGGTCTGGAGACCAGATGTGACCCGAAAGCATCAATCTCGTTGCTCTAAATACATTCACACTTAAGGGGTTATGATAAACGAACCAAGCAAAAGTTGAAGTGATCAAAAACCTCTCGGTAAAGCAACACATACGCGAAAGAGCGAAAAAGCTGCCGATTTCATCCAACTACTTAGAGAAGGCGATACGGGAAATGCTACTGAACGGTCTGTTATTAATTTGCAACAATAAAACAACTCTGCTACAAATCTGTGACAGACTAGAATTGGCGTTATTTCTTTCTTTCAAACAACAAAGCGTCGTATTAAAAAAAAAAAAGCTACTTTGAAAACATCGTTTCTCGTTGACAGTCTGCGTCGAGTCCTCATCAAAAACAACAAAACATCAAGTGTGCTGACGGTCAAGTATGCTATAAGAAACATAAACTCACTTCCCTACCTTTCGTTGTTCCTTACTCTCAAACACTTGTTAAATCCTCTCCCATATTAACACACTGCTTGATTATCTTTTTTTTTTTCCTCCACTGAAACTCATTGGTTAGGCTGCTGAGGAGGGAGTAGGCTTGTCGAGATTGGGAGTGGAGAGAGTCCAGCTGCTGATGTAAGGATGGAGGGGAGGTTTTAGCTGAGATTCGATTATTTGGAGTTCGAGTTAAGAATCGAGCCTTAAAAACTAACCTCAAGGCACGTTAAAAATGCATAACAAAGGCCTTAGAGATACTTCAAAAAAATCTGGAAATATACGTATATATTTTTTGATATGCTGAAATCAAGGAGAGCCTACAGGTGTGACAACCTTGTAAAATATATGTGCTTTAAACTCAATATAATTTCTAGAGATTGTTAATCCTCTGCAGCCATAGTGAAGGACTTTTGATTTATTGTAGCTTATATACCGACTGATATATTATTCCGATATCTGATTTGGCCGATAACCAGTAAGAGGATTTCATCAAAGTCTTTGTAGCTGATTTATGATGCCGATGCTGTTATTTGCACATATTTCGTTCAAGTGAATTGCACAGACATTCAAGTCTCTGTTTGTAAAATTAACATTAAAGTTTGCATTCAATCTTTAGAATATAACCCTTGTCAAATATATCATATCATACAATAGCCCAAGATTCTTTTCACAATGTTTTACATTCACTGGGCTTGATAACAAAACTGCCGTAAGCTAAGTTACATGTAAAATATGCCAAACTTCTTTTCATGTAACACAATGTTTACACATTGAATGTACTGTATAACCGAGCGTTGCATACTGTGGACAAACACGTTTTTGCTTCATACAGAGATGTCCCTGCTGCTACAGCAGCAAGTGTAAAACATGAATCTCTGATCAGAGTAGGAGCCATTTCCCTGCATTAACTGGACCTTTTGTTGAACAATGACATTACAATCTAAAATGAGATGCATGGGCACCAAAGCACACGTGAAGATAAAAGGGGAAATCAGATACTAGAAGGATAACCATCTCTGTTTGCTAATTTGCTCTTAGAAAAGAAGAGGATTTATCCGTGTGTCAAGGGGTGGCTTTGTCTCATCTCATAAAGAAATGCATAGGAAGCACATGAGGACAGGACATATCAGGGACATAAAAGGATGGATCTTCCCGAAGCAGCCTATCAGAACCAAGGCTCCATGTGGGAGCTCCAGACAGTTAAGGACCTGTGACTCTTTGCTCTTTTCCTGTTATTGAAAACACACACACATAGCTGTTTACTCTATGTGAACATACACTGCAGCCAAATGTTACATAAAAATGATCATGACCTGATTCATTGTGTAGATATTCAATCAATTGACAGCAATGTATGTTATGTAAGGTATTGTTTAAACACATTTATGCTTGAATCTTTTCACAGTCCGCCCACTAATGTATTATTTTCATGAATGTATTTCCAGACATTGCATAACATTTATAGATTTTTAGATTGCACTGAGGCTCCTGCAGAATTCTGCAAAAACAGAGCAAAGGCTGTAAAAGACAAAGGCGCTAACAGGATAAACAGAATGACTTCGGAAAATTTGGTTTCATCAGACATACACTTAAAATGACAACATAAAAGCCTTGCTTTAACTGTTTAAAAGCACCGTGTTGGCTTGGCTGTTAGTTGAAGAGCACTTTTGTAACCTGTAACATGTTGTTCCTGACTACTTTGAAATATCAGGACTCTGAAGTGTCCTTCAAATAGAAAGACATTTTTTATTTTCCATTAAAGCTTTGCAGCATTACAACTTTGTCTTCGATTTAAAGAGTACAAGGCTGATTCTTTTAGACTCTCAGAAGCTTTCAGCTAGTAATACGATGTGAGCAGAAAAAAAAAGGCAGGTCAATTTATTGTAGCAACTCCCAGCTTCTAATAATCTGCTTGGTTAAGATAAGCAATTTTACCTTTTTTGGTGAAATTCTCAAACGCACGCCTCAAAGTGCATACACTGTTTTAAACATGGGATCTGGCTGTTTTCTGACATCACCCCCAATTAGTTCTTTCCTGCAGTTCTCACCCCCAGTGCCTTTTCTTCCATGAGTACTCAGAGTCGCTCTACTTTGGGGCTCACACCTGAGCCCTGTTACACGACAGCTCAGAACAATGGCCATCTGCTGCTGCTGCCGCTGTCTCAACACCTCACAGGACGTTCTCTGAATGAACACATGGTTCATTTATGCAACCCCTCTGCACTTCCATTCAGCGCTCGGCTTGGTGATTCTGACCACATTACGTGCTTTACTCATAACAAGGTCTCTTAGCATGGTCTAATGCACTCACATTTTCTGTCCAACTAACTCCTGTGTTTGTGTAATATCATCCACAGTTTTCCACCAGCAGCTCCCTGGAGAAACACTCATTTTGAATGTAGGCAGGTTTTTTTTTAAGCACACCATTGATTCTCTAGTCTTTCCTATTGGTGTTGGTAGCAGTAGCATCTCTTTTAATGGTAACCAATCAGTCTGCTTGTGTTTCAGCTCTACTTTAAAGCCTCCTGAGCAGAAATGCTTTCTTTTTGAGTGTCCTCAGTCATCATTCTATTCGCCTTACTGACTGAAGGTGACACTGTTAGATAAAAGCAGCACAGGCGAGTCCTTCATTTCAGTTGGACAGAAGTAATAGTGCCTGTAGGGGTACGGATTTTAAGGTGGAAGATCAGGTGAGCAACATAGAAAAACAAGTTGTTGCACAGAAATTGGCACCTTTGAAAGTGTTCGATGTAAGACATATTAAGAGAATAGTCAAGTTAATATTCACAACTACAAAAATGTAACCAAAGCAGCAGGGGGGTTTATAATATATGGCAGAAATTGAAGGTGGTAGCTCATAACACACTGAAAAATTCAGAGAAGGAATATTACGATTTTGGATTTGTAGCCCTGATCTCCAGTTAGGAACTCTTTGTTTCTGTCTACTTTTGCAATCCCATGGGAAAGTTGCTATTATGATCTTTTTTCTGGTTTGGTCCTTTACCTGTTGGAGTAGTTTTGGTTTTCTTTTTACACAAAAATGACTCTTCTTTCTTTTAATGGTGAAATGTATCACTTATTAAGAATCTTTACCTTGGAAAATTGTTTAGTTTTTTTCAAAGTCTGTTTCTGCAGCATACTGTTCTTCATGTCGTCTAACACTTACCCCCAGTAGCAGTTTCAGGAATTGAAAATAACATGATAGAAATAGTCAGTCACTTTGCAGATGGACGTCATGCTTTTGCAGGTCATGAAGAGGTACAAGTATTCATTTCACTCAGTTTCATAACCAGCTTAAATCTAATCATGGAAGCTATAAAGTGACAGCTTTATACAACATTCTCATCACTGTGTTGTCATTGGTCTTTTATCATTAAAAACACATTTCAAACGATAATGTTTTAAACTGCAAAACTCTACTATTGCTGTTAAAACATGCTTTTCTGAAACCTGTGATTGCATGCTCCCACAACTTCATTACTGAATTTATCCAAACCATCTTGCTCCACACTTGGTGTATAATTTACAATCCCAAACTATAACATTCACAGTGATAAACCAACAGGGGCAAAGAAATGATTCCTCATACCATAGAAACACTACCTGTAGATATGTCTGCTATTTCTGCATGATTACAGACTTAAATGACAGATTGACTTTTTGTCAATATACTGATCAATGAATGGACTAACTCTTTCAACTCTGGGTCAGTTTTGGATCTTATACACTGACCTTGTCAACATAATCCTCTCTTTCCTCATGTTACTGCTTATCTAAACTAAAGAATTATCTCTAAGCATCTCAAGTGATGTTAGTTTACCATAGTGTATCACTGGCCATTAACACACTTTTAAGTTTAAAGCATTTTATAATGTTTCAAACGCTGGGAATACACGAGACACATCAAGGAAAGTTGGTACGAGGAAACGGTTATTTCTAGTCCTTGTATTCTATTACATCTGTATGAGCTACAATATTTTTTGTGAAGTTCCCTAACTAACTTGAGGAAAAATACCACCATCTTTTTCTGTGCCCATTTCAGCAGTATCAATCACCTTTGGTCCAAAATGACTCGACGGTCCACTCACCTCCATTAACTGAATAATTTATCTGCATGCTGACGTCTGGAACACAGTCAGACACCTAAGGAGACACAGACAAGGACGCTTAAGTCTCACCTCATCCTGCCTCCTGCAGTCTGTGTATGTTGTTGTTCATACTGGAACTGGAAATGATCTAATGGTAGTATTTAATAAATTCAAAATAGACTATGTCACTTTTTTGGGGGGTGTTTCTCTGCATTCTGTGAGTCATCTATCCAGTTCACTTTATCTTAACTACACAGTGCACTCGACATGTGCACATAGTTTTGGAGTCTCAGTTGTCATAGCAATGATCCATATTAGCAGTCTGTTTTGCTTCAAGTTCGTCAGCTCTTAACCTTCTGTATAAAAATTAACTTCTCCCACTGCTGAAGCTGAGAACAAAATCGTCCCAGTGGGAAGATATTTTTTACATTCTCCACTCCTTCCCCTGCCTGTGGGGTTCTTATTGACTTCCACCACTGCTACCTGTATTCAACATGCTGTGGAAACGGAACAGGTCTTCTGTATTATTTCGGTCTTTCACAGATGTGAGGCTCTGTATGGATTAGACTTTTCATCTGGCTAAGACTTCATTTTTTAAGGTGAATATCTGAATAATTTGTTTACTGAACCTCTCTGAATGAATGCATCAATTTGTTATGTGCTTCTTTCCTCTAACTCCTTACATAATCTAGGGATCAAAGGGTAAATTCTACTCCAATTACATTTTCTCTACCAGCGAAAATAATATACTGAGCTGATGGCAAATGTTACATTTCCTCAAACAGGAAGAAAAAAGCCATATCTTGCACACCTTTATGTGTCCATTAATGTGCAACATTTTGAGCCTCTGGTGCCACCTACTGCTTCAAATGAGCTCAACATCTCAGGTTTTACTGCACAGCATCAACATTCATGTCAACTTCCAGCAAACTAAGTGTGAAAAAATTGGTAATGCATTTCACACCATCATCTGCACTTATTGCCTCTAAGTACAGATACTGGTTATGTGCTCAAACCCATACATATGCTCATGTGGCCAAAGCTCAGGAGGGATAAACCTTATAAAAGTTACTGAACAAGTTACTGTTACAGGTGTTTTTCAGTTGGAAAAGTTATTACTATTTTTGGAACAATGTTGAACTCCATTCATCTCCTTCACTTTCATGGTTTATCGTACATTTTGCTTTCATCTTTGATTCATATAGCAGAGGATTGCATCATTTAGTCTGCTGTCAAACAAAAGGATTAAATCGAGTAGGCTTATCTTTTTTTTTGCCATCAGGATTTTCATGAACTACTGCCTTTTTTGGTTTTTATTCCCTTGTTCCTAACGTGTGCGTGTGTGTCACATCCATGTTGATACCAAGAGTGCCCAAGTCCCCTGACTTCACCATTACAGTTCTCAAGTTCACAATGATGACATTCTCACAAGAATCTTTTTATAAACTTTATTTTGCAAAGTTCGGTATAGTCTATTTTTACTTCTTCTTCTCCACGTCCTGCTCAGCAGCCTCCTTGGCTCTCTTGGCACGGATGCCGAAAAGACGAGCGTTTGCACGAGCCATACGCAGGCTGGCGAAAGCCTTGAAATTCTTTTCATCCTCAGAGATGACCCTGGCCTTCTCCTTCTTGTGCACCTGGAAGAAAAGACAATTGTGAACACAGGAAACCCCTTCCACATATTGCTCTGTCTCAGCTAAATGCAGCCAATGTTGACTGAAATGCAAATACAAGTCCAAGTGTATGGCATCAATATTTGCTTTGAGAGGGTTTTTTAAAAAGCAGTCATCAGAAAAGGGGTTCAAAGCTTCATCAAAGTAGTACAGAGATTCCGGAGATTTGTCATCATTTGACTGCTGAAGACATTTTTGGCAAACGTGATTGGCAATTGATGAAAAAGATGGAAAAAATACCCAGACACCTTGATAATTTACATGTTGTGGTTTAACATTAGGTCACATGATCTATATTGTCATATATCTAAACACATGAAGGTAATGAGTTTGTTTACTCTTCGTGAAAATGACATTACTACTTACACTTTTGATGGGCATGACTGCACCAGCAAGCTGAGTGGCCATCTTGAGTTCCTCCTCCTGAAAAGAATAAAAAAGGTTCAATCTCTACGGTAATCAAAAACTTGCATTTCTTGTGAGATTTGTTCAAATTGAGACAACCCGTAGCTATCGCACATATCTGGGTGCTGCCAAATAATTGAAAAAAACAACATCCTAATCAAGGTCAAGTACATTTTCATCCAAGTGATTCACTAAAAGACAATGTTTTTATTATCATCAGCACCTTAATCAAATGTATCACTGCAGTGATGAGATTTTTTTCTCAATTTAAATGGAAGTACTACTCCCAACAGTGTACAGGCAGAAACAGGTCCAATAAAAAGAAGAAAAGAAAGCTAATTATTATCTTCAATGAAGGTGTTGCACGAGTAAAAAGCCAGTCTCTTCCTCATTTAACAGTGTAGTGAAGATTATTGTGGATACTTAAAGGCAGTGCTGTATTATGCAAAGTTTGAGTAAATGATACTCTGATAGGGTTTAATCTGAGTCTCCAAAACAAATCCTGATTTTTAGTCATTATATCACAAATTCCTGTTTTAGACAGAGTTCATTAGGTTTTCTAACACACTTGTTATGATTAATGTGTGGGAGATACTTTCATGGTTACTAGAGGTCAAATGTTCAGGTCCAGATATTTTTATTTTATCACGGAGCGACAACAAAAACATATTATACTGTTCAATATTCATTTTGTCTTGTCAATATTATTGTGATGACTCACTCCAACTAACCACATGTCTTCACTGAGTGTTTTAACACTTATTTTCCAGATAAATGAGCCAACCAATAAAACAAGTTTTTAACAACTACTACAGTCTGTCACAGGCCGGGATAGACTGTAGTAGGGATGTTTGTTTCTTTCACATTCTATGTAACAATACAAAACTTACAGTGCTGTCTCCCTTCTTGGGAGCAGAAGCCTTCCTGGGGAACAGAATGAGTTTGGATCGGTACTCCTTCAGGCGCTGCACGTTGGCCTGGAGAGATTCTGTGGATCTGTTACGTCTGCGAGAGTCAACGGAGATGCCAATGGTGCGGGCTGTCTTTTTGTGGATGCCAGCGGCCTGCAACGAAGGGTAGGGCACATTAGTTTTAAATACATCAGACACTCTCTCCACTTTGCCATATTGGGTTTGGTTTATTATTTTTGTCAATGATAGCAGTCATCAGAAAAGGGGTTCAAAGTATTCATCAAGAAAATACAGAGATTCCGGAGATTTGTCATCATCTGACTGCTGCCACAAAATACAGTTAGTGTTAGTTCTCATTTTTCTGAATGTGATGACCCACCAGGATAGTGGGCTTTTCTTTTTCATGGATCAGCTCAGTATCGTGCCAAATGATAATGTCTTGTCATCCATTCGTATTTCTATGAAAAATGTATCATAATTTTGACTAGCTGGTGCTTTGGTCTCGATATCCATTATCTAGTTTATCAACATAGCCTTGCACAAAAAAAAAAAAAAAAAAAACTTTACATATACTGCTTCATATTTTAGTATAGTATTTAGTATTTAAGTATGCAATAGATTATACCCAAGTACTTCAGACTCACAATGCAAACCCTTTAAGTTGGAGTACATTCTTTTTGTGTCAAGGAAATTACTTCTGTGCCCAACTCAAAAGCTGACATTTTACAGGAAACTGCTATTAAAATTTCTTAGGAAATGTACTCCATTACTTAAATAGCAACCTGTAGTTCAGTAAATAGTACTGATCCAAGTAACCATAAAGGCAACATAAACTGCACAAAGGTGAGTTATCAATGTGGTTTGATTCAACGTCTTGTGAAGGAAAACAACAAATGTCAACTTGCTCTGTGTTGATGCACATCAACAGTCACTTAGCCTTCCTCCCACAATAGGAAAGTACATGGGAGGAAAGGCGAGGTACACTCTGCCAAGAACATCCAAGACTTTGAGCAGCACTTGCTATACATCCAGTGATTTTTTTTTTGGGTGGGATGCATGATTCATCCCTCAAAGGTTGACTCTTTTTTGCATTGCATCCACCGAGGCTGTGAAGAGCTTTTCTAACATGGAGCTCACCTTGCTAAATGCTAGGTTTAAGGTTTTCAGTCATGCTGGCAAACAACTTTTTTTCTTTTTTTAGGGGGGGGCCCAATTGACTTTAAGTCCTAAGACAATTTCAAAGACTGCACATTTACGGGAAGGAATGAGTGAATCGATTCGTTCAGAAAACATTTTTAAAGGGACAAAAAATATTACCTTGAGCTCCTCCAGGGTGAAGCCACGTCCGGCACGGACCTTGGTGTGGTACCTGATAGTGGGACACCTGACTTGTGGCCTCAGTGGTCCAGCGACAGGGCGAGGTGCTATGCGACGGGCCTTGGCCTGGCGAGCCTTTCGCCTACAAACACAAATATTAAAAACTTGAGTTATACAAGCAATTTTGCAGACGAATGAACTACTTGTCTGTTTATGTATTCCTGATTACATTTCCACTACATCTCAGTCATTCTGAGACAGAGAAAATCCTGCTTGCTGCAAACAACACATAGGATACACAGTACATATTAATCCAATAATTGTTTCTTTGAATCAGGTATGCAGCCTTCAATGAATGTACTCACGTGCATCAAACTATGCACATGATGGTCAAATAAAGGGTGGCCCAACCACTTCAAAATAGCCACAAGACCAAGTTAGTTCTTACACAATGCATGGACATCTTTATTTTACTGAGCTGTTTGAAACTACATCAAATGTGTTTGTCAATACATATAAAATACTAATCCACCCAACTTCTAATGGCAACATGCGCTGGAGGTACACATGTTCATTTAATAGAAAATATAGAAAAAATACAATAATCCAAATACAATAAAAACTGAAGTGATTGTTGCCAAGGTAACAGACTATTCTCATGTTGTGAACATAGTGTATAAAGTCGTTTATCAATGTAAACACCAAAACCCTTTTTTTTGTGATTATCTGCTTAGTTGTGTTGGCATTAAATGAAGCTCCCTAAACATGTGGAAAGCTTTTATAGATAATGATGAAGAGATAATGCTCTTCATTCTTTCAGGGTAACATTTCACCTTCAGGTAGCATCACTGCTCTGAACCAGTAGACAGATATTTAGTCTCACCTGCGGATCTTCCTGGCTGGCTGGTTGAACCAGGTGCGGACTCGTTTCTGCCAGTCTTTGTGGAAGTGAGGGTTCAGGAGCATTCCATTCCGGCTGGGGGCCATGGCTGCCTACTTCCCTGAGAAGAGAGCACGACACACGGACATGAGGAGGCTGACATGCCGGCACAGCACCCACAACGCGACGTGCGAGATGCTAAGCTAACAGGTTGTTGATGTTAAAAAAAAGAGTTGTTAAGATAGCCAATTCACGTTAAATAGCAGATGAATGCTGTTAAACACATCTGAGCATGAACGCGTTTGCTCATCGTTACCCGAATTAACATGAACTTAAAGTGTACGTAAGAAGATTGTCTGTATGGGAAATGCTAAGAGTCACACACCGACACCACGTCACTGACGATGGAAACACACAACTAAAACAAACATCAGTAATAACAATAATCCTCTTGTTGCAAAGGGGATTAAACACGCTATTTGACACTGTACATGAAAATCACAAAATACCAATAAATACCGAGGATTGAAGTAGATTATTGTTAAATCTGTGGAGGATAATTTCTCATACCTAAGAGGGGGGAAAATGGCCGAAGGAAAAAGGAAGTTGTGCGGCGGTGCATTCTGGGATATGTGTCTTCCAGCCAATGGTCGAACAGACGCCTTTAGAAAGAGGAAGAAGAAGAAGAAGAGCACAGTCACCGAAAGCCTCTAAGACTATAACATTTTAAATTAAAAATTAATAATTTGAGTTAGTAAGTGATTGTATGAACATCGAGAAGGTTAAATGTAAATAATCATTAAAAAACAATTTTGATTATTTTTAAATAAGAGGGTATAATTAATTTTATAATCATACTTATGGTTAAAATTAGAAAACTTATTTTGCATTTTAGACAAAACACCCTTTTTTATTATATCTTTTTGTTTTTCCACATCCTTCAATCTATCGAGCATTGTTTATATAGCTCCTATCAAACAAATCAAATTCAATTCAAAGTGCATTAAAAAAATAAAAATATTGAAAATAATAAAAATGCAAAGATAAAGAGTTAAAGATGAATAAAACAATCGAATCAAATAAACCATTATAATGATGAAATTATACAACCTACATGAAAGCCAGACTGAATAGATATATTTTTAGTTTACATTTAAAAGACTGTTCCAGCGTCTCTGAGTGTAATGGCTGAAAGCAACATTACCAAATGTTTATGATCTGCTTATTGGAATAACTAAAAGAGGGGGATCTGAGGGGGTTCATAAAGTAAAAGCATCTCGAAGATGTAGTCTGGTGGAAGTCAAAAACTCACAGGCAGCCAGTGTAAAGATTTAAAAATGGTGTAATGGAAGCTCTCTTTCTGTCTTTTGTTTAGCACTCATGCTGCTGCATTTAAAATGAATTGCAGCTGATTCATTGTATTCTTTGGTAGACCTGAAAGGAGAGCATTGCAGTAGTCTAGTCTGCTATAACAGCATGCAAAAGTCTCTCTGTGTTGCTCAATGAGAGAAACAGCCTAACTTTAGAAATGTTTTTTAAATTAAAAAAATGCTGTTTTTGTGATAAAATCAGAATCATATATTACACCTAAATTTCTTAACTTCTTGGTTTGGGTTATGTCCAGGTGTATTAAGTGTAGAGGCCAGTTTCTCTCTCTGAACTATTGAACCAATGGGGAGTACTTCTGTTTTGTCCAGGTTGAGCTGTAGAAGTCTATGTCTATGTGACATCCAGGCTTTAATATCTAAAATACAGTTAAACAGTGAGTCAGTCTGCCTAGTGTCATCAGGAGACATGACCACATAGATCTGAGTTTATTCAGCACACTGACTCATGCCTACTGATGACACTCATCTTCTAGTCTTCTGCTTGTAAAGTTTGCACAACCAGCCAAAAGTCCAGTATTTCAAAAGTCCCCCCCCCCATCATAGTTATGTTATTTAGATATGTTATATTTGTTTGTCACATGTCTGCAATATAGTTTCATTCTGTATGTACACATTAACTATAAAATATGTAAAATGTACAAAGGATGTCTATCCTAATCTGCTGCCCATAAAACATATTTTACAGGCTGATGCTTATTTCCTTATATGATGTTCACATATTTGATACAAATAAAATGAAGTTATCACACTTGCCACTAGATGTAGGACAAGCACATTTTATCATTGGTTAGCAGCAGCTGTAAAGATTGCTTTTTTGTCAGGTCAGAGATTGACAATTCACAGGCTCCAACTATAACTTGTCACAGCATAGTGTGTAGTGGCCCATTTCTGTTATCTACCCATGAAGCTACAGTTTGAAAAAACCCAACGACATCAGCCCCTTCATTTGAAAGCAAAGCTGGCATTGTAATGTGCTGTAAGCATGCAGGACAGTGGAGCAACCTTGATGAATAAACTGATATAATAAAAACACATATCGACACTTCCTGTGATTAGATGTATCATCACTTTTACTGTGTTCGGGTCAGAATGTCCTCTGTGATCAATGAAGGGACTATAAAACATCTAAAACGATAGCTGCCAGTATATTAGATGACATGTAACAGCTTTGGACAATGCTTGGGGCAACTCTAACAAAATGATTCATTATTTGATAGAGACACTGGAAGGTGGGGAGAGACAGTAGGGGATGACATGCACCAAACCACATCAGGATCAGGAGTTGAACCTGGAACCAGTGCAACAAGGAGTTGTGCTTCAGTGTTTTATTAGTTTGAAGCAGGACATCAAGTTGAGAAAATTCAAGTGTGACAAGGTTTCAGTACAATATGGAAAATTAGCATTTTTTTGGGACTTGTATTAACCCATTGTTAAAGCATTTCTGGAAGTTGTACCTGGGAATACAAGTTTACAGCTCTCATGGATACACTATCAGCCTGTGAGTGCAGATTTTTGTTCAGTTGCTGATTCTAAAAACACAGCGTCATTAATCATTAATCAATGTGTTGCTGCAATCTCTGCCTATCTTCACCTGAGGGCAAAGGTCAAGGTGTGTGGAACATTAATGAGCAGAAGAAAGCAGAATGCTCAGTCAGCGCATGTACAGCAACATTTACCATTTACAACACTAAAATGTGCAGAACCCTTTTTTATATTCCATCCTTATTCTCGTGAATTGATATAATCTTAAAACAAACACCATCACAACACTTTCTTACATGTTTCAAGCCAAGAACGCATTTTTTTTTTTTTTTTCTTTTTTTAAAATGGGCTTTTTATGCCTCTATTTTAGAGATAGGACATTGGATAGAGTCTGAAACCAGGAAGAAAGTAGGGACTGACATGTGGGGAAGGAGCCACAGGTTGGATTCAAACTCAGGCCATCTACTCTCAAGGACTTGGGTCTCATGGGGAGCATGCACTAACAGCTAGGTTACTGGCGTCCCAATTTTTAAGATATTTGAAACAAAGTTGTAAAGTCTTTTTTTCTTTTCTTTTTTTTTTAAAGAAAATAATCACATCAAAATACTTTTTAAACCAAATTTTATTAAATGAATTGATATGGCATCACAATCATTTGCTAGTTTTTCCCCCACATCTGTGCATATTTAAATATGGAGCAAGTAGCTGAAAAAAGACCCAATATCTATGAAGGGTCACAAGTTTAGGAGCCCTTTTAAATTGGCTGGTAGCGAAACTAAATTCTAACCTAAATGGAATATATTAAAGACGATTTAAAATTATTTTGATAGCAAAATTCCAGTATCAAAATAAATAGCACAGATAAGAAAAGGAGTCACACATGAGGTTAGTAACTCTGCCTAATAATCATTGTTTGAAATGACATTACAGAACAGTACAGAAGGGAGAGTTCCTCAAATTATTCAAGTGACTTAAGGAATTTATCATATGCAGCTTGATCCATGAGGCCATCGAGTTCTTCAGGCTTTTCAATCGTCATCTTGATCAGCCACCCTGAAATAGAAGGGATCATATATGAAAAGCTGGAAGAAGGCACACACTTATGAACAAGATGTAACATGGAAATTTGTTAAATGCCTTGGCAGCAGTCTGCTGGCAGAAATTCAGTGAAATGACAAAGTCACTGGAAAAGAACAGCAGTGATTGTGAGGAGCTTACCATCTGCATAGCAGGATTTATTCACGAGACCAGGATTCTCTGCAAGCTCTGTGTTGATCTCAGTCACCTCTCCGGTCAGCGGTGAGTAAAGCTCACTGGCAGCCTTTACACTTTCCAAGGCCCCGAACTCCTCTGGAACACAGTCATGCCAGATACTTCTTATCACACTGCAGAAATGAAATACTTACATATACGTGTAGTGTAATCCAGGCTCTTACCCATTTGTTCAAGTCTTTGGCCAGTTTCAGGTAGTCCACAGTAAACCACATCACCTAATGCTCCTAAATGAGAGAAAAAAAATAAATTATTGAAATAATCCTGTTATAGTGATAAATCAAGTTACACATACTGATATATTCTGTACCAATTATTCATTACACAGACTCTCACTCATTTATGACTTGCCCTTCATATGGCTCTGTTATTTCTCATGGGAAACTCCTTTGATTTTTATAGCCCAACAACTTAATTATAAATAATCCATATACACAGATCCATACATTTCATATGTTTGTCTGAAGATACCAAAGTTGCCAGATCTTCATAGAATCACTATAGCCTGCACACACGAATACATAACGTTCAAGCCCTCTGTCCCTTAGACCTGGCAACTCACGATTCCAGGTTTATCTTTGAAAGTAGAACATGTATCATTTCTTCTTTTTTAAGAAGTAGTAAACAATAAAGCAGCCAAGCATTGTACTCCCAAACAAATACTACTCATACAAGAGGGTTAATAATGTTTTGGCTAGGGATTATTTTCAGCTTTGGATAAATACACATTTAGTGCTCGAGGGAATACTTGCAGCATGGTGATGTATGTGCAACTAACTAACAATACACCAGAGTTCACTCTGATCATGTAAATGAAGGAACATCCAGTGCAACTGTGAAACTCAATGATGCAGGTCTATCACACTTAGGTGACATTTTCTACTCATAACATGCTGACAGATATGCATTGACAGATCATCTTTCTAGGTACATCAATAATAAGTTGTAATTCACTTAAGGCAGGTAATCACGATCAGCCAGATTCCTTTGAAGCACAGACATACAATCCTAGCATTTGATTGTCTCTTAGACATTACTGTTTTCTGGTTAATTCCTACACATTTAACTGGAATAGTTATGCCAAGGAATGAAGATATAATTTCAAGTTTTCTTAATTGAAAAAACATACAATATATTTAGCCAGTGACTGAATACAACTACTACTATTAAGAATGTTAAATACACGTGTCACCTCTATAGTTTGACCTTTTTTATAAGTCAGGTTAATTAAAAAGTTAGATCTAAATCTGTTCAATGACATTGTATCCATATACAGTAAACTGCCACAGGATGTTTGCGTTCCTCTGGTTTGTTTTATTCACGCAACTGAACTAAAGAGGATGTTGCAAATTGTTTTGGAATATGAAGCCCTTAAACAAAGACTCAACTTTGCTGTGAGCTTAAGGACTTCTACTCAGTGATGAAGGGGGGAAAGCAAGCTAGTCCCCATGCCTGCTTCCTGAGCATGTTAGAAAGCAGACTGACATGTGGAGCTCAAAGACTCATTTAAAACAGCAACAGTTTACAGAAAGAAAATGTAGAAAATGTTCTTTGCTCAAGAGAATTATTGTTTATAAAATGTTACATGGGATAGCATGGTGAACACAGGGTGCTTTGGTAAATCAGAAAAATCATGTTCCCTGTAAAAAAAAAAATAGCTGATGCATGCAACATTTATAAAAACATAGATTTTGGGAGGCACTGGTGGCGCAGTGGTTAGTGCGTGCGCCCCATGTATGGAGGCTATAGTCCTCCAAGCGGGTGGCCCAGGTTCAAATCCAACCTGTGGCTTTTTTCCCGCATGTCATTCCCCACTCCCTCTCTCCTATCTCTCCAATAAAAGGCACAAAATGCCCAAAAATAAATCTCTTTAAAAAAAACATAGATTTTGCAAATGTATTTGTGCAACATTGAACCAACACATAGGGAATGGCATTGGATGAAGCTCTGTGTCTTTGAGCCATGTTGAACTGCATTTCTGAAGAAATGCAACATGGGCAAAGTCCTCAATCAATGCAGTATGCATTAAAGAAACCCCAGGCTAGGTGTGATTAGCTAGCCTCAGATTAAGCAGTGCCAATTAAAGCAACAAATCCAGTGGAGTGACATTCTACTCAACATCTGCACAGGTACATCTTGGACCCCATTGACCTCTATAGTTCTGTAGCACTTTAAAGTCAGTATCTGAGAGAATAAAATATTTATAAATCAACATTTTGACTTCAGTAGCAAAAGTGCCATCACAGTTTGCTGAACATATGCAAACAATTAGTCTGTTTCTCTAAAAGCTGTCAAATGCAAAAATCATCTGCCATAATTCAAAGCTTTGAATATCCTTAAGCAAGTGTCTGCCTTGAGATTTTCCGCACTCTGCTGCAGTTTGGCCGTCATTAATTGTCTCAAGCAATAGTCATAAGACAGTAAATTAGCCTGCTGTCATACATTTACTGCAGTTTAGGACAAAGTGCAGTACTGAACCGCTCACATTCACTTATCACTTTTTCTTTGTGAAGTGTGTCGTTAATCAAAGATAAGTTAAGAAGACAGGAGACAACCTACCTGAGCATAACTGCTGATACCAACGGTGCCAATTCCTCCCTCAACCTGCACCCACTCGTGCTTATCTGTGAACTTTAGGGCTGCGGAGAGAATAAAGGGTATACGTTTGATTAGACCACATTCATCATTGTGATTAATTAAGAAATTATCAACTGTATGAGCCCCATGGTGGTCAAATAAACACAAGTGCCATGATGAATCTTGTTCAATATAATGTGGGAAATGAACGCTGAAGAGTAGGCTTATGCAACACAATGTACTGCCAATCAAAATTAATAATCGTTAAATAATAAACAATTTTTAGTTGGTTGTAAAGACACAACCCTTAACCATTAAAAGCTAGAGCTTCATGTTGATGAAGTAAAAGATCATCACTATCAGTGGTTTGACACAAATAGGTGTAAAAGAAGACTCATGGTCACACAATAAAAAGAGTTCAATCAAATCTGTAATTAAAAAACAATAGTAAGAGCCTTTAGATGTCATGCTGTCTTCTTTTACAACTCCCTGAGGGAAGAACCATAGTGCCTCAGCATTGCCCAGTGTTGCTGTTAGACCATGCAGAAAAATACAGGATTGAACCAGATTGTGAACTGTGCAAGATGATGTTGCATGGCTGGAGAGAGCAGTGTCAGTCCAGAGAGCTTTCAAATTTCATAAACAATGCCTTGGAGGAAATCAAGTATACAGCCATAACTAGAAGGCACATATAGAATAGTTGAAATGTAAGATATGTACAAATAAAATGCACCTTTTCACAGCAGTTTGTGGCATATAGCCAGGATCCTGGTTGGCTTTCGTTAAATAGGCTACTTCTTGGTGCACGAGACATTAGTAATTTGTTGTTTACAGGCATCAATTACATCAGGATTTGGAGCTCGTGCTCTTTCAATGTCATCCTAAGGAAAAAGCCTTGCTGTAGCCAACCTAACATGTGCCTGCCAATGTTCTGTACCTCGATTTCTTAACCAATTTAGCAACTTTCAAGTTAAAAAAAACCAAACTTTTAGTGGCTGCATTCCTACTCTGAGCTGTGGGAAAGTGACACAAACTGCGTGAGGATTTTCGCCCACTAGACAAGACAGGAATGTGTGACCAGCCCGCATGTCGTAGAGTCCCGATACAGTCACTTTGTGCAGCCGTGATTTGGGTGTTTGTTTATTTATTTGTTACCTGTGGACAGGGCCGAGCTCGTGCTAAGAGTCCGCAGGGAGCCGCTCCTCCACAACAGCCGAGTCGCCGAGACCTGCGCTGCCGACGAGACTTGAGGGAGTCTGGGGGAAAAGTTTGTGGAGAGGCACCGCAACGCTGCTCTCATCGCCATCTTCACTCCGTGTGTGTGGACTCTTTAATCGACTGGTGCACATACACTTGTCCACGGGAGCGCGCACCATCCCACTTTGTGCATGCTCGCGCCGGGGGGGGGAGGAGGAGGAAGGGGGCACGAGTCCAGCTGTATTATCAAACCATGTGTGCAGCATGTCAAACACCCACTGTATCAGTTGTTCATTTTCACAGATGATTTAAGCCACACACAGATATTCAGACTCACAATTTGGTCTCCCTAAAAGTATTCATACGAGTACAAATACTCTGTTAAAAGTAAACTGTTGAATCGTGAAAGCCCTGCATTCAAGGACACAACATGAAGTCATTGCTACAAAGTGTACTAACGGTGTCAAACCATAGACTGTAAATATTGTCAAACATAAAAAAAAATAAAGCAGTGTATGACAACTCTAATTTGATGTAATATAATGTTAGCATCATGTCCAGGTACAGCCAAGTATAACTAGGGTTGGGTTTAACACTACAAAAATGAATCTTTTTTTTTTTCCATGATTTTATTGTATTTAAAATCTGAATAAGTTCAATAACTGTGGCTGCCTTAGAAATATAGGACTGTAAAAAGCAGGCCACTATGTATCTGTGAAATGTAATACAGTAGACAGTGAAAGGTATAAAGCAGCAGGTCAACGAAATGCATTAGTAGCAGAACCCCCCCAAAAAAGTTCTACAGTAGCCTACGTGAATGAAGTCAAAAGTGACTTCCTACTCTGCAAATTAATACACTGGAAAATAAAAGAAAATGGCATTATACATGATAATCCTTTGCAGCAGTGAAAAGTGTGCGGCAGGTCATACTTTGACAATTAGAAGCAGTCAAAATATAAAAATAGTTATTTTGTATTTAATAGACATCACAGACATTATTTGATGCATGTACAGCTGTTCACATGGTTAGAGGGGGCCACGTCTTATTGATTTATTGCGTCACTATTGAGTACAAATCCTAGACATACTTACAGCAACCCTTCATAGTATCCACTTTAAAAAATATATACAAAGTTCAAGACCCTGAAGAGGAAGAAGTTGAATAATTTCAGGGAGTAAAGAGATCATTAGCAGTATTTCTGACACCTCTACATGCCTGTGACTCTAATGACTAAGAGGACAATCATTTGATGCTGAAGAGAACTACTCCAGTGTAGAAGGGGTTGTGAGGAAGCTTCGTATCCCCACACATCACTAAGGCCATCTTAACTACATATAAGGTCAGTGTAGTGCACTACAAACTCAGGTCATACTGCTGAGAAATCCTAAATTCTCACCCAGTTTCTACAAAATTGTTTCAAACAGGAAATGTTTCGCATTATGTGGCTAGGATCAGAGCCTTATAGGTTTTCCAGAAGGCATTTCCTGCACATGCTGCAAGCTTCTTGTTTATTTTTAGTTTGACTAAACTGAAAGTCCTCCCCCAAAAAGTTTAAAACCAAATTTTCTATTTTCTGACCAAAACAGACCAAATGCAGTATTAAAAAAAGTTATAAATGAATTCCAATCGAGTTTTGTTCTGTCATAACATCACACACATCAAAAGGAAATGTATTAAGTAGATTCAGATGCACTTTATTGAGACATTTTCATGTGTATACTTCATGAAACACATCGTGGAGCCCATGTTGAAAAATGTCAGACAATGATACCTGATTAAAAATGTATGAATCATTTTAGGAATGATTAAAATCAGAAAGATACTAGACCTCTGTAATTATATGGTAAATATACTGTTTTCAGTTGCCAGAATTAAGAACAGTTTTTCCTCCAGGTCTGCAGCCGTCAGTTTGTCACACATCCTGATCAATTCAAATTTTAGTGACATTTAATGTCTGGCTGACTATGAGGATTAAAATGTTTCCTTACTGTCAACTAAGTAAATATGATAGCAAAAGTGTAAGAAATACAAAATAATTTGTTTTATTTTTATTGTTCAACAGTCAACCATGTTACCAAGACCAGATGATTTCCCTTAATAACAGAAAAAAAAGTTGAACAGACACACCAACATTAATAACACTCAAACCCAGCAGACGACACTGACCACGTTGAGGTAAAGGCTCATATTCCAAGACTCCTGCATTGATATGATAGCAGGATATAGAGGTCATGTGATCAGACGGAGGTGCCTTCTGTGGGCGCTGCTGTCTTATTGTCGTCAGGCTTCATGGCGGGGAAAAGAAGCACCTCCTGTGAGAGAATAAAACCAACCATTTAAGGGTATTTTCTCTTACAGCATTACCGTAAAGAGGAGGCCGACCTCTCTGATAGATGTCAGCAGTTCAAGTATGCGTCCAGACAGTCAAAGAAATCTGCTTACTTGACAATGTTATCTCATTGAGTATTTGCTCTTTGTATCCTTTTAATCATGGGTTCTGTTGTATTGAAGTGTAAACATAGCCTGAACAACTCGAGAAGATAATGCACGCAGTGATGGCCTCGTGATCACACAGACTACATGATCAGTAAAAGCAGTTGTTTCAATTCTTATTTTAGTGTAATCTGTAAATTTGAAAATTATTCTTTTGTTAAGGCCAGGACAATTTGCTTTTGTTCCGAATCAATTTTATCACCATTCACGAGAGCTGATTCCATTTGCACTGCGATTCTGAAGTATTTCCAAAAACAATGCATGACCTGTCAGTGCTTTTTTTTGATCACCTGTTGTTTTCTTACTATAAATACTCAAAGCAAATTTGTAGGACAGGATCTCCTGGATGTTGCAGCTGAGTGATGATCATTTGACAAGCATTTGTTATATTTTTTAGCTGGGCGATGACTCATTCCCAATATAGTATATGATTGGTTACCTGGAGCAGCAACATCAGCACCTTACTAATCAGCTCAGGCTGAGACAGTTCAGTAGTAGCGCCTCAGTTGTATAAACCGTTAACAAACATTGCATGCTCTAAAACACACGCTGGATGCAGCGGTTGCATTTCAATTTGGTTTCTTTTTAGGACATTTCATACGGCAGCTTTACCTTGATGTTGTTGGAGTCGGTGAGGAACATGGTGAGACGATCGATGCCCATTCCCCAGCCAGCAGTCGGTGGCAGTCCGTATTCCAGCGCTGTACAGAAGGTTTCATCGATGAACATGGCTTCATCGTCACCCTCAGCTTTGGCCTGAAAATTATTCAACTCAGCTTACTGTCATTCAATCCCACACTGCAACAGTAACAACTCTGAAGCTTTAGATAAAGACTTGGTGGCACTAACCTTGGCTTGCTGCTCAAAAAGCTCCCTCTGTCTGATGGGATCATTCAACTCAGTGTAGGCATTGCAGACTTCCTTCTTCATCACAAAGAGCTCAAAACGCTCTGTTAGGCCTTTCTCTGATCTGTGCCTGTAATCAATGAAGTAAGTGTCAGTGAGAAAATCTGAGCCTCACATTTGTAAATGATAAAAACAAGGCTGACCGAGGACGCTCCTTACCATTTTGCTAAAGGACTCATGATTTGAGGGTGATCACAGATGAATGTGGGGTTGATGCAGGTGACCTCAAGGTAATCTCCAACCAACTGTGGAGACAGACAGAAGGAATTTAGTTTGGTGCCGTAGGAGCCATTTCATCAGTTATCATGCGTTACATTTGTCTTTAGTTTTCTTTGTAAACACCAGGGGGCAATAAGGAGCTTACCAGTCAGTAGGCTGATAGGAACGATTTACAAGATAGTAGGTGTGTCACTGAGGTGATGCACCAGGAAGGGGACACAAGTTATTAACCAGGATACAAACCACCTGGAACATTCCTCAACTAGCCATTTGTTAATAGTAAACACATTTTGTGAGAACACATTTTTTTTGTGTTTTTTTTTAAATAGCCATGCAGGGTGCACTTTGGTGCCTACCGAAGGTCTCTGCGTGCAACTGCACTGACAGAAGCCTCACAAGGTGCTGTTATGTCTCCCCCTCTAGACAACATGCATCCGTTGACAAGCGGAGGGTACTAAGCAGGCAAGACATTGTAAGAAGCCAAACAACCATGTCCACTGACAAGGTACAGTAATATTTCCAGATTTTGTGCAGATATTGCTCTTCTAGTGTCTACAGCCTGCTGTTTGTGAGCTGTTTGCATGCAGAGTATGTGCATGAGTATTCAACTGTTACATAAAGTCAATAGTTAGTGGCTAAATGGCTTCATTGGAGAGGGTAGTTTATTATGCCTGTTGAGGTAGGGTAACTTGCTCCTTTTTAAAACTGAAAGCTTGCGAAATATTATTGTTAAGCTGTACGCACTTCTTACAAGATGAACTCGGCCCACTGCCAAAGATACTAACTGAAGTTAACAGGTAAACCGGCCATGTGAGAGTTACCACTTGTTATTGTGTTTTAAATCAACCTTTGAAACTGCTATTTTGAGGTGGAAAAGTTACATGTTTGTTGATTTGAGACCTGAAAGTAAAATTAAAAAAAGAACAGAGGTGATGTTACCTTGTCAAGGAGACGGGCAGTGGTTCTAGGAGGAGGACATTCCACTCCTTTCTGTGCACACAGGTCATCGAAGAATTTACGGGTCTCTGAAGATAACAGCATGAAAGAGAAATGTAAAGAGAAGTAAGAAATGACTGATTGGAGAAATCTGAGCCAATAAAATGACAAATAACCATCAAAGAAGGAGACAATTGCCTTTCATCAGATTCTTACCAGCAGAGTCGTAGCTGTCAGAAGGAGGGAATTTTACTCCCATAATCTTCTCCAGGTCGTGGGTCATGCTCACTCTTCTGAATGGCGGAGTGAAGTCTATCTCATGGGCTTGACCCTCCGGACCATCAGGGTGATAGGTCACCTTGTATCCTCCAGTGATGTGCTTCACCATTCCTGGAGCAAGGAGAGAAAATGAATAAGCAAGGGAGATCAGCCTTTCCATTTGTCTCACACATACGTCAATGCTTTTGCTTGGACTGGACTTGGGCTGCACACAGACTTTCCTTGCAGTGGTGAACCTCAGATGCAGAACTTTCTTTCAGGATGTCAAATACTATCCAAATGAGCTCCTCTAACTATTGTAGTTTATAAATAATTGAAGTGTAAGCCTGCCACTCCTCATGACAAAGGCAACATTTTTTACAATGTTTGAATAAGTCATCAATTGAAGATGCCTGGGCTACTCTAAGCTCCACAATGACTTCATGTGATTGTAAAAAAAAAGAGATTGGTTTCACTATGATACATTTAGGTGTTTAATGGATGACTGAGGTGTTGCAGTTTACAGGGTGGGTCAGTTTCTTTTACAAACTACATTTGAGTTAATACATGTATCAAATGGAATGCTGTGAAGAAGACTGCCACTGTTGATCACTGTTAATCTTCTTTACATTAGTAGCAGTGTTTTTCCACACAATTAGGCTGTAACTGAGCGCTGGAGTTGGGTGTGGGTGGTAACCGACTTTTATTAGGGTGAGGTTGTATGTAAGGACGGCAAGGTCAACAAGTCAAAAGTAACATCCACTTTGTGACACCAAACATTTTCACTTTTTTCACCGTCCTCTTCAGCTGATGTCATTTACTTTTACATCCGTAGTAAGTTATTTTTTCCGTGAATAAGTTAATGTTGTTACCTTCGGTCTACCACAAGTACTTTATTTTCTTTTAATATTAAAGCAGGTTTGTAACCAAATAGGAAGTAAAGTACACATAGCTTAGGAGAGTAAAAAAATTACAAAATAAAAGCATATAAAACTCTACCAAAATGCAAAATTATTTAATTTAAATAACGTGATTAATCGCAGATAACTAATGAACTTCAGCACTGAATCGCAATTAAAAAGAAAAGCTAATCGTTTGACAGCCCTACTTTTAATAAGTATCTTTTTTATCCTATCTGAAGCCTCACTATTGTTATAAACATTTATTAATAAACTGAATTGACTATACTCAAACAAAGATTGGATGGGAGTGGATTAGAGTTGGTGTACTATATGCATGCTTGTTTAAAAGTTGTAAACAAACAAGATGTCGCTGCTGAGGAAAAACCATTTGGCTGACACCGTGTGTTTACTCACCTGAGAGCAGTTTCTCTGTGATTTCCATCAAGTCATGGTAATCTGCATATGCCATGTAGAATTCACAGGTGGTGAACTCTGGATTATGAGTGAGATCAATGCCTTCATTCCTGAATTGACGGCCAATCTCATACACTCTGTCCATCCCACCAACCACTAGCATCTGCAGGGAGGATATGATGTACAGAGATATTTATTTGGACAATTGGAAAACTATGTTTAATTCAAATTTCAAGTGAGGCTGGGGAATAAATCAATTAAATGTGACTCTGTACAAAATAGTGAGAATTGGTAATCAAAGGACAAAGTAATTTACAAATGTACATAAAACGTCCCTCTTGAAGTGTCTGATTACGTAGAAAGACTTCTCATGAGAGGGATGGATTACCTTGTGGTAGAGTTCAGGTGCGATCCTCATGTATAGGTTCATATCCAGCTCATTGTGGTAAGTAACAAATGGACGAGCCACTGCTCCCCCAGGAATTATGTTCATCATTGGTGTTTCAATCTACACAGAATTAGAAAGGGAAATGTAATGACACACAGAATGAGCATTCTTATAAAATCACTGTTTTGTACACACTTTCATATTTGTATGTAAACACATTTTTTCCACTTAAGCTTAAAGGACCAAAGATATACTTTTGTATTGATAAGTTGTGTGACGTAGTGAACTTTGATGTCTGGTCACACAATAGAGGCTCTTACCTCCAAAAATCCCAGCTGGTCAAGGAAGTTGCGCAGGTATGTGATGATTTTGGAGCGAGTCACAAACTTCTGCCTCACATAGTCATTGAGAATCAGATCCAAGTAGCGCTGGCGGAATCGTGTTTCCTTTGACAGCAAAATAAATAGAGGGGTTTAGGCTATTGCAGTGCAGTACAGGCAACTATAAAATGTTCATTACTGTAACACTGAAAACATTTAAACCAGGGCAACTTTTATTACTTTTGGAAGAGCTTTGAACTGATAACTTAACATTATTTTTTCATTCTCTTCATACCAGAGTAAGACCCTCTGTCCTTTTGAATCTCACTTATCTTTCAGGCAGAACTACCCCACAAAAACTGAAATCTCCTCTCTCAGGGGTAAGTTTCAGATGCACCACATAGAATCACATTGTTTCCTCCAATGTAATGTTGTTTAAGCTTGAACTTTGGTTTTAGTCAATTTTGTCTGTTTCCCTTCAAGTGAAAGTGAAAAGGAAGTATTTCTCAAAAAAAGCAGTGCCTAAACATCCCTTATCCCACTAAGTCCTGGTACAGACAGTATATAGCCGTCATTTTTGTTTTCAAGTACTCATATGTCTGAAATGCTATACTGTCCATTGTCAGGGGAGGGGGGGGGGCTCTATATTTTTCTGGTGTTCCAATAGATCTACAACAACATTTTAACTAGAGGCTCAGTGTCAGTATCTTACATTGGGAAAATTTACAAAATTGAAATGGTGTGACATAAAAGCCATTGCTTCTCTCTGGTTTTCTCAAATATCACACCTATATGTTCTTTTTTTGCAGAAAAGAGGTGATGGACATGTTGCATTTAGTCATAATGTGAGGGGGCAATACCTTGTCCTTGAGGCCAAAGTGGAGATGGGGCAACATGTGCAAACATGGTGACAGCAGTGTCATCTCGATGGGAATGATGCTCAACTCCCCCTTTTTGGTCTTCCCTGGGTTACCACGCACACCTATGATATCCCCTCGGCGCAGTTTGTTGTTAATAGCCACAAAAGCGTCCTCAGACTTGTAGTTCCTGACAGAATCAGAGAATATACATAAATGAGCTCATATCATTTATTATGTAACTGTTCAAGATACTAGTGTATAATCCTCCACAATGCCCCAAATTATAATTCACTCGATGGTGCTTTGTTCTAAAAATGTACCTTGAAGAATTTTCTATGGCTGTGATTTCTTACCTTGAGTTCGCCATAACTTGCAACTTGACGCCTTCACCTCGCAGGTCGTAGAACAGCAGCTTGGCACCAGACTCCCTCTTGGCGTGGACACGACCTGCCAATCATCAATTAAATTGAAGAGAGGATCTACTGCTGGATTACACTTTACATATCACATTTAAAATAAGGAAACATTCCAGTTACCCGAGACATTGAGGACCACATCAGCCAGTTGGTCTCCAGGCTGTAGATGATTGTATTTCTCAATGAACTCCGTGAGTGACAGGTCTACATTATACTTGTGTGGGTATGGGTCCTCCGCTGTGCTCTTCAGGTCACTGATGGCCTGGGAGCGGATCTTGAAGTATTGCTATTTTAGAAGGAAACAGATGATTATGTTTTTTCTAGGGCTGTCAAAATAACATTATTATCACAGAAAAATAACACAGATTAATCGCATTCTGACCTCATATGTCACAGATAATACAACTTTACGTAGCAATTTTCTTGATATGATAAAATCCAATGCTAAAAAGGCTTTGGTTTTATTATTATTAAGTCTGCTTCAATCCCCCTGTCCAACATGATGGAGGGTTCACACTCTCTGCAAAGAATCACACAATACCCAGCTTCCATACACTCCAAACTCTAAATGCCTCGATTGAGAGACAACCTCATGTGTTACATATAAAATAATAATATATCTTTAAAATTGTGCAACTTTATGAAACATACACCAATGTACACAGTCACACTGCAGACCCATACAATGACAGACTACTCAAGGAATATGGACAAAGAAGGGTGCAGTAAGTCTACCTGTAAAGCAACGATTATTACATTTATAAATTGTAATTTATCGTGATTATTCACAAAGCCTGTAATTAATTAGATTACATTTTTAATAGTTTGACAGCATCAATTTATACTAAATAAAAAATGGGTGGAGTAAACAAGTTACATTAATCAGAGAAATATCTCACATTTGGGTCAAGAGTCTCCTCATCCAATGCACTGATATTTTGTGCTCCCTGGTCGTTGGATTCCTTCTTTTGTTCCACCTGCTCTTTGACCTTGGCATCTTTCTCTGCTGCCTTCTTATCAGCTTTCATTCGTCTCTTCAGCTCACTGATAAGAAATAAGGTTGAATAAAAGATTAGTCTTTGGTCAAAGATTGATCAGGATTTATTTTGTTAATGATTTACCCACAAGATACTTATGATGATGATCATATGATCATATGATCATAAACAACAGAACCCATCTGATTTCCGACAAAAGTACACTGTGCATTTTGTTCCACTTTGTTAGAAAATAAATAAATAAATAGAAGCCACACAAACAACAAAAGCACAACAAACAAACATGCAGAAAGGGAATGGGGGCCACATTTTGTTGTGATGACAAAAGGTTGGTTGTTTTTCTCACAGAAATGGAAAAGCCACCAACCTTTTGTCACCTGTCCAACGGTTCCCGTAATTTTGAACTGGGATAGTGGCTGTAAACGGGGAAGCACATTTTAACCACTGTCCCCTGACTCCAAAGGGGTGGCACAGCTGCTGCCTGGCTGCTCTGACCAGGCACAGCATGCTGAGCTACCAGCAGACAAACCTGGAAAAATAGACATACAAACAAAGTGTACAGTATGTAGAGAGATGAATGACTTGGCCCAGCAGGCTAAATTTAACTCTGGGTAGAACAACATCATAAGTCAGCACCAACACCCTTGTTAGAGCACAAACCATGTCAGTGAGATGAAAATCAACCAATATGATAAATAATAAAAGGTACACTCGTAGAGTTACGACGGAGGATTAGGGCCATGTTATTATTTTTATTTATTTCGAGATTAAACTCGTAAATTTACAAGAATAAAATATTTTTCATCATTTTCGCGCAGGCTGGTCTCGAATAAAAAATAAAAAAATAAAAAATGTTAACATGGCCCTAAATCCTCCGTCGTATAGAGTAGTACATTAACACATTAATTATACGCAATAGCTGTACTTTTAATAAGCTTGTCGACTACATCTGAGAGACTATAACACAGCTAACAAGTACGTTAAAAAGCCATAATGACTAAAGGACAACACAGTAAGCATAGTTTAAGAATAGCTTTAACGCTTTGATTCGGCTTGATATGGCTAAAACACCAACTTGCTCTGCTAAAGTAAATAATCGACAAAACATATAAAACTCATACACGACATTAAAAAGTAACCAAAAGATTGCCACGATCATGAACGAGTTACATTTGTTTGGATGCATAACGGGTATTGTAGTTTTACTGAATAGCATGGCCATCTATCGCACTACGTTTCGTTTTGCACAGAACTACAAGTACCAGAGACGAAAACGAGTGGAACCCTGGGATGAGCTTGCCGGCTGTCTCCATATGGAGCACTCACTTAGCTAGTACCGTCTGACCTGATGCAACATTGAATGAATTCGGCATAGCCACATTCAGACAGACTTCGCAGAAGAAACAGTTAATGAATACAGCAAATAGATGTGATAGAGACTTGTTAATATGTTAAGGAAGTGAACATTTGGCTTACTTTTTGCTGAGTTTCTCTCCCTCCACCGCTGTCACATCAGCCATGTTGTCGCCGCGCTCAGAAAGATCAACGAATGCGCACGCGCACCAAAAACGCTGTGCGCTCTTGCCTGGTGCCATGAAGCCACGCCCCCTGGAGCTTCGTGGCTTGTGATTGTCAAAATAAAAGCTTGCGTCTGATTCGCTCGTTCATACTTCTATGTTTCTGAACTACAGGGTTACGGCAATTGTATCATACTATTGAATAATCACCAATAGAATAAATTAGATATAGAGATATAGAGATAGATAGATAGATAGAGACAGACAGATAGATGGATACTTTATTGATCTGTAGAGAAATTTAAAGCATCCAGTAGCCGCTTAAAAAAGAAACAAATATTTAATTTAACATTTTTTTACATCCAAACAACAACGGCTGCACCCCCTCCCGTAAAGGCCGATATATACTCGAACAAAGATTTAAGGAATCCCTTACATTAATCAAAATTAAACCCCTTCAATTAAATTAGACCCATAGAAAGACATTTAAACAGCCTATAAGACTATAAACAGCTTATAAACAACAGCAAAATTAGTCCCTATATAATAGTGGAAACAAAGGATTCTGAGATTAATGGAACTATTATAATATAAATGTTATGACTGACGAGCCTGAAAGTTTTCTTTAGACTTTTGAACTCCACTATGTCAACTTCTTCCGAAACTTTTTTTTTAACATTCAGCGTCAGACATTAATTTTTGAGCCAACTTGCTATGGATTTTAATTGTGTTGAAAACTGATATGCAACAACATCTGTTGTTTGACCAGTAGTATATATGACTGTGTCATCTGCGTACATTTGGAGACTGGCCCCTTAATATGACTCTGGGAGGTCGTTTATATATAGACTAAAGAGTATTGGTCCTAGGATCGATCCATGTGAGATTCCTGTTTTAGATTTTAAAAAGGAGGATTTTTTGTTATTTATTTCAACACATTGTTGACAGTTGGAGAGATAAGATGCAAACCATGCCTTGGATTTTTCTGAGAAAATGAATTTTCGAAGTTTGGAGTTGAGAATGCTATGATTTACTGTAACGAATGCTTTCTTAAGGTCTAAGAAGACTGCCCCCACACTGTAAAACAAAAAGTCATAATAATATAAAATTTTAAGTTAGTTTTACTTCAAGTCTATGAAAATGTTGCGTTAACTCAATATTATACATTTATGTCACCTCAACTAATTGAAAGTTTTCCAACTTTGAAAAGTGATTCATATTAACTTAAAAATGGCGAGCTCTGTCAAACGTCCTTGCTCGCAGAGACATCTGTTGTTAGTGCAACAGAGCGCGAGGTCTTATCCCGCCACTCTCTGAAATGTGATGGCAGAGAGAAGCGAGATTTCTCCCGAAGCACCCAGTCTCTCACTGACCCCTGAGACCGGGGGCGAAGGAGATCTCTCGCGCAAGATTTCTCCCGAAGCACCCGGTCTCTCACCGAACCCTGAGACCGGGACTTTTTCACTCTGTCTCTTCCGTAAAACTCCTTAAAAAGAGCAGAAAAGAAAAGCAGAAAAAACAGCAAAATACAAAAGCAAACATTGAAATTTTATTGCAGATTTTGTGTGTACATTTTGGCCACAAAGGTGTCCAGACAGTACATAAAGAAGAATGCAATCAAATCAACTTTGTTGCTAGTCTTTCACATATTCAAGACTTTAATCACCATCCAACTAATAACCTAGCATTTAAAGGGTTACAATCCTGAAAATAATTGAATACTTGGTAGTTTTGAGCAAGTCGGAAGTTTAACTTCACAACAGAAAAATATAAATAAAATTGAGGAGGGCACAAGGGTTAATGTTCCAGCAGTGGTGTTATTTTACCTTGATATACTGAAGAAGGAGCTTGTCAGGAGGCAGGATACTGCTCTCCACAGTGGTGGAGCCGGCTCTTTGTCCAGCATGAAGAACTCCACACTCCATACACTTCCCTGTCAAAGTCAGTTCAATTAGAATGATTACAGCCAAAACCATCTTAAAATGCAGTCGGAAAAACATCAGTGATGAACGTATAAGACGGACTAGGCTGCAAAGATATATTCCAATACAGTATAATTAGGGGCCAAGCACCGACCTCGGAGCAAGGACCCTATTGGAATGCAAGGAGTTCTTATTTATCATTGCACAAGTGAATCGCTTATAAAAAATTCAGCCTTGCGTGAAATTTATGTATGAAAGTGATTCAGTGCATGGGTGTTGGTGTTGACGGGTGACTCCACAGCGCCCCCAAAAGTCACCCAGGTACTACGGTTAACCTACATGCACGAACATTGGTGAGCCATATGTAGCTCGATGAGATGAGAAAAAAAACACATTATGGCCATACTCTAAAATGTACAGGAAGTGAGCTACGTCTCTCGAAGTTTGATATCGTTTTTGCCACGCTACTAAATGAATAAATTGTTATATCTCTGACATGCATTGTTCTATCATCACCAAATTTGTCACGCAAGATACAGGGCCCGGCCTGAACACATCCAGACTTTAATTTTTTTTATTAATCACAGCACCACCTGTTGACAACGGGAAGACACTACTAGAAGACACTAGAAGAAATCACCTGATTCTGAACTTGGATAAGACCAGGGAGATGGTGAACGACTTCAGAAGGAAGAGGACAGAGCCACCACCGCTGTGCATCCTGGGAGAGGATGTGTGTCAACCTGGGTGTCAACATAGACAACAAACTGAACTGGAAGGCCAACACTCAGGCTGTGTACAAGAAGGGGATGAGCTGACTCTACTTTCTTCTATCAGTCTGTTGTGGCCAGTGCACTGTTCTCTGCTGGGGGAGCAGCATTGGAGCTGGTGACACTAAGAGACTGGACAAACTCATCAAGAAGGCCTGCTCTGTGATAGGCTGCAAGCTGGACTCTTTTGTAGTGGTGACAGAGAGGAGGATTCTTAACAAACTGTTATCCATTATGAATAATCCTGATCACCCTCAGCACACCCTACTGGACAAACAGCAGAGCAGCTTCTCCAACAGACTGATACAACTCCGCTGTCACAAGGACAGATACAAGAAATTTCTTACCGAAGTCCATAACTCTGTACAACAGCTCACCTCATGTGAGCAGAGAACTGTCATCATGATAATATCTGTCTCTCCATACTGTAATCTGTTCTGCACATGTTACATTTACAGATTATCCCTGCACTCATGTTCACTTCATTTGTCTGTCTACTCACCATTATATTGTATAGTTTCTGCTGATAAGATGTCTACACTCATGCACTTTAACTTATGTCAATACTGTCCATTTACAACTCTGTTTTTGCACATTTACATTCAATCTTTCATATTTAATTTACAACCATTTATGACTGTTTTTGCACATTTACATTCAATCTTCCATATTTAATCTTCCTATTTAAGACTAGTAATGCTTAGTTAAATCCTGGTTGTATATATTCACATTCTTAGTTTTGATATTTTTAGTACTTATTTACTTTGTATTTAATATTATATTGTGTTTAGATTTGCTAACATTGTGTTTTTTACTCATATTGTGTGTTGGATAACCTGCTGCTGTAACGCCACAATTTCCCAGTTTGGGATCAATGAAGTAATTCTATTTTATTCTATTCTATTCTGAATTAGCACTAGCCATTCCTACACGGTTGCTCATATCTCCCTCAAAATGGGTGTGGAACATCCTAAGACCTTGGACATACTATGTTTCCAAGCTCAAAGGCCTGCATTAAATGATGTTGCCACGGGCCCATCGTTCGCCGTGATGAAATTATTTTGAAAAAATAAATTGTTATAATTCGGGCATGCAGTGTTCTATCATCACCAGATTTGTCAAGATACCAGGCCAAGCCTGAACATATTCATGATTAAATTTTTTTGATTAGTCACAGCGCCAGCTGTTGACAACAGGAAGTATTTGCTTCTGAATTAGCACAAGCCATTCCTACACAGTTGCTCATATCTCCATCCAAGTTGGTGTGGACCATCCTAAGACCTTAGAGATACTACCATTCTGAGCTTAGAGACCTACGTCAAACGGTGTAGCCATCATACGCGTTGTTCACCATCAAACAGGAAGTAGTTATTTGAGGGCCTTAACATGACATGGTCATATACACACGAAACATCATACAAATCATCCCAGTGGGAAAGTACAACTTTTTATGTGGGTGAAGTGAGTGGGGGTGGCTTAATGGCTCAGTGGCGCCCCCTTGAAATTTTCAAAAAGGCCTCCCCATTGAGTGTTTGTCACCTACATGCACAAACAAAATGATTCTGTATATTTAACATGTCAGGACCTACATAAAAGCCTCTTGCACCTACAGTATTTTCAAAACCCAACAGGAAGTCCGCCATAATTTTTTTAATAGAAAAAAATGGCTCTATTTAGCATTTCATAGACTACCTATTTGAATGAACTTGCCCGAGAGCGTTCATCTGATCATCACAAAATCAGTGTCAGTTTGAGCCATTAAGCCATTAAGCCACGCCCACTCACTTAAATGGTATAAGATGTTTGACTTTACTACCAGGATTATATGTATGAATTTCGGGACAGTACGACTATGTTAAGCCCGTGAAAAAACTACTTCCTGTTTGATGGCGAGCGATGTGTCCGTATGGTGACAGCGTTGGACGTAGGCATTTGAGTTTGAAAGTGTTGTATGGCCAAGGTGTTAGCATGGTCCACACCAATTTTGAGGGGAAAATTAGCTACCGTGTAGCAATGGCTAATGCTAATTGAGAAGCAGGAAGTTCCTGTTGTCAACAGGTGGCGCTCTGACTATTTAAAAAATGTCAATCATGGACGTGTTCAGGGCGGGTCCCGTATCATGCATTAGAAATTTTAAAATGATTGAACACTAGATGGATGGATGGACTAGAATCGCTATTGTTCCAAGAGGGTCCTACGCACTTGTCAGTGCTTCGGGCCCTAATTATAAGAACTAGGCCTATAAAAGAGGTCAACTTTAGATCAACAAGATGAATACTAGACATGAACTCAATATTGTGATATTTGAGCAAAAAGTTTATATACAAATACTTGAATTAATAAAAAGTATGTTAATATTAACAAGAAATATTTTGCCCCCCATTTGATGACGATTCTGACTGAAATATTATTCAATTCGGGCACCTAATTCTTTTCCGAGTTGTTGTTCCGACTTGAGCAGGAGTTCATGTGCATTTTACAACTCAACCACATGAATGCAGCATAAAATCTTGGGGTGCGTTTGAATTGTCATTTTTGCTGAGGAAGGTTCCTAACTGAGTGAAATGACCCGGAAGCATTTAAGTGGCGGCCATGATAAGAACCGTTCGAATTCTCTAAAAGCTAAGGAAAGGTGGGTCAATGCTTCCTTTATAACCTCCTTTAGCACAGGATACACTGGACCATCCTTTGCGAAAGGAGATGAGATATGCCGCCCCACAATTCCTTGCGGCCGCAACATTTAAAGCGAGTCGCGCATCCGACCGTTCATGAAAATTAACGATGATCGTAAAGTGACACAGATCATGTAAGGTATTGGTTCTCAAACTTTTTAGACTGCGTACCACCTCCGAAAAAAATTGGCTCTCCAAGTACCATCATTATGGTAGACGTTAAAATACACTGCAGGCCTATTTCAACACACATTTCATGCAAGAGGCAAATTAATTCATAAAAAGAATATTATTTATTATTGACTGCTGTCAGCCACACTGTAGGCCTACTAAGGGCTAGCGCTAGAACTTGCACACACAAAAGAGCAGAACAATAAAAATGACAACTTTATACCAACAACCTGTTTGGAAACATTTAGTCTCCAGTGTTTCCCACACAAACACGATACCTGCGCCCAAGTATATTTCCGACCTGTTCTCATTTAAGGCTCGGTACAAACAGCGCCGCTTTATTGTAAGTCTCTGCGCTCAACATAGCAAACCTGCCTTTTTAACCCTCCCGCTGTCCTCCGCTTCCCCGGCAGGACGGCGAGACGAAAAAGAATGAACCGCCCCTCTAAGCCACACAGTGACTTCTTAAATGACTTTGCCACTCTACTCACCCATCCATCTACTTTCTCACCAAATGTCATATTGTTGGGGGACTTTCATATTCACATGGACAATAGCAATCTGCCTCTTACCAGAGACTTTTCATCATGTCTGGAGAGTTTTGGATTCCATCAATACATAGACTTTCCGACACTCACAAAAGGTCATACTCTGGACTTAATCTGTTGTTCTGGTCTCACCCCTCCAACTGCACAGCTGATGAACTCCATGTAACTGACCTTTTCCTCCTTTCATTCAATGCTGCACTCTGCCTTTCTGCAATCAAGTCTCCACGTCTCATCTCATTTTGGAATATGAAGGACATCCAAAAAACCTGGTTCAGATCCAAACAACTTAAATAACCTCCATTCCTAACTTACCTTTCATCTCCAAAATTCTGGAAAAAATAGTTGCCACCCAGTTACAGTCTCACTTAACTCAAAATAGCCCTTTCAGTCCAGTTTCCGCCCCCGTCACAGTACAGAAACTGCTCTATTAAAAATCACTAATAATCTCCTCATTGCTTCTGACTCTGGCTTATTGCCCATCCTCATCCTTCTTGACCTGAGTGCGGCCTTTGACACCATCTCACACCCCATACTCCTCAGTAGACTCTCCTCCATTGGCATCACTCACACCCCCTTGCCTGGTTCCACTCTTATCTTTCAGGCCGCACTCAGTTCATGCAGCTCAAATCCTTCAAATCTGACCCCTCCCCAGTGACTACAGGTCAGAGCTCTGTCCTTCTCTTCATCACCTACCTCCTCCCCAGGGGCAGACTGACCAACTGGACGTTCTGTCAAAGTCCAGAACGGCCGTCCCTTTATGTGGACTATGTGGTTCATTAGAAGAAGAAAAAATGATCAGCGATGTTAAGGTCAAAACAACAGAGGGTGCCGATACGATAATTTATTACGTATTAAAGACACCAAACTTGAAACAAACAAAAAAAAAAACACAAAGAAGAGGGAAAGAAAATGTCAGGTAGAAAGCGTAAGGAGAAAGGTGGCTGGGAGAAATCGAAAGAGAAGAGGGCCAAATCATTAGAGGCAGAAGCATCAAAATGTAAAAAGCTTACTGAGCTATTTAGTAGGCCTATTGAGCCACGCAAGACTGCGGAGGACGGCCAAGAGGAGGAGGTTGAGACAGAGCATCCCGCGGTAGTGCAGGGACAGACGAGCGAAGAAGAGCAAGAGGTGCTGGTAAATTGCAGAAGCAGTACATAAGTAGGCTGTAATAGGTAAACCTATTTATTTGGGTTATGTTCCATAAATTCCATAAATTCAATATACTTTTCCACTGCTTCTCGAATGACACCCAGCTCTACCTCTCCAGTAAACCGAACTCCACACTTCCACCTTCCTCCCTCACCTCCTGTTTATCTGAAATAAAATCCTGGTTCACCTCAAACTTCCTTAAATTAAACAGTGATAAAACCGAGATCCTTCTCATTGGCACTAAATCCATATTATGTGTGTGTGTGTGTGTGTGTGTGTGTGTGTGTGTGTTTGTGTTGGGTGTGATTGGTGCACAGGCAGAAAGAGTTGATGCGTGGGATGTTGTGGGGGTAGTTATGAGTTGAGGTTGTTGATTATTGGGTTCCAGACATATTCAAATTCAGCAGTTTGTTTTCTGAGTTAGTTGTTCCTTGATATATATTCGATGAGTAATTTTTTCCAATGTGCAAAAAAATGTGTTTTCTTTGTCTCTAAGAGGTGAGAGAGTTCCTTGTATAAGCCTGTTGGCTTCTTGACCTCTCCTGACACACCTTTTATATTTTTTAAATTCTATTTGGATGTATTCTTATGTGTGTAGTAAATAAATAAATACAAATAAATAAAATAAAACATTTCTATGCAGTAGAAAAGCCTACACAATAAAACATGAAACAAAAGCTCAGAGACGTAATAGTTAAAGGTATTTCATTTAATACAGATAGCAGCAAGTTTAAAGAAATATAATTGCAAGAAAATAAAAACATCCCAACAAAAGCCAAATATATAGAAAGATTTTCCCCCAGGGTAATAGACAGTTGTTCTAAAAAGAGGACAGATTTTCCTCTTGCTATTTTCAAGAGCAAAATAGTCTGTTTACCGATGAATGGTTCAATCTTGAAGCACATGTTTTTTTTATTATAAAAGATTACTTGTATTTTGTAGAATTTGCAGTTCTCATTGTTTCAAAATGACAAGACTAAACAAATCAAGGATGCTTAATGTATTTATTGGTCTGAATAAAAAAGGAAGTCCTGGTAGCTTTAGAGACCTCGAGAGAAGTCAGGAAGATAAGGAACCACTTTGACAGACAGTAAACAGTAAGTTTGGATACACAGAGGAGGGAATAAGAAGACTGACTGCCCCCTTTTCTCAACAACAACAAAAAAATCATGTTTAATACAGGTGATAAGATCCAGTTTTGGATTTAGAAAACGTTTAAAGGCAGAACTAAGGCATCAGGAAATATTTCAACAAGCATCGACATAAATAACAAAAAGAACATCTACTTTGGTTTTCTACCTTAGAGAGGCTATTTAGAAAAATATATATATTGAAAAACTAACAAATCTACATTTACAGTATATTAGCTGCATAGCAGTTTCAGAGAAAATTTGCCTGCATCTACGTTGTAAAACATAAATGCAATGTATACTTCAAACATGTAAGACATACGACATAAATTGCACACAACACATTACCAACCAATACCACATTAACTTGGTCACTGTTGATGAGAATTTAAAGTACACTTAAGTCTTATGGCTTCAAATTTTCTAATGAGGACTACTCATCATGTGGGGCATAAACAGGAATCTGTTGTATTACAAATAACTCTCCTAAAGGCACATGTACAATATCTACTGGTATATAAAGTGACCTTTTAGGAAAATATCAACTGTTTGAACACTCTTGAAATTAACTTAATTAGACTCAATTCGTTGGTAATCATTCAACTGTTAATGTTTCAAGAAACCACACATTGTTCTATTGCAGGAAACAGAGACATTGTTAGGAAATATGAGAACTTTTTTTATCAACTTTCCCTACAAAGTACAAGTGACTGTATAATGGATCACAGATTTTTTAGTTACACTGTAAAAAAAACACACGAGGAAACTGTAATTTCTAAAAAGTAATTACCTCCCCAGTATGTGAATAAAAGAACATTCAGCATCTAAGCAAGACATTTACTGCCATGCTTTATAATCACATTCAGTACTATATTCATAGTAAAAATACTGAAACTGTTTTGGTCCTGTTTTCTTGATTTTGACAGTATAAACTGGTTGGCGCCATTTTGGCCTGTTGTCAGCTGTTTGTCATAAAGGACTTGAAGCTCTGATTTGAAGCTTTGAACAAGCACATGGTATTTACATTCAGGTGTGTATTATTACACCTAAACCTTTCAGAATCACCAGAGTAACTGTGAACAGGAATAAATTCATGTTAACACGTTATTTAGAGTGTCCAAGGAATATTATAATGTCTTTGAAAGGCATCACCACTTGTTCACACAAAATGTATCGGCATGTTAGTGGACCAAAATCACATTCTGTCATTAAATACAGTTAGAACAACTCGAAAGTTATGGGAACAGTTTTGAAAAGAACCAACACCCAAATAAATAGGCTATGCCTCTTTGACATGCGGCATGGGAGCTACACCAGAAGGTAAAGAAAGATAAGTCGGTGTTATCTTTGTGGGATTTATTTTTAAAATCTGAGTTCTTCTATTTCACAAGTAGAAAAAAAGCAAATCACGGATAGCTCTTTTCTCCAAAGTCAGGTTTCCTTCAGGAGTAAGGTCCCTTTCAAAACGACTCAAACTACTCAAACGGACACACCGTACTTCTACATATCACATTAGTCAAGGTGACATAAAATCCATCATAAAAACAGCAGTTTCTGATTTAACTAAAGAGTATATAAATGTAACCTTATAAATGTGTTTCTAACAAAATAAACAAACAAAACAATACGACAACTGAAGCATAAAACTGAGCTCATCCTGTCATCTTCAGAGACCAGCCCCTTGTTCATGCACACACAGTGAAATGAAACATGACAAGCATGTTTTTTTTTTTTTAAATAAAGTAAGAAGTAGAGAAGAAATAATATTGTGACATTGTCCCTTAAGAGGAAATATATATCTTAAGGAGACAAATAAAAGTTTACAGTTTTTAAAGTTGCAAGTCAGAAATAAAGAAACTTAAAGCCATAAAACTGGCCTGTCATCAGGAGTAATGCAAAGCGAGATTTGAGTCAAACTTTGGTCCTGAAGCCACTGGCCAACTGCAGACAAATACTTTCGACTTTAATCTAGAAAACGTGTTCAGTTTACATTTGAAGGACATGTAAAAAGAGATCTGTTCCTGCATGTTAATACATTTAAATGGGTGACATGTAGACAGCAAACTCTTGCCTCTCCTCGACATTCACTAGACCAATCCCATTCATGAAACTAGTATAAAAAAAAGGCTTGTTTCGAGCTTGTTTAAGAATACTATTCCAGTTCATGCGTGCCTGACGCAGAATGGTGACATCAAAATGACACCAAAACACACAATTATCTCATCTCTATGACAAAAACAACAATATACTATGATACATCCTACTCTCTCTACCGTAGATGCATGTACTCTCATAGGGATGATACATTATCACATGACTTGAATGTCTTGATCCACATTTACGCTGGTTTTCAGGAATAAATAATGTTTTGTGTTTTGGGAAGGAGTAGTTTGCAACACAGCTGACAATGAGATGCACTGTTACACTATATAGAGATATTTTGGAGAAACAACAGACAGAGGTGTCTCTTCTTCACTGAAAACAATGAGGGGGGGAGAAACACCACCTCTCGTGGGGCTGTACCCTCAGTGAGTGAAGTGTCCACACAGAACAGCATCATAATTTACTGATGATTTATGTTAAGAAAAGGCTAACCATTGTTAATATATTTACTACAATGCTTTCTTAACAAGTTTCTCTTTGTAATGCACTTAAAGGAGAACATATCCTAAAAAGAAGCAAACTGACACAGTTTGGATAGAATGATTAGACTAAACGTTAGCCTAAACATGTTTGCTAACCTACATCATAAAGTGCTATCTGTACACAGTGGTGGAGATGTGCTGTTATATTGAAAGATATGTTACACAGCAGGAGGCGACCATCTTCACGGCACAGCTGTTGGCTAAACTACAATTATGCTGATTAATTAGCACGGGGGGCTAAACAGGTCTATGGTGAACCTAATTAAGCCTTTTGTAGAGAGGAAAAAAGAGCCACATTTCTTAAATTTTGAACCCACTGAGCAGTTTCTGTCTTTGTCATTTAAAAAAAAGAAAAAAAAAAAGAAAGCCAGAGTCATTTTGTCGGCTTTTTGTCACATCTAGAGAGTGTTTTTTTTGTAATAATATCAGGTGCAAGCTCGCTGCAAAAAAAAAGAAAATAAATCATAAGCACCTACATTTATGATACACACTTGGTTGTGGCAACATATCAAATAATGTATTTATTCTTGCAATTCTTCTTACTACTTCCTCATGCTTCATTCAACCTCTCTAACCTTCTTCATTCACTTTCTGCACTGTTGGGTGAGTACCATTCCAAACCTTGTCAACAGTAACGATCTTCAACCAAACATTCCAAGTCTTTCCCACTTGTTCCTGCTAAACCTCACACTGAACATTCAAGGCAAGAAAAAAAAATACACTAAAAGTAGTAAAGGGCACACCATTCATGGGCACCACTCAACACTTTGGAGAACACTTTATAAAACACCAAACAATCTGAAAGGTGATGCACATAACATTACTGACAATATATCTACCGTTTTACACAAAACTTCACATATTAGATTGATAAATAAGGCCTTATGTTACTGTTTGTCTCATACAATGCATGTTTCAACAATGGTGATCCAGTCAGTCATGAAGTCAAAAAGAGAAACTCTCTTTTCTTGGCCGAGCAATCCAAAACCAAATCCCAGGAGTAATCTCTGTTGATTCTGGATTTTCTGCTTGTTAGTCCGATAAAAGCCATAATTTATTTCAGTCTGGAGAATCATCATTGATGGGCTTTTAGGGGAAGAGACCGCCTCCGAAAGGCAAGCGGCTCGTGACAATGTTTAACACTTTTGCTCCTTTTTCTAATTAATTGTGTTTGTATTTTTTTTGTTCTCATATAAACACATAATGCAGGACAAGTTTTAAATCTTGTACTGCTTGCACTGAACAGACAGTATTTGGACTATTCTGTCTACATTTAACAATGACACCAGAAAGGATTGATAGAGCAATACGAGACATATCTTTGAACCTGCATTAAGGTTAGTATGAGCGAGTTAAGTTGCTGCCAGACTCCTGCAGGCTGACCAGCAGGTCGTCAATCTTCTCCATGTTCTGTGAAGCAGTCATGCTGTTCTGTACAGACCCAGACTGAGACAGGGACTGGCTGAGCAGGGACTGGATGTGAGCTTCACTCTCTCTTTGGTTCTGACCTGACTGGCTGATAGCTATGATCTGATCTGACAGGGTGTTTCCAGGAGTGTTCATCAGCTGGCCGCACTCTGCGAGGAAGGGGGAGAAAAAGACATTCAGAACCTCACATTTACAACAGTGCTATCTTTTGTTTTTTTTTGTTAAGAATCTGGGTTTATCCTGTGTACATGTGTAAGTCATAAGTCATAGATAGCTAAATGTTCATCTGTAGCTCAGTTTGTAAAAATAGAAGTATATTTACTTCAAGTGCATTGAACACTAAAACTTGGTGAGCTTGATGAAAGTGATAACTAAAACACACTACACGGCTTACGCATGAAAAACAATATTGTAATATGAACTTTATTTCTATTTTGCTGTAACTCGTATACCTATTTATTTTATTCTTGATCATCTGTTCTGACAGTGGCTAGTGTATTAAGATGTCCAAAAATGTACAATACTATACCTACTCTTAGTCCATTTACCATACTAAGGCTCTACTGGAAGACAAAAGTCAATAATATTGCAGTGAGTTCATGTCCATCTCTATCATGTTGCCAGAGAGGCTTCATAGGTTTTGATAGAGAGGTGTCTATAATGAGGAAAATAAACGATATAATGCTCAATGTGCTTAGATACACTGGCTATTGAAAACATTTCCTATTTGCAGAGGAAGTTGACAAAGGCTCTCATTGGCTTTCACACAGTTTTTCTTGATCTGTAGTTTATGTAGTCTGTATTTGTTGAACTGAATGCTGTCTTAACAGGGTGTCTATGTTATATATCTAGAGGGTGTGTACCTGTGTGTGTTTTCAAGTCCTTACCATTCTGAATCCCATAAAGGAAGAGTCCTGGTTGTGGTGGCTGGCTGGGCTGATTGATGTTTCCGCTGACAGCCGTCTGAAACAGAGTCCCTGGCTGTTGCACAGGGGAGGAGGTTGTTGTCTGGAGGTTTGCCACGCCATTCTGTGAGGCAAACATAGCTGACTGTGCAAGCTCCTGAGCAGCCAGCTCCCCTTGCAGAGAGGCTATGTTTGACTGGGGCATAAAAAGGCCCACTGGCTGCTCCTGCCGGCTATTTGAGCTGCTGCCCAGCTGCATCGGCTGCTGCTCCTGAAACATGACTTGCTGTCGAGGATCTGTGGGGTTGCCTAAGGCCATTGGCTCAGAACGATCCTGCTGGTTGACAGTCACCATGCTGGCTTGGGAAAAGAGCAGAGGAGGGTTCTGGGTCTCTTGTGAAACCAGACTGCTGCTGGTCAGTGGTGGCATCTGGCCCTGGCTGCTGAACATGAGGCTGGAAGTCTGATCTGGAGAGGACAGACGATTGTTGCAGAACAGTAATCCAGCTTGCTGTTGCTGCTGCTGGCCTGAGCTGAGAGTGTTTGCAGGATGTTGGGAGATGTTCTGAAACAGGGAGGCCTGCTGGGCTGGCTGTGTGTGGGGCTGAGCCTGGGAAGGCTGTTGCTGTTCCATAGGGCCTCTCTGCTGGATGGGGGAGAGCTGGGTCTGAGCCTGATATACTGACTGTGGCTCAGGAGCAGGAGTTTGTAGGGCAGTGAGGAAGGCCAGCTGCTGCTGCTGCTGCTGCTGCTGTTGCTGTTGCTGAGCACTGCTGCTTTGTGTGAGGAAAAGTCCAGGAGTTGAGGGCTGCTGGTCTGGAGACTGCAGGACTGTCATGGTGTTTTGGAAGAGAGTGGCCTGGACTTGCCCCTGGGAGGCTTTTTGAAACAACCCCCCCTGTTGATCTTGTGTTTCAGCCAGTGAAGTTGGATTGTGGAACATGGGTGGTGAAGGGTGTGTGGGTGTCTGCTGAAGGAAGTTGTTCTGAATTGAGAGCAGGTCACTCGCCTGCTGAAAGAGAGCTGCTTGCTGCTGCTGCTGCTGCTGCTGCTGTTGGGCCTGTTGGAAAAGTGTCCCCTGGTTCGGCACCACTACTTGTGATGAGCTCTGCTGCTCTGAGTTCTTGCCTTGAGAAGCATCCTGAAACATGCCACACTGCATCTGAATCTGTGACTGAAACAGCTGCTGCTGTATATTCTCCAAAACCTGCTGCTGTTGCTGTTGCTGTTGGTGCTGCTGATGAAGCTGTTGCTGCTGAATTTGCTGTTTTTGGATCTGTTGTTGGTGCTGGATGTGCTGTTGCTGCTGTTTGGCCAAGGAGTCATCAGACTGGAGTGGTAAATTGCAGAACCCTTTGGCTTTAAGTTGCCGCACAGCCTCCTCCAGCTGGGCCACTTCATCTGGGGGGAACAGGGGTATCTGCTGCTGCTGCTGCTGAGGGGCTGGTTCACCACACAGCCTCCCCACAGCTCCAGAGCCGCTGCCAGGCCTCTCCTGCCTGAGACCCTCTCTCTCTAGGAGGAACTGCTGTGAGCTCTGCTGCAGCAAGGAGTCAGCAGGCACTGAAAAAGAACTGGTTGCTGCAATGTCCTGTTTCTGGATTGTGCTTAAGGGCTCTGTGTTGGTAAAAACAGTAGCCTGGCTTTTTTCAGAGTCACTTGCAGGTTGAGATAGGCTGTTGGAGAATGGTCTGCTTTTATTTAGATGGCCTGCAGTACCATCGGGGCTCTGCTGGGCTGTACACAAATCTTTAGTCTGCTGATAAACACAAAAAATAAATAAAAAGATGCTACATATTTTCTTTTTTAAAGGGGCTATATATGTAACTTTCAAAAATACTGCATGTGTAGTAGGAGTGTGCATGTGTAACCGGTTAGTAAATCATAACCGTTTAGGAAAAATCAGTAAACGAAAACCTTTTTTTTTTCTTTTTAATTATTTTAAAATGTTTTAGAGACACGCATTCAATCATCTCTGATCAAAAATAACACATACTATTTATTTAGAGATGAATAAAGCTACAAATGTTGCACTTTGACAACGTTACTGCGCTCACAAATGCACATGATAAAATGTTGGATAACTGACCACCGGGCATCAAGCCAATGCAAGTTTCACTTTTGTTTCACTTTTGACTTGCGATGGCAGCCAAGACTACTCAGTGAGGTGCGGCGTTTGGATGTGCCTGTGCGGGTTCTGGCTTTCCACGTCGCCCTTTCGCAGTTTGTAGTGATACCGCGTGGCTGTTAGGCGAATTGCACCAGTAACCTGTTGCTCGATCTCCCTCGCGTGCTCGTCATACGTGCTCGTACGTACACAAACGAGCATCGTCATCGGCCGCGAAACACTGGATATTTACCGGCATAATGTTTACAGAGGAGGTAAGCGGTCATGTGAAAGTCTGTGAAGGAGTCTGTGTGTCTGTATTCATTCTCCATCTTACAAACGACAGTCTCTGCAGGCGCTGGCTGAGAGCAGGAGTGTGTGATGAGTTTGTCCGCCTTTGGGAGCTCCTAGGGCGGATAGAAGTGTGTGGAAGTCGGCCTCTGGCTATATCGGGAGTGTGTGATGAGTTTGTACTGTTGATCTCTGTAAGCGGAGCGGAGTGAGGAGGACGTAAAATGTCACTTCCTGGAGCTTTTGTGGAAAATACGACCCGGGGAAACTTTTTATACAGGCAACACAGATAGACAGTGAACATCTACTTTTTCACATCAGTTAACCGTTTGCTTATTAATGGGTGATAAAAACGATTAATATATGTAAAAAGTTACATATAGCCCCTTTAATGTGTACTAATTTTACTGATCATTCATTTGAAATAACAAACAATTTCTATCCCTTTCAGTTCTTCTTTACAGTTTCACACAGTTAAGGTAACAAATAAGGTATTTAATCAGGTCAGATCTTTAGATTACCTTAAATACACCTGATGACTGGAGGTTGCTGATCTCCATCGGAGTGACATCCTCCCTCTTCACTAACGGCAACAATGAAGGTATCAAGGCACCATCTAGAACTGTAGGAGCAAAAACCAATGATTCTGTGTTGTTCTTATAAAAATTATTTCCTTCCTTTTTGTTGAGTCATTCATACATGTGGTCATGCAGGCAATACAAACATTGTTGCGTAGAATAACAAAAAGCAAAGAGAAAAAAAAACCTTTAATTTGTTCATCAAATGGGCAAGTCTTCACAGGGGAGGGAGCCTCTTTCTTCACAGGAATATCATTTTTAGCTGAAAGGAAAACATCAACAGATTTCTATCCCTGTGATCCCAACAAGCTGGAAATAAATGTAACTGTACACGATCGATCAAAGTAATAATGTTATAAGGGGAGAGGCTAAATGAGGTGCACAGGACTGTAACATGTATTATGATTTATATATATTGCTTTAATGATCACATATCTGAAATTATTTTATCACAGGATAGCTATAAAATACCTTGCAACTGAAAAAAGTGCTGAATAAGGAAAACCATGGATTCTGGGTTTTGAATCCATGAAGAGGTTGTTTACAAATTGTAATACTTGCTTTATATCCACTGAACAGCAGGGGGTGGTGTTATCAGGTTCAGAATTTGATTGAGTTAGCTGTGAAGCCAGCACGTTAATGAAGAAAACTGAATAATCAACTATCTACAACATTTCTGACGAAGTAGTCGTCCTATCAGCTTATGTAAAAAAAAAAGACACCTGAAGAGGAATTTTGTGTGATTTAGTAGATTGACTGACATTTGGTGGAACTAACCTGTATCAGGTGTGTAGGTGAAAGGCTGAACATCATGGGATCTCCCAGCATTTGTCATCACATAGATCCCCACACACACTGAGGAGGTGATGGATTGGCTCTGGTAAGGAGGAACCTTCACTATTAAGTGATTCTGGGAAGCAATAATTAAAGAAATGTCAGCAAAAATGGAATGAATGCCAGTGCAGATCTATAACACGTGTCTAATCAAGTCAAATGGTGAGCTGGTTGGAAACAAGTAAATAAATATTCAATACTCTAGTGTACACCGTGGATTTTTTTTGCACAAAAGAGACACTGTAAAGCTATATTTTTATTAGCCAAACATCACTCCATGTTTACATGTAATACACATTTTGTAACTGCAGAGGTTTTAAGTAAAAGGTTTAAAGTAAATAATACAACAAAAACATGAAGGTAAGTTATTTGAAGAGACATTTCTGCATTGACCTATGAGGACTACTTTTTTTTTTGAGGAAATAATGTGCTCGTTTCGTTTCGTTTCTTTCTAATCTGCAGGGTTTCACAAGATAACTCAGAAGTGTTCCCTTAACAAATGACATCAACAGAATTCAACAGAAGCAGCTCTTCTATTCGCTGATGAATCATCAGTTGTTACAGGGACAAAGATTTAACCTGGACTGTTAGGACACAATCAGTGTAGCTCCTGAGTCTGAGTGTAATTAGGTCAGAACAGTGAGACTACTCAAACCTTTGAACCAGCAGCCATTTAACATGATGACATCGAAATCCCCATACAAATCTCAAATTGCAACTTGTATCTACTCAACTCATTAGTAACTGGCACTAATCTTTCAGTACAACAACCAAAAAAAACACGAGAACAATCACATGTGTACCTGGTGAAAAAGCTCCATGTCAATTTCAGCCTCTGCTTTCCACGAAGTCTCATCTGGAACCGACAGAAGATGAAGCAGGTTGACTTACATAAAACATGCATGAACCTGCATGATATAAAATCAATCGCAATTAAAAGACTTTGTTTTTTTACCTGAAACATTCTCCTGAAATATTACTTTGGTATCTTTCAGAAAGTTTTTGCCAATGATAAAAACCTCCTCTCCACCCCTCACTGAACAACAGTGGAGGGACTTCTTCAGGATTTCTGGCACCCCTGCAGGCTGAGCTGGAAACAGAGCAGAGGGAAACTGTTAGAGTTCATTTCTAATGTTTCTTTGACTTATAAAAATCTGGAGAGAGAATTTAAGCAGTTATTAATCCAGACATTATGATACCTGTTGTAATAAGACACTGTTCACCACTATTTACAAGCAACATGGATATATTCACAGATTCAAAATAATACATTCCCAAGGATTAAAAAAGCAACAACAGATGCGTTTATATGACAACATTTATATTATTATTGTTTTGGGGTGGTCCACCATAGTGTCAACATGAGACAATGGCTTTATTGGATGCCATCAGTAATACTGCAAGGCTTTTTTTTAAGTTCAACAAGTTTCATTGAAGATACATTTTTAAAAGCAAATGATTTAATATTAAATACCATTAGTGGAGTACTATATTGCATAACAAGTAACAACTCCGACTGTCATCATGCATTTCATTATTGAAACCATTATCTGTAAAAATGGAAGAAAATAAACAACTGTATTCACCAGTCAAAAAAGTGAATCTTGACATGACACAATGAGCTGAGAAACTGATCAAATTTGAGTCGATGACAGGGCTTGCTACGGGTCTAATGGTGGCACAGAAAGGATAAAACAACCAACTGCAGCCTGCAATCTGATACTATGCATTCTAAAACTAAAATATTTGAGAGTAATGTTTCACTTTTGATGCTTTAAGAACTTTTCAAGAGTTGCAGATTCCCTAAACAGAGATGTGATGTGGTCATCCTACTCAAATACTGGCTGTTTCTCTGGCCCTCACAAAGAACCCTTAACAACCTGAAGCTCAAACCACTCCCCTTTGCCTCTCACACATTTCACAAAGCTTATTCACTAGTCTACACACAAACACAAACACACACACACACACGCAATGCCACTAGGGATTACGTTTTTTTTGTAGGGAAAATATATTTACTGGATTGCTTGCTGGCTCTGTGTAAACAATAGAAGTTCACACACCTCGATTGTTTTTTCCTTTCCTTCTCTCTCTCAAAGCATTTCTCCCAAATCTACTTACTCAGAAACTTTCTTAATGCCCTAAGCGTCTTTCCTGTTCATGCAACCAACCACACCCTAATACTGTATGCATTGTTAAATAACACTCAAATCTGAAGGAATATTTACTCATTGTCCCCAAATGCAGACATCAAAAGACAGCAGTCTTTGTACCTCAAGCTATATTAAACTTACAATCAGGACCTCTTGTGTTATAAAGGAGAAAATAGCTCTGTTGATGATGGGAAACTGTTGACTAAGTAGGTTACAGGTCAACAGTCTGTTTTACTTTTACACAAGAGCTTATGCAACATCTTTTTATTTGCAAGTATCTACAATCTAAAACTTCTTCTTTTAGGTTGGACCAAGATACAAACTCGTAACATAGTGTTTCCACAGAGACAAATTCCGGGTCATTGACTTACTGCACAGGATTGGAGATGAGGGAGTCTGAAGTGTGAGCACCGAACCATCTGGACGGGGGATGTTGACCCGAAATACCAGCCGAGCACGTGTGCTCTTCTTCTTTGACCCGGCTACACCGATGCGAGCCTCGACGTCGGCGTTACGTAGCTTCAAGATCCCAACACAGTCCACCCTGCATGGAGAGACGGTGATAACTTGGAAAACTTGCAGTTTAAACAACAAACTTTACAGTGTTTGCCAAAATAGCAGCTCTACACAACACTAAATACCTCAGTGTCTCATTACCACAACTGCATTCCCCAAGGGGATCAATCTACCTTACACCTCGCACGGGTGTTCTTTATGCAATCATCTTGTTAACGATTGGTTTGAATGATCTCTTAGCATATTAATGAATGGGAGCCTTTTATGGTCTATATACATGTATAAAAAGATAACTTTTAACAAATTAATTAAATGTGATCACAAGAAAAGAACTTACGCCAGTGTCATCATAGTGCTTGGATCAAGTGACACCTCGATGACAGTTGTGCCATCAATATCCACCTCTTTGCAGGCCGTAGTGTTTCTGCCAGTGACCCTGCAGGCCTGGTAAAATCCATGAGGCTTCACACGGCCAGCATCGTTTCCAACAAACACCTGCAAAACCACCGGCTCATTCACTCCCTCCAGCTGTGTGAGTAAAAACAGAACAAGCAATATATTCATTATCAAAGACATGGTTGATGAAGGCAATGCAACAGTCCCTTTTTGTTCAAGAAAGAAAGAACATTCGGCTCAAGACTTAAGCTCAGACCATGCCAAGAAATCAATGAACTTGTAATTTCTAAGCTTAGATAAATGATCCTGTTCTGTCAGGTGCTGCAATGTCCCATCACGTGCAACCATGAGTATTTCCATACCTATCAAGTAGATTCCCCTCAATATGCTGTTAAAGTGCATTTTGGCAAACTTTCACATTGAACTTAATGTGCCCTGTCTATTTGCAGCGCCTTCCTCAATTTAGTCTAAGCTTGTTTATCAGCACATTTCCATTCCTCCTACTTGTGCAATCTAGAGAATTAGATAATAGAGAGTTAAAGCTTAACTAAAACGCATTTAACTTAAACAAACACATTAATGTGCTAAAGTAGAGAGCTGGAGCCCATCTTGCTCGGACTTGAGCACTGGGGACTCAAGACTGGACTCGGACTACAGGTTTGGTGACTTGATTACAACACTGATTTGTGCTGAGTTAATGTATGGTCTGCAGCAGTAATCGATATATGTTTATGTGTATTGTACGGGGTGGGTGTAGGGCCTTTGAAAACCACAGAAAAAGTTTGGGAACCACTGGTTTAAAGTGTTGAATGTTTCAGAGAGATTGTAGCTGAATTTCAACAACATTTGAAGTGAGGGAAACCTCAGAGAATGAAGAAGTTCTTCAATGCCGATGATGAAGAGGGGCTGCTGACTTAGGTCAAACCTTTTTAAGCCATGAAGACCATCAAATAGAGGAGATGTTAACATATTTAGTGTACAAAGGAAATTGGTGGACATTACAATTGACTTAATTTGTCACAGTTTTGGACTCTGCATTAAAAACCCTTCCTCTTCCTGACACATTAATCTTCACCGTTTCACCTAGAACCCTTCAAAGCATCTGGCAATAACCTAATCACTGACATAATCTTCAGTAAGAAAACAATGTAGCATAGGTTGTGTCGGGGTGTAAAAGGTACCTTCACGGTTGGGAAGCTCTGCTGTGTGCGGTCCTTCACAGATCCTCGGCTGCCTTCAGTCAGATAGCGGGCTCGGTGTTGCGTCTCAGGCTGGACAAGGATCTTCAGCTCCTTCCCCTCACACTTCTGTGGGTGCTGAATCAAAAGAGTTCCTCCTTTCTGTTTGGTTGTCGGAGGGTCATCAGAGCTGCAACGGAGACCACAGCAGATCATTCAAATTCTGACATTTCATCTCAATTTTCATTTTAGTTCATGCAATACAGCGGGCTCTTTCATATATTCAATATGACCCTGTCCTCATTCATTCAGACCCCACCAAATACCCCATGATGATCTGAGCAATGCAGAGTTAACCAGGCCCTCCATTAACCAGGCTCGGCCCCTCTGCAGCTCTTAAAGCGCTCAGAGTTGTCTGTTTATTTAATCTGCTCTGCTTATCCTAGGTCTTACTGTATGAGTGACTTTGTGATTCACTGTGGCTGACCATTGTTTGCACTTCAGTATCCTGCCCCTCCCTCCCCTCTGATCTTACCGCTCTTCTTCAGTTAATGTATGGTGGGAAATTTAGAGCCAGAATAGTTTGTTCAAGATTTCCATCTGTTATACAATGTGTCGTTTCCTAAAAACAGCTTTTGTGACATTTAGGTTGAGTGCTGTTTGAGATAAGAGCAGGAGGACCTTTAATACAATGGTAATATAGCCTGCTTGAAAAGTTAACCTTGAACCAACGACAGGAGACATTTTAGAGATAAAATGTAAAAGCTTCAGAGCTATCGACTGCTGAATGTAAATGATTGTATTCAGAAGCTTTGGGTTTACTTTTGCAGACTCATCTGATCTGATTGTGACTAAACAGAAACCAAAGACTTCTGATCAATGTTCTCACTCCTCCACTGTCAACAAAACACCAAATGAGGGAATATCTTTGGGATGCAACATGTCATTATTTTGTATTATCAATTTACCTGATGCTTATTTTCTCCATAAACAATTTCTTAAAACTCACAGTGATGCTCTTAATTCTATGATAATTATTTTTACACTAAATAAGTCAACAAAGACTCCTCACCTTTGAGGCGCTTGAACAATGTATGGCATTTATTTTGAAATAAAGAGTAAAATTACTATTTTTTGAAAATAGTTTTTCCATAAACAAATGGATCTCTAAAGTGTCCACCAGCCTAGGGTGTTGTCTATTGGTACACACTATACGGAGACTGATTATTTTTCTTTGATTATATTTAGGCTAAGATTTTGCATTGTTGGGGACATGGCTGATCTGTTTGCCAGCAGGCTTAAGCCCCACCTCAACTCTACCTCTTTGTCTCTAACTAGGTTGACCAAAAGTTAGTTTGTGACAGCATTTCTGAATGGAAACCACCATCGTTTGGTTTCAAAACTCTTCAGAAAGTCTCTGAGACTATGTTCAGATCTTATACAGTCTATGCTCTTCACCAATATGTACAAAACAATGACCTCATTTGACCACTTTAGGATAAGTAGAGTGGCCTTTGGAATATTACATGTCAATTGCTATGGTATTTCAAATTAACTGAATTTGAGGGTTACACAAACCTTCCTTTTTGTCCAGTCTTGGTGTCAGGTCCCAGCTGTGAGAGGACGAAGTGTGGAGCTTTAGCACTGTCTGCATCAAACATGTCCATGCTGCCTTCCCCTGTAGGCACAGACTTAGGACCAGGCCTCTGGCGAGGTGTACGCTTGCGAGACTTTCGGGGCACCTCTGTATTGTCGTTGTAAGAGACGGTGCTCATGATGCTGAAGTTGGAGAGAGAGTCATCCATCCAGATGCTGTTACTCTGCTCGGAGTCTAAAGACGCTTCACCCTGGCAGGACATCTGGCTGTCATCAAACAGGTCTTGTGGAGGTGGAGAGATGTTCAGTACAGTGCGGCGCTTAGATGGAGTAATCTCGCTGCTTCCCCTGCAGTTACCTCCGCTGCTGCCGTTACCATTCCCACTTTCTGCTCCGACAACCTCCAGCCCAGCTCTGCTACTCCTGATGTCGTCTGGGTCGACATTGCCGCAGTGAGCCAGGTTCTGGTCACTGGCTGATGTACTGGAATGAATGATGGAGCTGGAAGAGGTGGGAAAAGCACTGCGGGGACCCTCCATGGTCATAGAAGAGGACATGGCATCTACAGTGCAAGTAATAAGACAGTGAATAAAGGCATCCCAACCAGTGTTGGCTAGCAGTCCCATTTAAGCAGCAAAATTTGTTGAAGATTTTTTTTTCTCGTTTTGCTTTTATTATTGTTTTATATTTTATCCATTATTTTGCTTTGTTCATCCAATTAAACATTCCCCCTTTAATTGGATCTTACATGTTGGTGTCTCTGGTGAATGATGTTTCTGAGGATTTGTAGATGTACAGTGTGCAAACAGCAGTATATGTGTCTTTAAATAGGGGCCAAAGAAGCAGTCACCCATCCAAAAAATAAAAAAATAAAATCTTTTGTTTAATAAATGAACATGTAAAAATGTTTAGAATTGATGAAGTACTGTGTTCATGTTAACCTGACAAAGTATTGGAAACTTTGGGAAAATGATGAAACAGGGAGGGAAGTTTAAAACAGTTAAATGCAAAAATGTAATGCATGCCAATTATTGGAGCTTTTAATATTCAATTTCCTTTTTTTTCTTTTTGCTACAAAAGTTCATTTGGTTGGGACTGAGCGTAGCCACAGAGACAAAAAAAACAAGCTTCTGACCTATGAAGCAGAGAACTGCAGACCATTTTATATGCAGACACTCCCTGCTTCAGAGGGAACTTCCTGGAATATAAAAATAGACAGCGAATGAGCAATAAGAGCTGAACAGTTAAAAAATGTCAGATTTGAATAATCAATAGGAAAAACACAGGGTATTTTGTTTCTCAGAAAATGTTGCTCCGGCATGCTGACATACGCTGTAACTTCAAAACATTCACATAGTTAAAAGAACTAGATGAAAAGTGGGGAAAAGTCTGGTTAAGCTGCAGATCGTCAAAAGTAGTTAGACTGGTGTTGACTTCTGGATCGTTCATTGACTCATTGGTTTGAAAACACACAGTCCAAAAGAAAGAGAGGCACAAAAAAATATGGAGGTAATTCTTTCTTTTTTTATAAACATGAAGAGAAAAAAAAAGGGATAAAACCTAAAATCTGTTAACAAATTCTATGTGACCATTAAAACTGAGTGATGGGTGTTTCCCCTCTTTTATTCCATCCCCACAGAAATGTCATCAAAGACTTTAATTCAGTAATATAATTATTGCTGCAAATAAAACAAATCTGAGGTGGCTCTTTTTCTGTGAAACATTGCATTTAAAAAGGAAATGATTGTGTCTGTAATAAAGCATCTCCCTGAAACTACAAAGAATTATGAGCCAGGTTACATACTTGGTAGTCTTCATAAAGCTTACAGTTCCATGTAAAGTGTAACATACTTCACCTGTGAGTGGTTGTACTGAAGCATTGTAGTTCAGAGGGAACAAACTTCTGGATTAACTGAAATTCAATTTAAAGCTGTGACACTTAAATAAGGAGCAGAGCAAATCAGCAAGCACAGTCCTAAAGTCAAAGATGCCTCCATTAGTTGCTGTTGTGTGTATCTTTAAATTGTCTTTCTTTAGCTTTGAAAACGTGAATGACATCCACTTGACTATCACTGGTCTTAACAGTTCATATTTTCTTTTAATTATTTAGGAGATTTTATCTTGGTACCCTTTCCTATAAGAAAAACACATTCACATGTTTGGTAATGTGTTTATAAGACAGTGCAAAGTCACTGCTTATTTCAGTGAAATGTGTAACTATTTTCATATACTGCTGAAAGAGATGATTTCATTAATTGCAGTCAAATAGTGGTACATCTAAATTTTCAAACCAAAATTTAATTTTTCCCATCTGACCATACATCAAGCACAATAATCATGGTTGTATATATTTCCCCTAAAACAAAAAATCAGAAAGTTGCTGAAGTGTTTATAAGTTAACAAGCTTATGCAACACTGCTGGAGGTGTAGATTGGTCAAACCATGAGATTTGAGCCACTCCAAGCCTCCTTATTCTCTTAACAAAAATAAAAATAAAATAATCCCTTCTAAAACAGTGAAGGAATTTGTGCTGAGTATGCAACACTGTGACATAATAGGCTTTGTTGGGCACTTTCGCCATTATTGGGTAATCTGAACCCTTAAAACCATAAACCTATTTGATATTCTGTCTGACAAAATTACTTTAGTAAAACACAGAAGACTCTTATATAATCAATTACATAAAACTACATTTACAAACTTTTTTTCTGCAAGAGACAGAAACGTCTCATCAGTACTGCCTGTGTTAACAACAACCACTCCCTCGACCACATTTTTCACAGTCCATCAACATCTACAGTTAGCCGCCATTTTTTGGTTTACCTAACTCCAGTGACATAACTTGCTTGCTATTTTTTTTTTTTTTTTATTTGAAGAGATTGATGTAAGAGTCTCACAGAGCTGCAGGCTGTTTATCTGACAGGCTTCCCTGACTAATTTAGTTGTTCGTTTAACCACAGGTACAGATCTGGTACACAGTTTGCTGAATTCGATAAATGATAATGACCTGCTTCTCTCGCCAATACCAAAAAGATGGCCTTACCAAAAAAGTAACATATCTCTACTTTAAAAACAAGGTGATAATCTGCAGTTTATGTATACCAAAGGGTAAAACTGTTAAGATGGCACCAACAAAGATGGATGATTTAACACCGTACACCTCTTGAATCTCCTGCAGAATGTGTTGCTAATGCAATCCTGTTATTTTCCTCCAAAGCTGCTTAAAAAAACGTTTTAAATAGCTCCTTCTGCCTCACATCAGTGTTTAAATTCACTAAATAATGTGCTCAAACCTCTTCAAAATGTATCTGACATTTCCTATTTTTGCTTACCCAAGCATCTTGTCTGCACTAAGGTGTGAAAGCCCCCCAGAAATGATCGTATAGGTACATTTTTGACCACAAGGCCTTGTGACTTTGGGGAGTGCAGGATTTTTTTTAGAGAAATTTGGAAATTGTAATCATGATAAGACAACGTATCTGATGACAGAATGTGCTTTTATTGTAAATAAGACTTAAAGAAAATTAAATAGGAGAATAGGAAAAAAAATAGAATTAGGACAAATCAAAACCCTAACTTATAACTGATATAATTAACAGTTACATTAGATAATTTATTGGACCTGACATGCATCCCCAGAGCACTGTTGCTTTTACTGTCAGGGATGGAACATGATCAGTCCTGCTCGCAGAATAGAAGTAAAGATACTGCATAAGGAGCAGGATCCTACCTGAAGCTACAGCTGCTGAAGGGGGAGGCCCGGCCTCTCCACCACTCTTTTGACTCATGACTTTCAGGCTCTGTCGAGTGGAGGATAACTGTAGCTTTCCAGGAAGAAGATCATAGGCTGATTCTGTTGAGAGAGAAAGGGTGAGCAAGTGAATAGAAGGATTAGGTGGAACTGAACAGATTTGATTGGTAAAATAAGACTCTTGATTTACATGTCAGCTCACCCACTGATTTGATGTTTTGTGTGATGTGTCCCTTGGAAATACTTTTTCTCTAATGCTATAACTTTCATTTTGTAACAGCAGTGGCACATATCTCAAAGCAGTTCACATCAAAACTCTTACACAATCGTAGGAGCGAATCTTCGACCTGATTGGCAACAAATCTGATAAACATCAAATAAATAACAACGAAACAGAACTATCCATTTGTGAACAATGCACAGGGATTCCAGCCTCATTCCTACAGGTGTATCTCTGCCAAAGTCTGCTGCTGGCTGCACATACGCAAGAATCATGTCACTCTGTGGCCTGTCCTTTCCATGGTGTTGGCAATAATTTAAAACATACAAAACATTGTTTGAGAGGTCTCAACCCTAAGAGGATAAATAAGTACAAGCAGGAATATATTAAGTGTAACAGTCAACAATGCAACATTAAAAGAGCCTGAACTGATGACATTCTTCATCATAACCAGCGTTCCCCCCCCCCCCAATGATTCTTCTTTTTGATCAGAAGCTTGTACCTACATTACCCACAATGCAACTCAAAAGTTCAGTTTGGGATCTGTGTGTGTTACATCACTAGTGGTTGATGTTGGCTGCAGCCAGACTAAGGATGAGGGTCAGAGACGACTCAATCACTTGAGGTAATCCATCAGCCTTAACAAAGCTTCTTCAGGACCCCAACCCTTCAAACAAACTCTTAAGTGTAAAGATGGAGGAGTTTCCATGCACTACAACAATAAGTAGATTGTTTTATATCGGATTGAATTTCGTAAATAAAGGTTTTGGACAACTTCTCTGGACAAAACAAGACATTTGATAACACATTTAGGTGCTGATTAACTATTTAGCTGAACTTTTGAGGTAAAATCAAAAGACAGCACGCAAACTAAACAACAGATCTCATTACAAACAGGCATCAGGCGTTTTCCATCCTCTCTCTGCCTCCCTCATGGCCGACAGAACGTGGTGAAAGTAGAAAGCCTTGGGTCAACAGCATGACACCACTTTAACTAGCAGCCTGATTCATCATCAAAATATTATGGTATGAACTTCGAGCAGCCATTACAGTCGCCTGACTCTCTTCTCTGCCAACTGCCAGCTTTAATTACTTGCAGCTGAGTCCCAGGGTTTGGTGTGTATATCAGATACTTAACCCTCCCATTGTTACCACTCGCTGTGTACAATAGACAAACCTGGGACATACTGAAACCAGCCCATGCCTCTTCATTCCCATAGCCCTCCGGTCTCTTACAGCTCGCTTTAGAAGAGCAGGGAATGCTGGTTCCCAGAAAGGGAGCTTAAATCTGGACTCAGCAAACTCATATAACTCACAATGAACCACACATACACACAGGATTCTAGTGTGGTTTTGCTGCTTATTTGCTGAGTTCTCCAAACAAAATCACAGACACTCATGCGTGCACATGCACACAACGCCCCCCAACCTCCTCCACAAAAACACTTTCTCTGCCCCTGCATTTACACTTTAACTCTACAGTCTACTCGGGGCTCGTTGGCTGACTGCACATGCAGCAACATGTGCTCTTGGTGAGCAACCCTTCCAGTAAACAGATTGCCAACCGCACAGACAGAAAATATGTACTCTTCTCTCAGAGCGGCAGACTCAAAATCACTAGCTGGCCTGTTCAAAGTGTTTCCAGAGTCCACTAGGGCCTTTAAAGAGTGAAAAGAAATATTATATTGCTGCAGATTTGTTTCCTCTTGAGCAGACAGGGAACTGTTCCTTATTTACACAGGACAAAAAAAAAAACACTGTGTCTTTCACATAGGAGAAAAACATTTAAGAAATAAAAGGATCAGCTTTGTTTTTAGCTGGGAGATAAACTGTACTGAGTTGCCCACCATGTGATGTTTGGATTTTCAGACTGCAGTTGTGTTGTGCAGACCCCTTAGGAAAATCTTTCATTGTGTGTCTGCTTGTGATCATCCTAATAACAGATTACTGGCAGCCAAAAAATATTCACACTAACAGACAAAGAGCACAAGTCTGATCAGGTCAACTTAAGCTATCAATACTACAAATATTTGCCACCCACTTTCAATGTAAACAGAAGAAAAGATAACAAACCACATACACTCAAAGTTATATATCAGAAATCTTCACAGAGTTTAATATGCCTGAGCCAAGCGTAACATCTTTCCTTCGTCATACCCTCACCATGCTTTGTGATATGTTTATATGGTAAGTAGTGTAGGCTAAAGGTACAAAAAGACAGCACTCACCATGTGAATGGCAGGACTTACACTCTCATTCATTTCCCTCACATTCCTGCTGCTTGCTCTTACTAGCCCTGGCACCTGGGGCGTGGCACTGGTTTTTTTTGGCTGAGTGACTGACTTAACTCCCCTTCTGTCCCCCTCCTCCACTCCACCTACCTCTCTGCCTCTCTGTGCCTTGTTTACTGTGCTCCCAGACCCTTTTCGGTACTTCAACTTGCTCAACAGGTTGGTGGTATTGTCATCTGGAATCCTGTCAAGCAGAAATGAAGCAATCCAATAACCTACCTACAGTATGTTGAAACAATTGGAGATACACAATATGCATTTCCTGAACCTTGTGGAAGACCTCTGAACAATTAGTGAGTGGGAAGGTGAGAATGAGCTCACCCTGTCAGACCATTTGGAAATGATTCCAAGCGGTGAAGAAAAACAGTAAAGGGGCTGTCACCTGCAGCAAACCATGTACAACAACCCTGAAATGTCTACAGCCAAGCCTACATGAAGGCTGCCGGCGACTCCATAGCAACAAAGATCAGGGGACAAGTCTTCTGTGCGTTTGCATCTCTCGTGAGAAAAGTCGAAAATAACAGAGCACGACACAAAGGAAGAACTGGCATTGTAAATGCAGGATATTACACGACTAGCATTATAACATTGTGGTAAAAGCTAAATCCACCTGAGTACAATATCAAAATGTATTATTGTGTTTGTCACTCTAATAATCCTAACATAAGAAAAAATAAATAAAGTCCAATACCAGACTCATACAGGACACCCTTTTAACTTGATGAAATAATTTGTGATATCACAAGGCTCCAGTTTGATACATCAAAAAAATCTAGTTCAAAAATTGTATTTTAAAAATGTAGAATGATAAATGAATTCTACTTAGTACTAATTGTAGCTGTTTATTGTCCTATTTGAATATCAAAGTTATTCATTCACAATGGGTTCATGAACATATTCATGTAGTCAGCAGCACAGAGGTTCAGCTGTTAGTACTTTTTCTGAAAGTAAGCCAAAAGGTCTTCACCTTGTATGAGTAGTTGTACAATGAACTGTATATGCATTTATAAGAGTTTATTATTTCACTTTAACATGTTCTGCTCTGGTAACTATGTCTGCATGATCAAATATATGTGCTCCTAATAAAAAGATTTAAAATGTATGTTTAAAAAAAAAATATTGGCTGATTTGTCATTATACCTTTTAAGACCATCAGTGTTTCCCCTACCATTATATTAGGGGGGCGGCCCGTGACACCAAGATTCCTTCAAGTGTTTGTGTCGGCGTGTCCCCCCACCCACCCAACGCTGTAAACCTAGGGGAAACACTGACCATTATAGCATCATGGTATGGCATCTATTGCCAGAGATTTAACTTTGAAATGCTGCGTTAAGTGACTAAACTATTGGAGCTACAGTATTCCAAACATTTACATGACTAATGAAATGTTTTCCAAATGTTCTTCTTTGTACATACAGTATGTCCAAAAATAATAATCCTGAAAATACGATTCTATTAGTTGATACTGTTGGTTACATTTCAATCAAGGTAGATTTATTATAAGAACTACAAATCAAAGAGCAGCTGAAACACAAACCACATCAAAAAGTTGAACAAACACCTTTCTAAAGGTCATGAAAGACGGACTCATTTGATAACTTGTGTGTAAGACAATTAAGAGTTCATTTACAAGCTGGTCAAACTTGCAGCACAAGAATGGTGTATTTGGCATGACAGAATATGCACGTGTGAATGGATGGGGAGGCGGTGTAAATTTATGTTTGATGAAGTAGAACATCCAGCAGATGTTACTTTTGAGGTGAGTATCCATTTTTTTAATAACAGGAGAAAAGGAAATACCACAGGCAAGAAAAGCCAAAACTCATAACAACATTTAACTTTTAACAGCAGTGATAAAAAAAAAGTAACAGAGAAACTATTGAACCCAAGTCTCCTTTGATGTCTTTTATCTTTATAACTATTCATGTTGAGCATGCTGATCAAGAGGGACCAAGGCAGTGGGTGGTACTATTGGATGCTTTTCAGAACTATTTAATTCATGCACCATTTTGAGTGATACATTAGTGTTGCATTATTAAGATGTATCATACTGTGCTAGCATCGGCATCAGAGTCACTAGTTATGAGTCATATTCAAACCAGTTTACCTGAGATAATCATAAAAGGTTTATATTTTTTGACTACAGGTCAATACAAATAATAATGGCTGTAGAAAGTGAAATGTTTAATTTTAAACATATCTTCTTAAAGAGCATAATTTACTTATACAAATATATGAAATAATATCAGCGGCATCAGGAATCACTAGTTGCACAGCTTTGTGTTTGACAGCAGAGCCTGTCGCTCATAAATCCTGAATGACTACAGACATGACTCGTACAAAGGTCCTAGACGGACAGAGGTACCTCTTCAGCCTACTGCACGTATGACAGCCATCATAAGAGGACCTGTTAGCATGATTCCATTGATAAATACTTTCCTTAAAAAATGTAAGCGGCAGTTACAGAGGCACATCACAACCACTTTATTTGGGGTTTATTGTTTTTCTCGGGGGGAAAAGCGGTCTGAATGTTTTAGTCAGGAACTGAGGATGACAAAAAAATCTAAAATGTATCAAAAATTCCTCGTTTT